TCGGCGCACTGGAGCATGCATCCATCAGCGAGAGCTTGTTTCAGTCTGAATGCAAGATAGTCGTACATGCGGCATATCTTGGCTGTCTCGAATTGGGATTTTGATTTTTTAATCCTTCTCGCTCCTCGCCCGCTCGCCTTCTCGCGACAATGCGTGGAGCATTAGGGGAAGCATTGATGCTCTGACCTCACCAGTTTTGCAATGTCCACATGCTGACATGTGAAAAGGAGAGCGATGTATAATAATCCGAAACGGGAAAGGGGGCCAGAGGCCCTGACCCGTATTTTTGGTTTCTTTTTCGGCGGGTTATGCCGGTGGGGCAGCCGCTCTTGCTGACTGTCCTCCTCCGGGGTGATTTTCAATATTACAGTCGGTTCTTCTTTCGGTGTCATTTCGGGCAGAGCCTTCAACATGCTCGTATGAGCAGACTCGCCTACACCATCATCGACCGCATGCATTCCTCGTCAGTTTTTACAATTAGTTGCAGAGTCTAGCGAGAGAACTCGTCCGGGAAAGACACATACTCAACTCACATTATGTACACAGAACAGTACCGTAAGGTCGTAGGCTTACCGTCGCGATCCTGGCCTCATAGCACACGCGTTTCATGCTGTTTATTGGCTCGAGCCTCCAGCCCTGGTACCGCGGGGTTTCACTACAGAGTACATGAAGGATAAACAATGGCCCGACCAGGGAAAATAGATTTTACGGGCTTACAGTCCTTGTGACATCTGGGAGCGGATCCGCTACCAACTCATTCTTGCTTTGCGACTGTCTGGTCCTACATAAGAGTCATAATGCTTGTGCCACAAGTGTAGCGGAATGGTACCCCGGACCCGTGGCCGAAAATGGAAACTCCTTGCCGCCTTCACCTGGTGTCGCTGGGAGCCTTCCCCGCGATTCCGAGAATCCCCGAGGTACGAAATCTAGCCTGGAGACAACCAAGGCGGCCTCTGCACCAACGGCATCCCCAGTTTGAACGCCGTCTGGTTTTGTGCGCACCGATTCGCCAGCAAAGCCTTAACTAGAGTGGCCACTTATCGGCTACGACGTAGCTAGTGGATTATTTCGGGCGTGACTTTTCACTTCACATCAATTGTCGTCAAGCCTCATCCATGTCTGAGAAAAAAAGCCATTAGACGATGTCGGGTAACCATTGCCTCACGGCGTGCAATTCCGTGCACGGCGCCAAAAACAGTGGCAGGCGAGAATCCTGGGCCCCGTACGCTAATGAGAGGGAAAATAAAAAGTACTCCGTACGAGTAAAGAAAACAGAAAGAAAAAAAGAAAAAAAGAAAAAAAAAGAGCCCTGGCGCAAGAAACACTGGGGTTAGCCTAGCCAAACTGTCTCCGCCATTCCAGTAAGGCCACACAGAGCCTGGTTCCGTTTGGCCGAGTATATCGGCGAGCTCGACGACATCCTAGCAGAAAAGCTGGCCATACTCGTACAGCGAACGTGTCTACCGATACGGCACTGCTAACACTGTAACAAACTGGGCAAGTCCGAGCCAAACAGCACTCGTATGAGCAACATGCGCCCCGATGGAGCTCTGACGTCGCTGGGAGCCTGCCCCCACGACAAAGCGTGCTGAAACCGGCGGATAGTTTGATTTCCTCCCGTGCACTATTTACACGCAATGCAACTACAAAGTAACGATGACCGCGACTCTACGATCCTACATAGTACAGTAGCACGGCAAAATGCAACTACGTGGTGTGGTCTGGAGGTCTGGATTGAGCACAAGGGATGGCCGGAGATATCTTCCGCTTTACGGAGTGCCCGTATTTCAAGCTATGTACGGAGTATCTCATAGTGTTTTGTATCTTACGAGTAACGTCGAGTACCTTGCAGAAGCCAGCTGACTAAGTGCAGCGAGATTGCTTGCGACACACCCTGTTCCACATAGAGTAGCCTTACTCCATAGCACAAGTAGAGAGCAGCCCTTCATCACTGATAGTATACTCATCCCTAGGACAGTCTCCTACTAGCCCGTCGCTCGGCCGCCGTCACTATTAGGCCTCCTCCGTACATAGAGTGCAATCATGATTGGGGTACGGAGTAGTGGAGGGCAGATCATGGACCATAGTCATGCAACCGGCACATCATGCATCCGTGCTAGCCGTCCTTTGGTTCCTATATAGGGCATATGAGTAAGAGTATAGCAAGCAACTGAAAACTCAGGGTACGTAAACATGAGATACGAGTTGGGAGACCCGGATAGACAATGTACTGTAGGTGACCTCATGCCGGCCACAAACGTAGGATGAAATAGGCCTATCAATGCACTGACGACTGGTGTAAGATAGCAGCCCAACTGCCAGTTGTTCTGGCCGCGCTCCGGCTGTACGGATGTCTACATTCGGCGGCTACGTTCCTGCCTGTGAGAGTGTGCATATGCCCACTACTCCGTACGGAGTCCTGCCTCCCACTTCGGTCGGAAGTAGGTCACGGACGCTGTAGCTTCGCAGTTACGACGGACATGACCAGTCGCGCCAGAAGCCACGGCTGTTTGTTATGCAAATTGTGCCCATTCAGACACAATCCTATTTAGCCGAGGATAAAACAGCCCTTTTGTGGGGCCGTGTTAGTTGGCAAGCCCCACATACTACATACGACGTACTACTCCGTGTGCACGGAGTATCGGCTCGAATGCTGGGGAAAGTAAAATTTTCCAAAAAAAGCCCATGCCTTGGGATATCTCCCCCTCGTTCTCCACCTTGGTGCCATCTGTAAATTACTGGCTAGATTCTCCGTACTCGCTGTTCGGTGTTTGGATACCGAGCCTATTGCCACAGGGCTCTGCGCTGTTACTCCGTGGTTTCTCTCTACTATGTAAGATACAATACGACAACTCGTACGAGTGTTCCGCATGGCTATCCTCGCGTCCGGGCAGGGGTGCTGGAAAGTTCGGGAGTTTGGTGAAATATTTCCCCGTTGCTGTACTCCGTATTCATGTTTCGATCGGAAACTTCTGCACGCATGACTAGATGTGGATAATGAGTTGTTACAGTGGCGAGCTCGGAAAATGTTAGCAATCGGACCTGTCGTTCGTATGTAAGATGCCGGATATGGAGATGGTTCATGAGAAGGCGAATATGGGGTTGGCCCCGGAACCATTGGGCAGGGGCTGGGGCAGAAGGTGATGATGATCTTACGACGTACGAGTTCAGAGATGTACGTACTGTACGACGTATGTGCTTGTCAGCGATTAGTCATCGTCTACTCGGAAGGCCAGGCTCGTCGATATTGAGCATTACTCTGCGGGTGCTGTTGTCGTATCTACTCGCAAGGCGTTGGACCTACGGATACTCGTTCCTGTGAGCTGGTTCTGGTGTCAATCTATCGGTTCTGGTCAGGTCGGATGTGCTGAGTGCTCGGTAAAATTATGTTGCAGTGTAAGTACTTGAAGTTGTCAGGTGAGGGAGGCGTATGAGTAGAAAAAAAACATTGTCAGCGGCAACAACGACATCACGACCCTTGCCGTTGCAGCCACCAGCCTGACTTGGTTGCCGTTGGGACTATGTGTCAGGCTATAGGAACGAGTGGCTTCATGCCGTTGTGATATATCTGTTTGTTCTCAATTACATGTTATTACAGACGTCCTGTAATGCAGCGCTCGTATCCATCCACTAGCAGCTGCCTGTTTCGTTCACTTCAGTCGGGCCGTATCCATAATATATTGTCATCTACGGGGTTATGCCTGAAGCCGTGTGCGTGGTAAAAGCATTATAAGCGACATATTTGGGGTAACACCATTGCAATGTTCTATTCCAGCTGCTTCGCGATGTTATCCGGTTGTCTTCTCTGCACTCGGCTGAAAGACTTCGACTAAACCCTACGTTCTGAACCACGCAAGTGATTGACGACAGCTTGTCATTAATTTTTACTCAAGGACATTGTAGCCTAGAACGTTGCCCATGTCAAGCAGTGCCGAATAGCAAGCATCCAAGGCACACTTTCTGAATAAGCTCACCGAGGTAGGTACTTAGACTGGTATGCTGATACGTAATTTAGCTACGTAATTGATCTGTATGGAAATATCCCATGGAGTGTAATTTTCCAATGGCAGACACCGAGAGGGTTAGATAAGGAGCATGGGTATGTAAGTGGTGAAGATATTGACATTGTTTTTTCAGTACATTCGACCAGGCCAAAATCAAAGCAACAACCATGTTGAGGCCAGTTTTGTGGGGCCGACCGGCAATTGGACTTGTTGACTGCCCGAGAGGCTGTTTCTAGCCGGATCCTCAAGTTTCTTTTGGTGTGTTGGGATGTTGGCGTGTCACATGCTACAGTTTCCGACGGCAGCCTACGGAGCAGCCTGCGGATCGAGCTTCTTTCACAAGCTTTTCGGGAGTTGGAACTTCGGAGCTATGCCGGAGGCCTGGAACAGCGTACTCTGCCGAACTAATCAGTCTGCAGGGAAACAGTGTGCCCCTTGCTGCTGACGAAGTCGGATGGAAGCAGGGCTTACGTATCCTCGGGCCACCGCTAATGCAAGTACTCGGTTGTTTGAGGGTGTCGTTGTCGATCTCGTTCAGCGGTAGGGACGCCACTCGCTGAGAAGAATAGGGCGGTACGTAAACACGTAAGTAAGATAGGATAGCTCGTACCGGATAAGTTTCGTTTCTCCTATGGCGAGGAAGTGAAATCTTTTCATGGAAAGCTGTAGGATTGTTGTCATAGAAAAGGACTTCCTCATATCGCCGTTGACTCTTATTGAGGAAAAACGATTCACGGCTCATGTTTAACACTGCAATCAAAGATGCCCCACATAAAAGAAGTGGATGCGGGGAACTCTGGTGTCGCGATGGGAAAGCGCGTCCGGCGGATTTGGGGGCTTTTCTTTTGATACGGCAAGAGCAGGATGAGCTGGGAATGGACCAGGCGCCATTCTGGGTTGCAACAACGTAAACCAAAGCTCTGAACCTGGACTTTATAACAATAGAAAAGGAAAGAAAAGCAGCTCGCGCAAGGGAACGAGCGCGGGGTCCTGGAGATGGACTACCATACTATCCACGGCCACGATGTCGAGGGGTTTGGCACGCCATTGACACGTGAGCATCCTATATGACTACGGCATAAAACATGGATTATGGAACGGTTGGCTGATATATATCTGCGAAGACCGAGTCCTGACTGTGTCTGCGGCCGATGTTGACGCGGCCTTGTTGAGCCCGTCGCCGGCGTCGTCGACAGGGCCCGATCTGACGACACCAGCGCGACTTGTGCCTACCGGCATCTCCACACTGGATTCTATCTTGTCTGATTCACCAGCTCCACATGCAGGCGCGGGAGACGCAACAGAAGATGGAGACGAGGCTGAAACGGAGGCGAAGGCGGGAACGACGTCGGATCTAGAGCCACTGTCGATAGTAAGACAGCAAAGCTCACAGAAACAGAGAGCAGCAAGGCCACTTCGATCGAGAACAGGTCTCCGTCGGGGACAGCTTACGGAGATATGGGGCCCTCCAGGTGCAGGAAAGACGGCGTTTGGGTAAGTGGAAAGGAGGCATACGAAGCCGGCCAGCTGACTCTTGACAGAATGCAGCTCGCTGCAAACGCGTTGTCGGGCGGAAGCAGTGCTGTGTGGGTAGGTGTGTGCACCGTTTCTGGGGGCTCTCCTTGCGTTGCGATCAGAGCCAGACGGCTAACACGAAGCAGACTGCTTCCACTCCCTGTGTAGAGAACGGCTGACGGCCATTGCCGAAGCTCATACGGGGCCCGACAAGGGGGCTAAGAGCGTGGAAGAAGGATTTGTACACTATACGTGTCCCAGTCTTCCGCACTTCATTGCTATGTTCTGCCCATCGACGTCGGTGTCTACGGTCGAAATACCTGCAGATGCGTCTGTCGTGGTCATCGACTCTCTCTCCGCTCTCGTGAACCACGCGCTTCCAAGGACAGTAGAGAAGAAGGGTGCACCGCTCATGGCGAACGGGAAAAGGGGTAGGAATGGTGTACTTCCCTTTTATGTTGTAATCTGTGCTAATAACGATGACCCCAGGTCCTGCGGCACATGAAAAGAGGACACAGGTGCTGCAGTACATTGTCGCGGCACTCGAACGACTAGCAGAGACACAGAATGTCGCCGTCATCCTGCTTACGCAATGTGCCAGTCGCGTACAGGCAGACGGTGGTGGAGCCGCCTTGGTGCCAGCCATTAACGCGGCAGTTTGGGACCGCGGTATCGCCACGCGTATCGTTCTGTTCCGGGACTGGGCCTGGAAGGACGGCGAGGCCGTCGGCGGTCGCTTTGCCGGCATACAGAAGCTCAATCGCAGTGGCGGCGATACCGCGCTGAGCCACGTCGTTGCGTTTTCCATCGCGGAGGCAAGTCTTCTCTCCACTAATCTGCGAATTCTGTTCTAGCTGCCTGACTGTATGCAGACCGGGCTTGTCGAAGAGGACTACAGTGCGGATCCACCCCGATCGTCAGAGTTTGCCCTCAAGAGGAAGCTGGGCGAGTCAAGGCTGGAAGCTGACAGTGAGGACGAAAACTACGGCTGGGATGACCAAGATAGCATGCCGAATATGCCGTCACAGTGGCAAGGGAGTGAGGATCTCCTTTTGGGACGCCAATACGACAGCGAAGAAGAGGAGGGAGAAGAGGATATGGAGGAGGAAGAGGAGAGAAGGCCGGAAGAGGGCTTCGGTGGCTTGGCCGTAGAGGAAACTGGCGAAGGGTCAGATAAGCCAGACGAGGAACGACACGTGCACACTGTTTCGAGGCGGTCGTTGCATAGCGTGGCGGATAGCGAGGAAGACTCCGATTATTAGGCAAGAAGCTTGGGCAGAATTTGTCCTAATTGTTGTACAGAGTACAGCATCACCACATGCGGATGGAAGAATCTGTTTTCAAACAGCAGACAAGCAGGCAAGTGTTCCTGAGCAGCGGCCCAGAGGCCTTCTTTTTCCTCCTACAGCCTATAGCGGAAGTAAGGGTTCTCCCTGTCGGTGAGGTCCTGGAAGGCCAGCTTGGCGCGCTCCATCTCGTCGACTGGCCGGGCGTCACGGCGACGGTTTTCACGCCAGAGCACGACGTAGAGGGCGGCGGCGGCGGCGATGCATATGCAATAGCAGATTATGAGGCCGGTCCACAGCTCGGGGTAGTGGCTCATCTTCGTCTGGGTGCGGATGAGCTGGGGGCCGATGATGTTGCCGACACAGTAGGCGACGAAGATGGAAGCAGCCATGAAGCTCTTCTTGGTGTGGCCGGCGACGTTGGACATGCCGATGGTGATGACGAGACTGACGACGGCGCCAAAGGTTCCTGTGATGGTGTAGCCGACGACGGGAGCGGCAGCACGATGGGTCCAGGCAGCACGCCAGATGAGGGTGCAGCCAGCGATGACGGGGAGGCAGCACACGATGAGCATGGGGATGAGGGTGTGGGGCACGCGGCTGCCGACGTAGCCGGTGGCCAGAATGGACAGGAAACAAAGGCCGCCGAGAGGGAACTGGAAGAGGATAGAGTCGAGCCTGGACCAGCCAAAGGTCGAGACGATGAGAGGGCCGAAGCCACTGACGGCACCGTTGATGGTGTAGCTTTGATTAGTCAGCAGGAAGTAGGATATGTGCACAGCCACAAGCACAGCCACACATACGCAGATGCCATCATGATGGCGACGAGCCAGACCTTGGGGTCGAGCAGGGCCTCGCGCAGCTGGGCGGGCTTGAAATGGACGCAGCGCATACCGGTCTGACCGTGGCGGAGGCGCTCGACAGCGGCGAAGCGCTCGGACGGGGCGAGGAACCAGGCGGTGGCGGGCGAGTTGGGAGCTGCGAAGCAGAGGAGGCCGAGAGCGAGGGTGAGGCAGCCGGCGAGCAGATAGATGTACTGCCAAGGGTGCAGGCGGCCGCCGACGACATGGGCGAAGGCATAGTTGAGGGCGCCGCCGGCGATGGTGAAGGCGCCGGTGCTGCTGAACCACCAGCTCTGGCGGAGAGCCTGTTCCTGCTGAGTGTAAAAGGCGGCGACGAGGCCCATGAGAGCGGTGGGAATGGCGCTCTCGACGAAGCCGAGGAAGAAACGCTGGACGTAGAGGCCGCGCCAGGATGACACGGCCGCGGTCAGCATGCAGACGGCAGCCCAGGCGACGACGACGGGGCCGAGTACGCGGCCGACGGGGAAACGCTGCAGCGCGAAGCTCATCGGGTACACGCCAGCCAGCATGCCAAAGTAGAAGAGCGAGGTGGCCCAGCTGAGCCGCGACGTGTCCGTTGTGGCCGGCCGCGTGGCCGTGCTGGTTATGGAGAGCTGCAGGTCACCGGTCATGCCGAAGAGCGCGGCCGAGCCGAGGATAGCTTTGTCGTAGTAGACGATGCCGTCTTGCACTTGGTTAGCGGAAAGAAGAGAAAGACAGAAAGGGAAACACGCACAGCCGACAAACATGGCCGGGATGAAGAACAGATCCATCTTGCGCACTACCCGCGCCACCACGGCCGCGTCCAGCTCGTGTGCAGACTCGCCCACTATAGCCAGCGCTTCATCTTTGTCCTCGTCCCGGACATCCACAGCCCGGGGCTCTGCCTCGTCGATCTGTCCCATCGGACTGAGCAAAAACGGTCTGTGGCTGCGAGAGAGGCCGTGCAGAACGGGTGCAGTGACCGTTTTTTTCCACTTTCCCCGGACTTGTTTCTTTTTTTCCTCGTATTCTCCCGCATTTTCTCTCTGCCACCAGTATTGCATCACCGCCTGCGATTTGGGTTTAGCTGCAACGTTGTTGCCGTGCGCCCCACCAGCATCTGACACCAGTGCGCGATATATCGCATCTTGGTGGCTGGAATAGAGAATCAATGGCACCTGGCATGGCTCTCCGACCGTAGTAGCTTGCACATGTATTCTTGATAAGCACGAGAGTTCCGGGACGCTGCTTTGTGCCAGTTTACGTCGTAGAGTCCTGAACCCCACCTGTGGAGTTCTGGTGAACAGGGCAAAATTGAGGGGCAGCAAGAACGTCTTTCCGCTGTGGAGCTGCCTTACAATCTGGCCCACCCAGAGGTGAGACAATCTCCGTGGCACTGTTTGATTTGGCATGTAAGATATGCAAGATGTAACTCTACGTCCGGTGCACATCCGATATAAGAACAACGGCGGCCCTGATCTTTCACGTACGGCCATAGATACTGGAAAGCACGGGATCCCGTCCGCTCTCCCCTAGTTAAACCAGTAATCGGCGGATTAGTAGTTGGGTCGGTGACGACCAGCGAATACCCGCTGCTGTACGTTTTTTTTTTCACTTTTTTTACTAGACGTAGTCTACCACTAATATATTCTTTACGAGAGTGAAGTTGAGATGAGAGCGGATTTTAAAGTAATAAACCCGCTCTTTAAAGCCCCGATATCCTTGTCCCATACTCCGTACTCCGTACCTTTCTCCATTTTACGAGCACTCTCCTTTTCTTCTTTCATCTGCTCCGTAATGCCGTCTGGTCTGTTCCTAGAGTCAACGGTTTGGTGGGACTGCCAATCGGCTAACATCCAATCAGAGGATAGCCTTCTGGCGGCTCATTCCCCAGATGGCCCAGTTTGGCAGGCTCCTTCACTGCAAGGTACCAGTGACCCCTGATTGGCCTAAGCTTTCCTTATAACAGAATGATTAAGGCATCGCGAAACCGGCCTTGGCCAGCCACTCTTGAAACCAGATCCCCTTCACCATGAGCGGATTTATGCATCGCCCCCGACAGTAGCACTCTGCGAGCGGCACAAGCGACATGCAGTCACAACAGCACGGGTATGTACGAGTAGCCGACTTTGCAGCTCGCCACGCAGCCGATATGGCAGATAGTCGTAGATCTCTTGTCGGCCTCGTCCTGACGCAATGCGCATTTTTTTGCTCATGCCGGTCCTCCATCGCCAAAGCCCGATTGCGCGTCCTCCGCAAGACTGCTGAGCAGCCCGAGCGGCCAAGCATGCCCCTCTTCACTGGTGCAGATTTCCTCTCGTCCCCCGGTCGTCGTGAAATTAAGGAGAATGGGTTTTGGCAGCGCACAAGACCCGCTTCCGATTTCCCCTTTGGGCTGTGGTCGTCATGGGCGCGTGTGTGGGCCCTGTTATATTATCTCTTGTGTTGCGCCGTGCGCCTTCTCCTGCGCTTCCCCTTTCCGGGCTCCTCCGTCTTGTCGTGCGACTGGCGCTCTCTTTAACCTTCTTCTTCGCGTCTCTCCCTCCGTCTCAGCTTTTCCCCCCTTCCCTTCCCTGTCGTCGCCTCTCGTTTTCAAAGAGTATTTCATACTCGTGCCGTTCGTTATCTGCTCACCGTCTGCTTCTCATTTCCTGTCGTTTCTCCCCAAAAAACTCACCCGCAACGGCTTTCACAAATCCAATCACCATGCTGTTCAAGTCATCCACCACCGTGGCCATCCTGGCTGTCGCCTCGCAAGTTGTGGCTGAGCCGGCCGCTTACAAGGCCGTCAAGGTCATGTCCATCCGCGACATGTTCGGCGTCGTCCGTCGCGACAACGGCGGCTACACACCGACAGAGTCCACCTGTGGCATGGGCGATACCTGTGCTCAGGCTTGCGGTGCTGGCTTCGAGACCTGTGCCTCGTCCGACAACGCTATTCACTGCTACAACCCGGCGGCCAGCCAGATCTGCTGTCCCGATAACAGTGGCAGTACGTATTTTTTATGTTTTATGCTCATTTTGTGACGCATTATCTGTTGCTACAGAGCCTCTCCGTTTTCACCATCTTGCTGACATCCTGCTCGCTAGACTCGTGTGATTCTGGCTACTATTGTACTGCTGCCACCAACAGCGATACCATCTGCTGTCCTGAGGGTCAGACCCTGGAGCAGTGTGCTATCGCTTACGGCGTGACCGGCAGTCTGGTCTCTGAGACTGCCACGCCTACCCCCACGCCCAGCTCCTCGTCCCTGTCGTCGTCCTCGTCGTCGGTGATCTCGTCGACGCTCACGTCGTCGTCGTCCTTCTCCTCATCCTCGTCTTCGTCATCTTCGTCGTCTTCGTCTACCTTTTCCTCCTCGTCTACCCTCTCGTCGTCCCTTGTGACCAGCTCGTCTATCGCGCCGTTCTCGTCAGCAGCCCCCAACATCACCTCGTTCAGCAGCATCATCGCCTCATCGTCGACCTCCGTCTCGGCGGCGCCGCTCGTGTTCGCCAACGGCACCACCGTCTCCGTCAAGGCTACTGGCTACGCCACGACGTCGTGCTCAGCTACATCCCAGTATGCTGCCACCGCTGCCGCCTATGCTACTAGCAACTTTACCTCGGCCCAGGTGTCTGCAGCGGCTGCCGAGACTACGGCGCCTGTCGTCAGCGGTGCTGGTGTGATCCGGCCTGTTGCTGCCGTTGTCGCTCTGGTGGCCGCTGCCTTCGCCGTGGCGTTGTAGGCCTCTTGACAGATCTTCGTCTACCGACTCCTTTCTTCAGCCTTCTCCCCTTCTCCTGCGACAGCCACGAGTTACGAGACAAATGATACTTCGTTCACATAACAACAAGCGGCGGCCTTTTCATCCTTTTCGACCTAATCCCCCTTAACTATACCTCCCCTTTTATGTGTTCTGTCGGATGTTATATATATACCACCAGCAGGGACTTCGGGAGTTGGCTCCCCGCATAAATTGATTCTCTGTCTACTTTCTTCCTTTTTTCCTTGGGGCATGATACCGGGGGCGGGATGGCTATGCAGGCCTTTTCCCTTACCCCTTTGTTTCTGGGCTGATGTTTTGGGTGGCTTCTGTGGTGTCCTTCCTAGTGATTAAATTTACTAATTGGTCTTTTTGCTATTTTATCTCGCCTTATTTTATTTACGTTTAGCTGTTGTTTTTCGAGTTTCGTTTCAGTTAACTTTCCCTGGTGCCGAAAAAAAACGGAAGAAAAATAGCATCTGACATTACACATAAACTCTGGTTCCGCTCCTGTTGTGGCACATGTGACAATAAAAGGCGCTGTCAATGTGCAGCTGCGGTGCATCGTCGAAACCAAAAATACACTCCGTATGACTCGTTTTGACTCGTCTTGACTTTACGTACAGAGTACTTTGCTGCAAGTATGCCGCACTTTTGATCGCGTTGTCCTACCAACTTTGGACGGCTCTAACTATCACCTTGACCACTCAGGTAGTTTCGAACAAGCGACGAGCAAGATTGCTAGTCCCTAATATCGTGTTTCTGTCCCCGAGACATTTTGAGTAGCAAGGTATGCAAATGTACGTCGTGGGGCACAGGGCTGGTAAATAACTCGTCGGAAGAGCGCCGCTGATTTGCTGCACATATCGCACGAAGCGTTATGCCTCTGAAATTGCCAAGTATGTCGCCGCGTCAGCCACTCCATATACGCAGTTGTGTTCGGCAGCCCACTTGTACGCGTCTACTCCATATGCGGCTTTATGTTCCGCTTGCAAGACGCTCGTCTTTTCGTACCCACGACGCCTGTTTCGTGGCGCTCGTCCAGATGGGCCGCTTGTAGCACAGCCCCTCGTACATGGCTTTGAGGAGCAAATCAATATTTGTTCCGTCCATCGTCTGTCATCCACGCCTTTGGCAGCACGCTGTCAATTGCTATTGCAATGACGAAGCGCACGGCGTGGTCTTCGCCCGTCTAGCCCTCCTTGTCGGATGATGAGCCAGGACTGCGGACGGTTGTTCGAACAGTTTCCCGAATCTGCACCGTGCGAACAATGTCGGGTTCGGTTTCAATGCCTCGAGGGTGTAAGTCTAGGTCGTCGTGGCAATACTCTTGAAAGTGGCTATAGAGGCAAGCCAGAGCCGGAAGTTCTCCACGCGCTTCTTCCCGTTCTCGAGAGAAATTGGTCCATTAAGAGCCGCTCCTCTCAAGACTATAGAGTCGCAATGGCGAGAGGCTACGGCCGGCGATAGCGTCGCCGCCTGAGAGGTTTCAGACGATGTGTTTGTGTTGAGCTCCATTGTGGGAGGTGCGTGCGGTTATCGTAAGCATTGGCTGCTTGTAGATGGAAGATAAAGAAGACGACGAGACGCGTGAAGAAACCAAGTGCATTTTTGCTGCTTCAACTTTTGAAACAGTCTGATTCGACCTTTCACTTGGAACGCTACGAGTGTCACCAAGCAGTGTTGGCGGCTTACGTCACCTGCAGCTGGTCGCACTTTCCGCATTTGACTTCTCGGCAGCTTCTGAACTCTTCGGAACTTAAAAGAAGAGAAAAACCGACTGATAAAGTACTGAACATGGTGTCGCTGTTTTTTCACAATTAGCTCACGTTGAGGGTGTTGTCGATATTTTTAGCTATCCTTGCATGGCGAAGGTGGCGAGCGACAAAGGCCCCGTTGATTTTCTCGGCTGGCTGACGGCGGCACTCAGCAGAAGGTTTTTTTGGGTGGCCCCTGCGAAACGCCATTTTTCGTGACCTTCATCTCCTTCTCATCCATCCAACTGGGTGCTTCCTTTGCCGCTCTGGTTTTTTGTATAATCATCGTCACCCTGCCTCACATTAGAATTTGATAACCTTTCAGTTAATCGCTCCTTCTCGGCTGGCTTTGTTTTTGTGGTCTAAACAGAAGAACCTGTGATCTAGTCCAGCGCCTGCGCGTTTTTCTTCTTTCATCTTCATTGCTACCTCGTGTTGACAACAGCTGAGCGACAGCTTATCACCGAACTCTCACTTCCCCGTCGAAAAGCTGAACAAAAGGTATCATACCGCCTCCCCTACATCTGTATTAATCTTCGAAGTATGAAGGAGGCTCAGTTGCCGGTGTGCAGTTGCAGCAAAATGTACATTTTCATTCATCTCAATATCTTCCTCTGCAGAATTTTGCTATTTTCATTCGATTGAGTTCACCGCACTTCGGACGGACGAAAGCATGTGCTAGACATATAAAGGCCACGCTCCGCATCCAGGTCTTCTCATTCAGAGCAGTAGATTTTCTCCTTTCTGAACTTGATTTGAGAGTCGCTCTATTTGCCCGATGCTTTCTACTTGCCGAATTTTCTGTGCCAGCTTTTGCTGACTCTTGACCAGGACAGCGACTACAGCTCGGCCTGAAGGCAAAGACTATAACTATAAATACAGCATGGGGGGCAGCATCTCTCCTGAGGGCGTAGATACACCCCCTTCCGGCACCGGCACCAACACTGTCGTCGCTGCGGATGAGTTTTCATGGCTGTATGTATCGAACCCAGACATCTACAGGCCTTTCTACACATGCACTGACCCAAACGTCCCAGAGATCCCCATCCCATCTTTGTGATCATCCTGGTAGGCCCTGATGAGAGGCCTTTTGGTATTCAGAAAGACTTCTTGTGCTCAAAATGCCACCACTTTCGTAATCACTTCGCCAAGAATGCTGAGGATGCTATCGAACACGTCGTTCGATTACCAGAGACGCCCGTTCAAGTCTTCGCTCATGCCCAGCACTTTCTTTATACGGGAAATGTCTTTGTCAGTACCGATCAGATGCCGTCTTACGACGTGCTCGTCAACATCTGGAAGCTTGGCCATAGCTTAGGCATCGACGGTCTCTGCGAGCGCACCCTTGAGGCGATGGCTGAGTACAAACGTGCCACCCACTGCATCCCGGATACACCGCTACTGGTCCAGGTGTGGAAGGACACACCCGCTGGCTCATCTATCCGTCAACTGCTGCTCTCTTGGGCAGCCGAATATCTTCGGTCCAGTCATGAGCGCTCCGAGTTCGCCCGTTCACTGCCACAAGAACTACTCAGCGAACTGGTCGTTGCTATGAGCTCATATGGTGACGGCGTCCTAGCCGCGCCTGGACCAGGAACCGGAGCTGCAAGCGATGTCGGCCCCAAGAAGAACGTACATTATATGAACGGCGGTGACGATTTTGCGGCTGCAGACTACAGCAGCGGAAGTGGAGACCGGGACCTGTCGCCTGCTTCGAAGCGGGCACGCCATACTGAGTATCCGTCAAAAACCGCTGCTTCCTCTGCGGCAACTAATTTGGCAGGTCCTGGAAAGGCTGGCAGAACCTCACTCCCAAACCACCGGATGCCACCCAAGAAGCGCAACAGCATGGCGGGTACGGAGACATTTACCGCAGACCAGAAGCTCAAGTTCTGTTCTGATTTGATCAACCGGATGCTCTCAGGACCAGGTATGTGAACATATACTGGAACTGTTTTTGCCGCTGCCGAGAGCCTACAACTGACATGTTCGAAATTAGGGTTCTGGACGCGCCTGGTTGGTCCCTTCAGAGACGCCGTGGACCCCGTAACTGAAGGAATTCCCGACTATTTGGATAAGATCAAGCGGCCGATGGACCTAAGCACAATCAAGTCCAATCTAGATCGAGGCTTATACCGATCTGAAGACGAGTTCTTGACAGACATGCAACAAATATTCTCCAATGTTTACACATACTGGAAGAGGGATGACCCTATATGGGTTGTGTGTAAGCGGCTGCAAAGGACGTTCGAGGAGAAGTACGCACAGATGAACAAGTGGTTAGGTAAGATGGACGGTGAGGTGCCCCCCTAAGTTCCAAAAGGGGACGTGCGTGTTGTGGCATTTACGGTTTTCCTAGGACATGGTCCGCAATCAAGGTTGGTGTAATATACTGGGTAGTGTACGTTGTTGGTGTACCAGTATTGGGAGGATACAAGGTATAACATAGAGGGAATGCTGTTTGGAGCAAAACTCGACGCAGAGCTTCCAGGAAACTTCTAGGTAAAGCTATTTGGACCTTTTTGAGACGAGCAATTCAATCTGTCTTTGCACGAAATGGATCTTCATGCAAGCATGCGGTTCGGCATAACACAAGATGAGCCATCACTGTTCTCATGACCACTTTATGCCAAATAGAGTCGTTTTGCCGTCTCCTGTATGTTCATGCCCCTGGGAGCTCTCAAGGTAGATCCTGTCATGTCCTGGGACATCGACATAGAAGTAGCGATATACGAACTCATCCCGCCCACGTGGTTTCACCATGTGGAGATAGGCCACGCCCTTGGTCCGCGAGCCTTCCACATTGAAATTCATGACAATGTGCTCCGTTCCCTGTGAATCTGCTTGCATGGTAGACCTACGAGAGAAAGAGCGGTGTCAGGACACGCAAAGTTGGGCGTGGCGTCAGTTGGTGGGAGGAGGACTTACGCGATCGGACGCGCCCGCTGCCATTTGTTCCATGTCTGCTGACCATATGCAGCAATGGTCTCGCCGTCGCCGAGAACTACGGTACATCGGTGGTCGGAGCGGATGCGGGTTACTGCCCGGTTGAATGTGGAGACCTTGCTGTCAGGCGAGAACACCTCGGTGTAGAGAAAGTAGACGACACCACTCTGAAAGGAGATTAGCAGCTGTGTGGGGGTGGCAGACGGACTCGATGGAGAGATGCATACCGTCAAGACAACACCAACAATGACCAGTCCAAAGTTGACTGTCTGCTGTGCAGCACGACCCGTCTTTTCCCCCATCGACAGATCAGACCAGGGTACGCGGCCATCGTCGTTGAAAGGCGTGACAGCCCTGCGCCGGGCGGCCGATGAAGCCTTGGATGATGCGGACGAGGAGGAAGATGTCCCTTGATGCTGCGTCGCATAGCCCCGGACCAGCCAGGGGGAGGCCAGGGGGCAAAGGCGGGCGGGAGAACGGGACGAGGTCGAGGCGGGGAAGTAGACAGTGCGACAGCTTCGTCTGGCCGCTGTGGCAGCAGCATGTGCGGCAAAGAAACAGACTGTTGGAGGCGTCATGGTATGGGATGTATTCGGGCGGATCCCATTTCTTCTCGCGGGCTCGGGACACGATCGGGGCCTGTTTCTGTTGTCGTCGTCGCCTTGGAAGAGAGCTTGAAGAGGCTGTTGTGGATGCGATAAAACACTAGCAGAGGAAGGCGGGACTAGTCCGAAAGTGCTGTAGCATGCATGCTTGTAACGAGGTGTGCATATACCCACTATTGCGTCGCCACTCTCCACTAAAGGGGTGTTCCAGGACAGGGAGAAAGTGTGCCATAAGCACCTGGCATTTACGGGCAATAAATAATTATCGCGAAGTTGTCCTTTCGCTCTCTCCATCCCTGTGTCTGAAGTCGTCACGACATAGCCGTCTGTGCTTCCCACCGTCCCGCCGCTGCATCCTCGCCGTCACGCGACGTGTCCCAGATTCGCAAAAAAACAGCATCCTCTTGCCCGCCAGCCAAACCGAGCGCAGCGACAAGATGAGCGGCCTCGCGACCAAGCAGCAGTCGCTCAAGATCTTCGAGAAGCTCAAGTCCAAGCCGGCCAACAAGGTAGCCCTCAACCCGTCCAGATTGCCGGTCACCACCCTCCCCTCGCGGGCCGGATGCTAAGCGTTGCCAGGTCTGCTTCGACTGCGGCCAGAAGAACCCCACGTGGACATCGGTGCCTTTTGGTATCTACCTCTGTCTGGACTGCTCCGCCAACCACCGCAACCTCGGGGTGCACATCTCGTTTGTCCGCTCGACCAATCTCGACCGTACGTGTTTTGCTTTGTTTTGTTGTGTTGCGGCCGAGGCTGACCGGGAGGGGATCAGAATGGCAATGGGACCAGCTGCGGGTCATGAAGGTGGGCGGTAACGAGTCCGCGACCAAGTTCTTCCAGCAGAACGGCGGCTCAGCAGCCCTTAACAGCAAGGACTCCAAGACGAAGTACCAGTCTGCTGCTGCCACCAAGTATAAGGAGGAGCTGAAGAAGCGGGCGGCACGCGATGCCAAGGAGTAAGATGCCCTTGTTCTCCGTTCCGTCTTTGTCTGCTTGCTGACTGCTCACGCCTGCCAGGTATCCCGAAGAGGTCATCGTCGACGGGGATGTTTCAGAGGCGTCCAAAACCCCGTCCGGCGAGGCCGAGGACGACTTCTTTTCCTCCTGGGACAAGCCCAGCATCAAGAAGCCCACGCCACCCATTTCCCGCACCGCCACGCCGCCCGTGGTCGGCCGCACGCCATCGCCATTTCTCAGTGCCGGCGGCAAGGATAGCATATCACGATCGACGTCACCGCTGGCTGGCAACAGTTCCGACACGTCCAGCGTGGCGAAGCCGGCCGCCAGCCGCATCACGCACTCGGCCGCGCTCAAGAAGACGACCCTCGGCGGTGGTGCCCGGAAGGCCAACGTGCTGGGGGCCAAGAAAGCGCCGAAGCTCGGCGTCAAAAAAGTCACGGTCGACCTGATCGACTTTGACGAGGCTGAGAAGAAGGCTAAGGAGGAGGCCGAGCGGATCGAGAAGCTGGGCTACGACCCGGATGGCGAGGAGGAGTCGGCTGCATCGGCTGTCAAGGCTGCTAGTGCCAAGTCGGGTGCAACCACGATTGTGTCGCCGACGCCCGTCAATGCTACACGCGGAGCGGCATCGCACAGCCGGGAGAAGTCGGCGTCGGAGATGGAGCGGCTGGGCATGGGCATGGGCCGGTTAGGATTCGGCCAGGTGGGCGGACGTGGCGGCGCAGCTGCGGCCTCGTCGTCAGCGGGAAAGAGGAACATGGGAGGCTTCGGGTCCGTGGGCCCGATCAAGTCCTCTGACGGTAAGCTTTGTTTGTGCGCATTCTTGTCCAGATCACGTGACGCTAACCGCAGCTTGACGCTTCTCAGACGACGAAAAGTTTGCCCGCAGCAAGTTTGGCAACCAAAAGGCCATCTCGTCGGACGAGTATTTTGGCAAGGGCACGTACGACTCGGCCGTGCAGAACGAGGCAAAGCAGCGGCTGCAGGGCTTCGAGGGGGCCACGTCGATCTCGTCCAACGCGTACTTTGGCCGGCCGGACGAGGAGGCGGAGGAGGAATACGGCGACCTGGAGTCGGCAGCCAAGGATTTTGTGCGCAAGTTTGGCATCACAGCCGGCGACGACCTCGACAACCTGACGCATGCGTTGGGTGCCGGCGCGACGAAGCTGCAAGGAGCAATCCGGAATTACCTGGGCAACTGAGCGGACGGACGGATGGATTCTCGCCATGGGAGACGGCGGATGGGAAGTGGGCGTTACGCTTCGTTGCTTTTGCTCTGGTATTAATCGTGTGGTCGTGTTTCTTGTCTCGTCTTGGCCCTCGTTCGGTCCAAGTTCACCCCTGTCGTTTGTTTGTCTGTCCTTTTTCACTATTACGTCTTCCCCTATTCACCAGCTAACTTCCTCTTCGTCTTCAACGTACCCATCCCCTTGTCTTTTTCTTCCACAAGATTATAAATGCGGTGTTTGGATTGGTTATCTGTTCGCGGCAAAGCAAAATACAGAACGAGAGGGATGGAAAAAAAGAAATCAGAGATTAGCCAACAAATATAGCACAGTCCATAATATTTGCCGATAGAACAATGCAAGTTACAATGGCTTGAAAGCGCAGGTTCCAGGCCGTTTGTCTTTTCCCAACCTAACAGTCGATTACATAAGCAGGGACTATCCACTATATCAGTAAACCAAAAGCCGTCGTCCTTCTTCGTACAAGCATACAGGCTGTCCGCCTGATTTCCTCTCTCGCGCGACGGTCTACAGCTTTGCTACCAATTTGGAGCCTTGTGCGAGGCAGACGGAAGCGTCGTTGACAAACTCGTCGACGACGGCCTTGGCCGACATCTTCTCGTTGACGACGGCGGCGCACTGGCCCATGAGGAAGGGGCGGAACTGGTCCATAAGGTCGTCGACGTCGAGCTCTTCCTCGTCGGCGCCATCCTTCTTCTCAGCCTTGGCCGAGGGGGCGGCGAGGTCGGTGGGTAGAGTGTCGATCTCGCCGTTCATGACCTTGTCAAGGTCGGCTTCGTAGGGCAGCTTTCCCTTGGCGGTCAGCTGCTTGATCTCGTCCTGACGCTCGGTCTCCCAATGCTCGATGTAGGGGTTCTTGCGGACGCGCAGCGGCCGACCGGTGAAGATGAGGGTGCGGATGGTGTCGTCGAAACCGGCGGTGCGAACGGCCTCCTTGTGGGACTCGGGCGCGCCAGCCTCGTCGGTCAGGATGAAGCGAGTGCCGACCCAGACGGCGGCAGCACCCATCATGAGTGAGGCGGCGAGCAGTGGGCCGTTGTAGATGCCACCGGCGGCGACGACGAGGACCGGACCGCCGGTGAGAGGAGACTTGTGGCCCTGGACGCGGCGGACGACTTCGGGGATGAGAATGGTGGTGGGGATGTCGCCGGTGTGGCCGCCACCCTCGCCGCCCTGGGCGCAGATGATGTCGACGCCGAGTTCGAGACACTTGGGCACATGCTTCGGGTGGCCGATCATGTTCATGTAGAGGATGCCGTGCTTGTGCAGACGGTCGACGATGTGACGCGGTGGGACGCCGACGGCAGAGACGAAGAGCTTGGCACCGGACTCAATGACGATATCGACGAGCGCGTCAAGCTTGCCCTTGGTGTAGTCGTAGCTGGGATGTTAGCATCATGTGGTTGAGGAAGTTGTGCCAACAGAGGAATCGAGCGTAGCGAGAAAAAAAAAAAAAAAAAAGACATACTTGGTCTTGCGAGCATTACCGCCAACCTGCGGCAGCAACAGGTCGACGCCAAAGGGAGCGTTCTTGTCGGTCAGGTGCTCCTTCAGCTCGTCGATCTGGTCGCGCAGCATCTCGGGCGTGTAGTTGACGCCGCCGATGACGCCGAGGCCGCCGGCATTGGTGACGGCAGCAGCCAGCAGAGGGCCGGCGGCGACGTTCATGCCGGCCAGCAGCACGGGGTGGTTGATCTTGAAAAGATCGGTGATCGGCGTACGAATCTTCTCTACAAGATGGTCGGTCAGGTCAGCATTGGCAGAAACGGAAGGCGGCAGCCTTGGGATGACGTACGTGGAGAGGCCATGGTGAGGATGCAGATTTGGATGGGAAGTGAGGATGAAAGAATGAAGATAGGACGGAGAAGGTCAAGAAGGACAAAGACGAGGATACGACGGGTATCGAGGCAGTGAAATAGGGTGTCGTGTCGTTGGCAAGAAGTTGGAATGGGGAGAAGAGGAGGAGTTAAGGTTCCAGGGCATTTTTAGCACGGGCACATGCTGGCGAATGCCGAGGTCGCGCAGGGCAGCTGGCAGCTGGACAGCTACTATGTAGCCACAGCAAGGCCCAGAACAGCGCTAAGCCAAAGCGCAGTGGGCCACCCGCCCAGAGTCCGGGGGATGAGGGGGAAGGCAGCCTGTGCCGAGGCATGGCTGCGACGGGTTAGTGCATACTAGGTATAACGTAAGCGCATGAGGTGTGGGCAGCTGAGTATCATGTGACGTGTTGCACAAGGGCAGAAGCGACCAATCAGGGAACGGCATCGGCTCTCACAAAGTACTTTTTTTTTTTTGGTCATTGACCTGTAGTAGTTGACTGTCTGTCTGCGGCGACGCTGTAGCCACACAACCCTGCACCCAGACGCACCGTGGCAGCTGCGCCATGACGGCAGTGGTCTCTCTTGCTGCTGCAGCTGCTGCTTCTGTGCGATCGACGACGACCTGCCGGCTGACACGGCTGCTTGGCGTGTATTCGGCAGCGCCGGCCTCGCCGCAGCGACGACTGCGGCAGCAGCGCGTGTCTAGGATGGCGATGCAATCGGCGGCCATAGCGACATGGCCGCTGTCGGCCCCATGCTGTCAGTCGGGGCTGAAGCAGCACCAGCCCCCGGGCAAAGTGAAGGCATACATTGCCCTAGGCAGCAACATGGGCGACCGGATCGGATGGATCGAGAAGGCCTGCACGGAGATGGACAGGCGTGGACTGCGGGTGTGTCGCACCAGCAGTCTGTGGGAGACGGAGCCGATGTACGTGCTGGAGCAGGACAAATTTGCCAATGGGGTATGCGAGGTGGAGACGGAACTGGCACCGCTGGCCCTGCTGGACGAGCTGCAGGACATTGAGCGCAGCTTGGGACGGCGCAAGCTGGTGGACAAGGGGCCGCGCAACATTGATCTGGACATTTTGCTGTACGGCGACGAGAAGATTGAAGACGAGCGGCTGACGGTGCCGCACATCGGCATGGCAGAGCGGGAGTTTGTGCTGCGGCCGTTGGTACAGCTGGCGCCGGGCATTGCGTTGGACCCAGCCCGGCCGTGGAAGCTGGCGCAGGACTACCTGAACGAGTTGGCGGTGGTGGCGGGAAGCGAGCCGTTGACGCCGCTGACACCGTTGGGGACGGCGGAGACGACGAGAGAGCCGCTGCAGGCGCTGCGATCGTCGCGGCGGACACGGGTGATGGCGATCCTGAACGTGACGCCAGACTCCTTCTCCGACGGCGGACGACACGCGGCGACGAGCGAGACGGCACTAGATGCGCTGGCCGAGACGGTGCGCGGCTTTGTGCGGGACGGCGCAGCCGTGATTGACGTTGGCGGACAGTCGACGGCGCCAGGGCGGCCAGAGGTGTCGGTCGAGGAGGAGCTGGCGCGCGTGGTGCCGGCAGTGGCGCGGATTCGACAGGAACATGCAGCCGACGTGGTGGCCATCAGCGTGGACACGTACCGGGCAGCTGTGGCTGAGGCGGCCGTGGCAGCCGGTGCCGACATGATCAACGACGTGTCGGCCGGCGACATGGACGCCGACATGCTGCCGACCGTCGCTCGGCTGGGCGCTACTGTCTGTCTGATGCACATGCGCGGCACGCCTGCCACCATGAGCACGCTCAACGACTATGGCGGCCGCCCGTCTGCCATGGTGGCTGCTGTGGCCCGTGAGCTGCTGGCCCGCGTCGCTGCAGCCGAGGCGGCTGGTATCCGTCGCTGGCGCATCGTGCTCGATCCCGGACTCGGCTTCGCCAAGGTCGGCGACCAGAACATTGACGTGCTGCGCCACCTGGCCGAGCTGCGGGCTTGGCCCGGCCTCGAGGGACTGCCGTGGCTCGTTGGCTCTAGCCGCAAGAGCTTTATCGGCCGTACCACCGGCGTTGCTACACCGGCTGAACGCGTCTGGGGCACGGCAGCTACGGTGGCGGCGGCTGTGCAGGGCGGCGCCGACATTGTGCGGGTGCACGACGTGCGTGAGATGGCGCAGGTGGTGGCGATGGCAGATGCCATCTGGCGGTATTGAGGGTGGGTGAGGTGGAGGTGAGGTGGAGGTGAGGTGAGAGGTAAGAGGTAAGAGACGAGCGGTGAGGAGACGAGCGGTGAACCAGAACGAGGGACAAGACGAGAGGAAACCCTACAAACGTCTTACAACAGACGGAATTGTACCACGTGAGAGTGCACGTGTCTCGAGAGATGAAGTCTATGGTTCTTTACGGAGTACTCCGTCCTTTCTTCTTTCTGCAGATCCACTCTTCTTTGCCTTCTACAGATCCTCTCTCTACTATCTCCTACTCCCATAGACATAGACGCGCTCGACCGCGACAAAACGCCCATTAGCGGCTCTCATTACTACTGACCACCGGTCCGCGCCGCTTGGCATTCGTCGCTTTGGGCAGCGACGTTGGGTACGCCTGCCCGGAACGATTGACAGGCGCTCCTGCTGTTTGAGACAAAGTACTCCGTACCTGTAGAGCCTTTTCCTCTGGATCACCAGATCCTTTGCATTTCCACACTCAACTCTACAGCCCCCATACCGCCCGCTTGTACGATATCTTACCTCGTATCCCAATCGTCTCATTTGCTGCGCAGCTGCTCAAATTGCCCGTTATGGCCATCTCCACCGAACCCACATGAAACCTGCCAAGGCCAAGCCACTACTCGGAAAAGAGAGCAAAGCTGACTCTGGCGCCAAGCAAATGTGCGCTGGCCAGCGGCTGGCCGACTTGCGCGTCGTCTGCGTTGTGTTTTTGTCCTATCCATAGTTTGTCTTGTCGTTCTTGTTGTTCTTGCTCGTTTACTTTTGCTTTTTTTGCCTCTTGCCTTTTGCCTCTCTCTACCTCTCTACCTCTCTACCTCTGCCATGGTCATTCGAAGGACGACCCGGTCTTCGACCACGGAGAGCACCGATCGACAAAAGACAGCCCGGCCGACCAGCGCAGCTCCATCCATGAGCCTGCCCGTGCACCAGGGCGACGTGGACCAGCCGGACGGCGTGCTTGCTGCGACAAGCAAGACCAGGACAGCCTCTCCGGCCTCCCGGCACCACAGCCACATCCGCTTCCGGATTCGCAAAGAGGGCGACAGCGGGCGGTCTGGCTTCCACCCGCGCCACTTCTTCCGCATCGCTTTCTGGTCGTCCAGCAAGGTGTCGGCCCTCGTCAACATCCTGTGGCCCGTGGTGCCGGCAGCCCTTGCGTGTCGCTACGCCCTGGCCGACAGCCCGCGAAACCACCTGATCACATTCATTCTGTCCTACATCGCCATGGTGCCGTGTGCCAACATGATCGGCTTTGCCGGCCAAGAGCTCGCCCACAAGGTCCCGCACGTGCTCGGCATCCTGACCGAGACCACCGTCGGCTCCATCGTCGAGATCGTCCTCTTCCACGTCCTGCTCAAACGTGGTCACTATGCCGTCATCCAGGCTGCCATTCTCGGCTCTATCCTGGCCACCATGCTGCTCTGTCTCGGCCTGTGTTTCTTCGTTGGCGGCGTCTTCCGCCACGAACAGCAGTTCAGCGAAACCGTCAGCGAGGCCGGAACCGGACTGCTGCTCACCGCCGGCTTCGGCCTGGCCGTCCCGACCGTCTTCAGCCACACGCTCACCAGCTCTGGCCTGACGACCGAAGAGCTGGCCTCCAAGACGCTCAACATCTCGCGCGTCTCAGCCATCCTGCTGGTCGTCTCCTATGCCTTCTTCGTCTACTTCCAGACCCGCAGCCATCACGGCATCTACGAGGACGTCTTCGAGGGCGACGAGGCCTGGGTCCGCGAGCACGGCGCCCAGGAGCTCGACAGCGATCAGTCCGACCCGCAGACCCATGTCCATGCTCGCTTCACCATGACCGAGAGCATCGCCGCCCTGTCCGTCTCGGTCGCCCTGGTCTCGCTGATTGCCATCTCGCTGGTCGAGGAGATTGACTTTATCGTTGAGCGCGGCGTGTCCGACGCCTTCATGGGCCTCATCCTCGTGCCGCTCGTCGAAAAGGCGGCCGAACACCTGACGGCCATCGACGAGGCCTGGGACAACCAGATGAACTTTGCCCTGTCGCACGTGCTGGGCGCCACGCTGCAGACGGCCATGTTTACTGGTCCGCTCGTCGTCCTTGTCGGCTGGGGCCTGCACCGGCCCATGGGCCTCGACTTTGAGCTCTTCGACATTGCCGTCCTGATCCTGGCCATCATCACCGTGGGCAACTTTCTGCGCGACCAGAAGAGCAACTATCTCGAGGGCGTGCTGTGCGTCATTGTCTATATCAGCATTGCCGTGGCGGCCTTTAACTATCCCGAAGTCAAGTCGAGCTCTAGCGAGGGAGTGGATTGAACAAGGTCTCTTTGTATTTATTCTTTTGTTGTCTTATGGCTGATCCACTGCTCTTTCTCTACCATGATCTGCAAAACCGGCCGAGTCGCCTTGCGCACGTGCATCCATCCGTTCTGGGGTAGCTCCACGATGGTGCCGTCGATGCATCTGTGCTGAGTCAGCAATGCATTGGATACCGGTGACAGTGGAACGTACATCTTGCGCCAGCGTGCGTCTGGCTCGTGCACCGTGATCCGCAGCTCGTCGATGGCTCCGTAGCCGACGGCCTCTTCTTCTGCGGCGTCGTCTCCCTCGGCTGCCGGCCACCGCATGCCCACGTGTGCGCCATTGTTGTAGGCTGCCATCATGATGTCCATTGTGCGCGTGCCGCCAACCGCCCCAAAGTGCACCAGTCGCAGCTGACCGTCCAGCGGCCAGCTTGCGGGCGAGATGGTAAACGTCTTTTCCAGATTCGACACCATCGTGGCGAGCACGTAGCTGAAGCGGTGGCCGAGGGTCTGCCGTGGATTGTAGGCATCGGCCGATGCGGGTGTTGTCGTCTCGACGTCGGCCATGTAGACGTGTGCCGTCTTGAGCAGTTCCTGGGCGGCCATGCCGAACCGTTTGGCGCCGTGGCGCCGGTACGCGGGCGTGTCGCTTTCCCAGACGAGCTGCGCGTGGAAGCCGTAGCTGGCCACGATGGCGCCGCGCAGACGGGCGACCGGTTCGATGCGTTCTGTGTTTTCGTTGCCCGAGTAGCTGACCGCGTGTGATCCCGGCGCAAACGAGGCCTCAAAGTTGGGCAGCCGCGCGGTTTGGCCGTGGAGGAGTGTCCGGAGGCCGAGGACGAGGGATGAGGCCGACGAGGTCGAGGCAGACGTGGGTGATCGGTGCAGCGAGTGGAAGAGCGCATTGCCGGTGCCGAGAGGCAGGAGAGCGATCGTGGGAAGGCGACGGTCTTGTGGTGACGATGTGTCCACGGCCACGCCGTTCAGCAGGTCCACCACGCCGCCGTCACCGCTGAGGAGGATGACTGTGGGCGCGTCGGGTCCGAGCGTGCGAGCAAAGTCCGAGACAGACCGCGAGTTGCTGGTCACGAGCAGGTGGAACGTCCTGGATTTTGTCTGAGCTGTTGTGGCGGCTGACAGGCCAAAGTGGCCGAGAAGCGGTGCCAAGACGGCGCTGTAAAAGGTCTGGGCCTGGCCGACGCCGGACCGTGTAGATACGACCACGTGCAGAGCCTGCGAGCCTGACTGAAAAACTGGCGGGATGGCCTGCAGACGATGTCGGTCGAGCAGATGGTGCGGCAGCCGGTCGACAGCCGCGCCGGCCAGCAGCACCGTCTCTAGCCGGAACGGTGCTTCGGTCCCGTCGGCCGTCTCGCGCAGCCAAACCAGCCGGTAGATGGCAGGGCCATCGTCCAACGTCCTCATGATCACGACAATCTCATCCTCACGGACGTGCTGCTCGGGCACGCCTCCGTCCGGCGCAACGACCAGCTCGCCGTCGGCGTAATAGGCCGCTGCCCTTGCTGACACGTGCACCGTGTTGTCCTGCATCTCTGTCTGCACAAGGGGGGGGAATAAACACATCAAAACAAGAGACAGAGCAGGACGGGAGCTGGAAGAAATTCAACTCGACACTATTCTAGCTGCTCTCTCGTCTAAGGGAAACAGGGACGCCGCGTCCGGGGAAGGCGCGATCGCCAGCACGTCCGCCCGGGTAAGCACGATTGATTGGACCGAGAGCCTGTCTTGCTGATTGCGTTATCGCACGCAAGTCAGGGCTGCCGTTGTCTCTTGCATTGGCGGCGGGGTAGCTTAGCGCGACTAGGTATCCAGCTCACGTGCATATAAGAGTAGTCTTGGACAGTAACACAAACACACCCTCAATGTCCTCTGGCCCGGTTCATCGGCCCCCAGTTCTCGCGCGGGTTGATCTGGTACCGGACCAGCTTGTCGGCGCCGCGGATGCGCTTGTGGCCTTGCGTCTCGTCAAAAACAATCTCGAGCTTGCTCTCTTTCTCGGTTGTCTCGGTCGTTTCGGTCGTTTCGACCGTCTCGACCTTCTCCTCTTTCTCCGTCCTCTCACTCCCCTCACCACTGCTCCCCAGCCGCAACAGCCGCTCGGCCGGCGTGCCCGGTCGGATGCTCTCCGGCTTGACCGGCGCCTTCTGGCGCACCCATGCGCGCATCACATCCCACAGCACCGACCATGGCGCGTCCGTCTTGATGCTGCCAGGCCGGCAGTGGCTGCGTGTGGCCCGGTAGCCCAGCCGCACCAGCGCCCCGCGCATCGCGTCCTCGTTGGGCGTCATGCAGTGCACCACCTTGGCCAGGTTTGACGGCAGGAAGAAGAACGGCATCGGGTCCAGCGCTGCGAGGTGGTCCTCGCCCCCGACCTCGCCCTCGACCAACTCCTCAAGCGCCGTCTGCAGCATCCCGCGGATCCTCTCGGTCGTCCCGTAAACGTCGGTCGGTGCCTGCGGCAGCTCCTCAAGGATTCGCCGGATGAACGGCGCCGAGTGGATGGGTCCCGCAAACATCGGCCCGGCCAGATGCGTCTTGGTGTGGCAGTGCGGACAGAAGGCGTCTGTCTGCGGCGCCGTCGCAAATGTGTGCTTGTAAAAGTGACCGTCACCACGCTTGTTGGCCGTCGCCCGATTGCGCAGCAGCGGCTGCGTCGTCCATGCGCCACAGCCCTGGTCGCAGTTGTACGCCGTCATCGTGCGGCCGGCCAGAAACTTGACGCTCGCTGGCGACCGCCTCACCGTCACAAACACCCGGCAGTAAAAGTCGATCGACAGTGACAGCTGCGGCGTTACCGCCAATCCATAGCGTGCCGCTGACACCGATAGCGCCTGCAGTACGATCCGCAGCCCGGCTTCGTGCGACTGGCTGCCCTTCATCGGTACTCCCCCGTACAGCGCATAGCACTTCTCAGGGTAGCCCTGCGATGCCCACACGCCCGCGTCTGTGCATGTCACGCACAGCAGCCCGCCGTCGTTGCGCACAGACTGCACTGCCGCATCGAAAAACGTCGCCGCCGTGCCGTAGGGGTCTAGGTCGATCACATCGTACTTCTCGCTCCGGTTCGGCACTTTGTTGCTCCCGCCGCCCGCTGCCTCCAGCGTCAGCTCCTTGGCCACCACCGTGTACATGTGTGCCAGCGCGTCCGACTGTCGCACCGTGATCTTGTCGCTCAGTCCGTTCAGCTCCACGTTGCGCCGGATCGACTTCGTCGCCGCTGCGAGCAGGTCGTTGGCCGTTACCGACACCGCAAACGGCAGCTCGTGCGCATATCGCAGCGCCCGCAGACCCGTGGCTGAGAGCGCGTCGAGGATGCGGATCGGTGCAGGACCGGCCGATGTGCTTGTACATGTAGACGCCGTCTCGGCAGAATCCGCTTCCGGATCACGTGACTCTTGCCCGTCTGCTGTCCCGGCTTCGGCTTCGGCTTCGGCTTCAGCTTCGGCTCTGGCACTGTCGTCCGACTGCTTTCCGACCTTGACCGGTCGCTCGCCCTCGTCCGCCTCGTCCTCGTTCTCCCTCTTGCGTTTGTCTCCGCGCCTGTCCGCCACCTGCTTTCGCTTCTTCTGGGCAAAGACCTCCTTCTTCTTGGCAAACCGCTCGGCCCGCTCCTCCAGCTTGGCTTGCCCGTAGGCCTTGATGGCCAGCACGCTGAGGTCGCGGTTGAACTGCTGGATCGGATTGTAAAACACCTGCTGCGCGTGGTCTTCGACCGCAGGACCGCCACCGCCGTTCTGCCGTGTCTTCTCGCCGTCGCTTAGCGGCACGTAGATGCGCGCCAGGCCCTCCCTCGCCGTGCGGTACCGCTTGCCGTCGGGGCCAATCGTCACATTGTCGTCCTGATGGCCGTTCTGGCCGTCTGTCTGCGTGCTGCTCGTCGCCATTCTGCGCTGCCACTGCGGTGGCTGTCTGGATCGTATCGAGGCTGCTAATGACCTTGCATTCCTCAGAATTGGCGCCGCAGTCAAAAGTAGGGACTGAGGACGAAGCATGTACAACCACAATCGGACCTCTCGTGCGTTGTGAGCAGGCAAAAACAATATTTTCGGCCTTGGGACTAACAAAGATGACGGACCCACTCTTCAGCGCCTGGTGGTGGATCCCTATGTATGCTTATGTAATCACACTTCGACGCCGCGCCAGCAGGATCACCGAGCCCCATTCAACCTCAACCTCCAGGTCAGGCCAGCTCTCGCCAGCCGCCGTCCAGGCTGGCTCGGCCGCCACGGCACGGTCCATCATCACATCAACAAAGTCACCAGAGCCACCGTCAGCGCGCTGCTTGCGCTGGGGGTGTCTGTCGGCCCAGCCACGGTACGCGCTGAGCGTGCGGACATACTGGGCATAGTCGCCGAGTCGCATAGTCTTGAACAACAGAGGCCGGACCCCGAGCGTCGACAGGTTGTTTCCGGGGCCGTTTGACTCTGGCTCGTACACGATGCGCGTCTCGTCGGTCCAGTCAGCCGACGGCAGCACGACCGATCGCATCAGCTCCTTCATGTAGCTGCGGCCAGGCTGCTGGAAGAGGTCGCCCATGGTGTTGTCCCGGAGTTGGGCGTCACCTTCCTCATCGCTTCTCGTCCCAAAGCAGTGCTCGGCCACGATCTGGTTGGCCGCCGGATGATGCGGCAGCACTCCCTCCTTGTAGACCCAGAAGGCAAGCGTGCCACCGGGCCGGACGACACGCGCCAGTTCTGGCCAGACGCGGTCAAAGTCAAACCAATGGGCGGCCGCGGCCGCGATGAGCAGGTCGATGCTGGCGTCGCCCAAGAACGGCAGACTCTCGGCCGAGCCCTGGTGGAAGGAAATTGTCGCTCCTGAAGCCGAACTAACATTGCCGGCTAACTGCTTCGCCGTTTCCAGCATCGAGGCCGACGGGTCAACGGCGTGCACCAGTTGGAAATGGCCGGCTAGAGCATGGGCGACAGGTGCGTGGCCACAGCCAAGGTCCAGCAGCACGTCGAAGCTGCCAGTGTGAAATCCGAGGGTGGTCTCGAAGATGGCTGGCGGGTAGGCCGGCCGGAACGCGACATACTTGGCTGAGTTGTAGTTGGTGCTCCTGCGATACAAAATGGCGATGAGCAACACACTCGAGAATCAGGTCATACTCGAGAAGATGCAGACTTACGCAAAGAATGCCATATCCTGCTTAGTTCGAGTTTCTGTTCCTTGCGTGCGTGACGTAATCTGGATGCTGCTGCTGCACCTGGTAAGCTCAGCCTAGCTGCATGTGATCCAAAGCCTCCTGGTTCCACCCCGGATCCGCGGCTTATTGCCAAAGTGCGGGGAGCCGGACAGCTCCAAGCCTTTGTGTTGTCACATGCCGGCTTAGTGCCAGGGGCTGACAGCGATCAACGTGCGGACTCGACTCGGAAATCCTTTCTCTGACCGTCATGGCGCTCAGTCACGCGGCTGCACAGTCCCCTGAGGGCAACTATGCCTTCCCGGGGCTCACACACGCACACACTGCAAAGTAAAAAAGACCGTTTGCTCTCCTGCGAGCGCGCCTTCCCCTTCAACGCTATACAAAGCTGCAGCATCGTCGTCCTCGCACCTCTGCCGACCATTGCGCGAATCGGTCCATCCGTCTCTCGCAACCGTCGTCATGGTGTCTGCCGGCCTCTGGCGACCCAGACGTGTCCTGAGCCCGAGCCGCACTCAGAACTCGGGTCGAGTTCGGGAATCCAACTACTCGGGCAAAACCAGTCGCCCACACATGTCGGCCCTGGTTCGGAGAATCTGTTTCGTCCCCCACATCGTGCTGACCCAGGATCACGTCCGCGGCCTCATTCGCTGTCTGTTCGGCGCCTTTGTACTCATCGGCGTCGTCTTTCTGGTCGCCGACCGTCGTTCCGTAAAGGCGTTTGTCGACAAGACGGCCGAGAATGCAAAGACGAAGCTACCCCTGTACACCTGGGCTATCGGCGCGCAGACATCCCCAAACCCGGCTGCACCCTGGCAGGACTGGAAAGAGCCGTCGTGGCTTCCCAGTGCCGCCAATGGCACCGGCGTCTCCGAGGAGGCGGCCTATCTCAACTACCTCGTCTATCGGTACGGCCTGACGCCCGATGTGCCCTGGTATGCGCGCCACGTTCGCGCCGACTATGTGGGAGGGCAGCCTGGCAACAGGCCCGGCGAGGATGACCATCTGCGACACCACGATCGACGCGCACGCCCGACTCGCCCATCCCTGACCAAAGTTAAGTCCAAGCTCACGCCAGGCGGATTCACCACGGTGCACGCAGAGGCTCTCGTACCCGGTGTCGACCATCCAGACCCGGACACGGAGACTGAGGACGGTGTCTGGCTGGCGACAGATGCAGAGAGTGAGCCGCCCGTCGAGCCGGCTGTGCTGCGACTGCCCATGGCCCGCAGTGCTCGGCCGGACCAGATTGATGCGTCGATGCTGCTGTTTGGCATCAGCACCACATATGCGCGACTGTCGCATGCCGGATTTGCGCTGGTGGCCGACTGGGCCCGATGGCTGACAGATGGCTGTGGCCAGTCCAACGGTGCCGGCTTGCTGCTGAGCCTCCACCGTGCGCAGCCGGACGAGGTAAAGGCGGTGGCACGCGTGCTGCAGGAACACGGTATCGACGCGCGCATCGTTATCGATCCAGGCAACTATGACAGCGAGGCCACCAACAGCACTGCCGACAGCCACAGCGACATGGAGGGCAACTCCCGTCCAGATCCGCCGGCCGTACGCTATTCCAATCTTCTTCCGCTTCTGCGACAGTATGACGACGCCTGGGTGTCCGAGCAGGAGGCTGGCAGTCCCGTCCAGCGGAGCTTCTATGCCCTCGTTGACGACGACGTCTTCTTCCCGAGCATGGACCGACTTCTTGGCCGGCTGATGCTCTATGCCGGTGCACATCCGCACCCACACGGCGGCGACGATAGCAGCAGCGACCTCTGGCTGGGCTTCCCCAGCACGCGGTCTGACTGGCAGACGGTCGACTTGGCCACAGAGGCTGCCAAGGCAGCAGCTGCCCGCTCGGCCCTGTTCTCGCCGCCGGTTCCGCCGCTACCGTCCCTCTCGCGGACCATTGCGCCCACATCGCTGATGGTAGTGAGCTATGGTGGTGGTGCCGTCTTCTTGTCGCCGTCGCTGGCCGTCCGCATGGCCGAGCTGCCGTGTCTGCGCCGCACCACGGACGCCCTGCACGAGGCTGTGCTGCATGCCGGCATCGCCGTCGGCAAGACGGACGCGTACGACGGCGAGCCCTGGGACGAGCATCTGTACCACTGCGCCACGTCATCTCCGTCCACTTCGACGTTGGCTGAGGCGGCTGTGCAGCTGCGCATCGTGCCCAGCTTTTACGCGCCCTTCGACGCGGCCGCCTATGACCACAACGGCAACGAAACCGATCCCGACAATGGCGTCCGTCTGCTGCAGCAGTATGCCGGTGGCCTGCAGCCGCTGACGCTGCACGGCTACCGCCGCCACGATCACTTCAGCGCCGGCTTTGGCCATCGCGTGGCTGACGTCTGTGGCGAGGACTGTTTTTTGCAGCGCTTTGCCTTTCGCGACGGCTGGGTCCTCGTCAACGGCCACAGCCTCGAGCACCACGACGGCCTTCGCGTCGAGCCCCTGCGCAAGGCGAGACTGTTGTCCCTGCCGTCGCCGCCGCCCACTGAAAATGCCGGGCATGGGTCTGACCTTGTCGACTCGCTTCGCGACTGGCTCAAGTCTGGTGGCAGAATGGCCGTCCATCGGACGGATGGCCATGCGCCCGAGGACGCGGCAGATCGGCGCCGGCGTGAGTTTCAGCAGCAGCAGCACTTCTGGTCGAGCAAGAGGTTGATCGTCGAGGACGCCGAGCGCCCCGACGACCTGAGTGTGGTGCGCAGCCGCAGCCGACAGCTGCCAGCGATATGGCGTCTGGTCGATGCCTATGTGGCTGCGGACGGGTCGCTGTGGCAGGCTTATCTGAAGCGACGGACGGCCACAGCTGGCTCCGGCCATGGATTGGATGCAACAGCCGTGCCCGATATGGCCGCGTCCGACCAAGATTCGGTCGTTGTGCTGATGTGGGAAAATGCTGTACAGTAGAAGATGGATGATAGATTGAAATTGAAAATGGGAAATTGTGGTCGAACAAGGAAGTCGAGAGAAACAGTCGAATAAGGAAGGAGACAGAAGCATGGTTTGGGAAGGCGCCAAGTCGGGGAAGGAGCAAGCGCGTCTCTCTTCTCTTCTCACTTCCTCACATATAATAAAACGAACGATGAACTTCTATCTGCTACCAAGTTGACACCCGACTATCTAAACAAAACAACGCCTAGATACCGTTTAAGTCCTTCTTAAGCCCTTCCCAAGCCGTCCAATATATGCTATATCCAATAACCACCGACTTGTACTCCTGTCCGCCTTTCCCATCCGCTTGTATTTCGACTGCCTATGTCTGTCTCTATATCTTACCTCAACCTCTTCCCAAATCTTCACCCTACCACGTGTCCGGCCCAAACCGCCCTCCCGCCGGCACCTGCAGGTATGAACACGCCCGCCAGTCGCAGCCCTGCTTATACACCTCGGTCCCCCACCAGTGGAAGCGGTCCATGATGCCCGGGTAGATAAAGGCAAAGAAGGCGACGACGATGCCCGAGGCCAGGGCCGCGTCCAAGGCCGCGCTCAGCGTCATGGTGTACTTGGCCCACCAGGCCGTCGCCCGCTTCTTGAGCACGTAGTTGAAGAGGTAGCACACCAGCGCCCATACGCTAAAGTTGAGCCCCGTCGCCGGTGGGATCCAGCCGAGCGAGCCCAGCAGCACGGGCAGGTTGATCTTGCGCACGATGCTGTCGCGACGTCGACGGGCATACAGCCACAGCGGCAGGGGAGCCACGGCACCGACCAGGAAGCACCACACCAGCGGCCGGTATGTGGCGCCACGTCCAAAGAACTCGCCCGGACCGACGACACCCCAGAGGATCGAGCCGTTGAAGTGCACGCGAGCAATCGGACAGGTGAAGCCGTTGAGCGCGCCAGGCGTGCAGAGGCCGGGAACGTTGCCAAACATCCAGTTGAGCACGGCGATCTGCGTGGCTGACGAGACCAGCGTGGCAACCATCTGCACCTGGAACAGGATGCGCGGCGGGATCTTCATGTAGTGGCCCAGCTTGAGGTCGGCGGCGAACTTGATGCCCTGGGCCGACGAGATGTAGCCGTACGTGACAAAGACCATGTTGGCCACAGGGCGGCCCGGGAACACGGCGCCACACACGAGCTGGCAGATCAGGTAGATGCTGACGTGCTGGTTGGTCACCGCCATGATGATGCCAATGGGGATGAAGAGCACCGCGCAGATGGCTAGGGCCAGCAGCAGGCCGTACCACGGCAGATGAATCGGATAACTGAGGGTCAGCAGGAGACCACGGCCAAGCAGCACGCAGGAAACACTCACTATTCCACCACAAACATGCCCGTTGCCGTCATCGTCACAAACGTCAGCAGGTACCACCACATGGGTGCGTCACGGTACCGCTGCATCAGCCGATTGTGCACGTCCTCGTGGCTCATCCGGCCGTCCAGGCCGCTGTCGCTGCGGCTTCTTGTCGGCTGCAGCGGCACCGAGTTGGCATCACGGCTGCCGTGGCCGGGATCACGGTCCGTCGGCCCCACATCGACATCGTGCGAGGCCACCGGCTGGTATGCAGCCGTCTTGGCCGACAGGTGGGCGGCCGACGCGGACTCGTCCAGCGAGTGCTTCCACTGGCGCCAGATGTCGCGGCCGTGCCAGCAGGCGGTGTGGGTCAGCAGCGAGGCCAGGCCGGCAAACTGCACGCCGTAGCTGAGGACGTACGTGATGGGCAGAAAGACGCGACTGTAGCTGCGGTAGGCGGCACGGTCAAAGACAAAGTCGGCCGTCAGGATGCGCTGCACGTCGTAGACGGCGCCGGTGTTGTCGAAGACGGCGGCCGACAGGATGGGCATATAGGCCGAGTACAGCCAGTTGCCGTAGTAGGCGAGCGGGGCCAGAATCCACATGACGATGACGAGCCCGCCGACGACGTTCATGGCGGCCCAGAAGGGCGTCAGCAGTGGCGAGCCGATGTAGGCGATCTGGGCCCAGTCAAAGGTCACGGGGAAGAGGCCGAGTCCGGACACGACGCCGAACAGATTGGCCACCACGACGCTGTCGGGGGCCAGCCAGGTCACCGCGTTGAAGTAGCTGAGGGCCGGCATCAGCAGCCCGGGGATGAAGTAGAAGAGGAAGGCGGCGAGGAAGACGACATAGAAGAAGTGCCACCGGCTGATGCGCCATCCGTTGGCCGGCCGGTTCTCCTCCTTGTGCAGGGTGGCGAACATGGAGGCCGACATGAGCGTCGACGGCCAGATCATGCCGCTCGGCCGCACGAGAAAGCGGCGCGAGAGCCCGGCAAACGTGTAGCCCAGAATCTGTGTCGACAGTGTCAGCAGCAGCTGGTAGGCCAGCCCGACGTCCTGGTGGTAAAAGTGTGTCTGCTCGACGATGACGTCAGTGGCAAAGGCGAAGCCGAACGACACATTGCTGCTGACGTAGACACATGTGTGCTCCTTCTCGTTCCACCGGCCCTGGGCCAGCCAGAGACGCAATCGCCCGAGCTGGAGGTGCCGGAAGAGCCCGTGGCCGCTGACGCGACGATGGGCTGCGCTGGGCACCAGCACGCCGTCGTCAAACTCCTCAGCCGGATCATCAGCCCGCTTCAGGGCCCAGTCCCAGGCAAGGCCGAGCGGGTGCACCAGCAGCAGCGCGATGACCGGTGTGATAGCCACGCTGGGGTAACGCAGTGAGAAGAACAGATTCGTCGACGACCCCAGAACCGAGAAGAGCGTTGAGAGGACCCACATGCGCGGCGTGTTGATCGACAGCAGCGTATTGTCGACCGGCGCCACTGACGCCCGCACCTGCGCAAAAGGCGAGTTGTCCGGCGGGTTGGATGAATCGGCTACGCTGCCGCTGCCGCTGCCGCTGCCGCCTGCATTGTCGTCTGGGGTGCAGTCGTCCGTGGCTTCGCCCAAAGCCTCCACCGGAACGGCATAACCGTACTCATTGATGTCGTACTCGTCGACGGGGCCGTCACGGTCCACGTCTGAACGAAGGCTGAAGCTGTCGCATTCGTCGTCGTCGTCGCTGCTGCCGTCATAGCTGGCCTCACTCGGCACGGCAGACACCGGGGCCGCCGTGCCGGCCACGTCAAACCGGCTGCCACCCAGGCCACTCATCAGCGCGGCGGCCGTCAGCTCGGGTGGCGGCACGCGCGTCGAGCCACCCGTCACGCTGTCGTACCGGGCGAATAGAGATGATGCGTGCGAGCGCTGCCGCCGCAGCGAGGAATAGCGGGACAACCTACCGGCGGCGTCGCTGCTGCCATGGGCTGTGGATGGCCGCGGGCTGATCTCAGCGACCTCAGCCGTCTCAGGTGCCATGCCGGAGAGCATCGTCTCCGACGTCACGGCGCCGTAGTTGGGACTAGAAAACCCTGGCGATGACCGCAGGGAGGCAGGCTTCTTTCTTCTCGGCATCGTGTCTGTCTGCGTGTCGTTTTCGTTGCTGTCGTCTATACCATGATCATGATGAATCCCAGCGTCGCCTGTCTCGTCCGCGCCCGTGCTGAGCTGCGGTGGTCCATGGGGGAAACGAGGGGTACGACGTCGTCGAGGCGTCGTCATGGCAGGAGAACACGCACGAGCAAAGGGAGGCCACCCTGGCAAGACAGTGATCGTGTCTGAGCGTGAGTCGCGTAGTGCAGTAGCTCCGACCGACCTCAATGGAGAGGGTGTAGCCAACGCTTGTAGGGCCAGCCGGTGCTGCGGGATGGACTGAGACGAGTGTTGGTGCGAAGGGATGTCGGTCATGGGCAACACGCGCGATCGGATTGGCCGGTGCCGATGGGGCAGCAAGACGGGGACAGCGTTGCAAGCGTCGCTAGCCAGCGGGGCAATGCAGACAAGACTGAGTCCGTGTAGGTTGCAGGGGTGTGCAAACGGTGAGAAGTGGATTGGATGGATTGAAGTGGCGTATGAGAGAGAAGAGAGAGAGAAGAGAGAAGAAAGGGAGAAGAAAGGGAGAAGAAAGCGAATAGAAAGAGAAGAGAAGAGCAAGAGAAGAGCAAAACGAAAAGACGATATGGCACGACGGGAAAACGGGTTCAGGACAAGGTGAACACGAAGAGACACGCCGAGCTATGCGAGACAGCTATCTGTTTTGTCTCGTTGCCCGAAACAATGTAGATAGTGCAAGACACTACGGAGTACAGTGCTCAGGGAAAGTGCAGTGCTCGAATGTGGGGCAGCGTGTTCAGCTATCCCGATACTTTTTAGAGGAATGCACTGTAAGAGTGAGTTTTCGCACTATAACGGAGTATGTAAGCCACTCTTCCGTCATACGCAAGAAGTCAATTCAGTAAGCCGATAGCAAGACGATCGTTTTTTCCTCACATACTGCTACTCTTGTGTGCCCGAAGATAGAATTGTTCAAGACAAGATACATTTGGACAAGAAATGTGCGGGACTGCACAGCAGTGCGATTAGCAATTTAAGCGGGCCGCGATAGCCCTTTTTCTACGACGACTCCACGGGCTGTCCTTTCACGTCGCATCCGCCCTGCATCGTCCAGATCGGCCTACACTTGTCAGCTGTGCCTCTGTGCCGCTGCCTACCCGACTACAAGTCGGCTTTTCCAGCATCCATCAACTTCGGCCTCTTCTACACCGAGCACCGCCATACTGGAGCACACCGTACCCATCCTCCCCCTCTCGCTGCACACATGTTTATTGTGCCCGATGCAGCCGTGGCTGCAGCTGTGGGCATGTCCGGCGGTGTCCTAGCTGCAGCCAAGAAGCAGCTGCGCCACCAGATGAAACAGCGGCTGGCCGCCCTGCCGTCAGCGTCTGTCGACCAGCAGAGTGAGCCTCCCTCCCCTTGACAACGTCCCATTGCATGTCTGACTCTGGCCTAGGTTCCGCCATCTTCAGCGCCCTTGCCGCCTTTCCGCCCTATCGGCACGCCCGTCGCGTGGCCGTCTTCCTGTCGATGCCCGCCGCCGAGGTCCAGACTGACGCCATCGTGCGCCACGCCCTGGCTGCCGGTAAGCAGGTCTTTGTGCCGTATCTGCACAAGCCCGGTTCCCATCTGGCGGCCACCGGACTGCAGCAACCGCCGCCGGCCCGGGTCATGGACATGGTCCGGCTACACGACTGTGCTGACTACGAGTCGCTGCTACCCGACCGCTGGGGCATCCCCAGCGTCTCTCCGGCCAGCGTGCCCAACCGGTCTCGTATCCTCGGAGACGGAGACGGAGACGCCCCAGTAGCGGCACGCGCCCTCGACCTCGACCTCATCCTCATGCCCGGTGTCGCCTTTGACGTCGATCCCGCCTCCGGCCGCATTCGCCGCTGCGGCCACGGACGGGGCTTCTACGACTACTTTCTGCACCGCTATGCCTCGGCCGTGTCGCCAGCCGTCCATCTCTGCGGCCTTGCCCTCTCCGAGCAGATCCTACCTAACCATGCCGACAAAGCGGTGCCAACGGGCCCCCACGATAAGCCGCTAGACAGTCTCATCACTGGAGCCGGTACCATCGTAACATCGCTGGGATAGACTGTCTCGCCTGACTGTCTTCTGTCTTGTAAATAAGCTGACTCAGCAAGGCTGTCGGGCAAGGAACAAGAATCCTCCGTCCGACGGCCGCCACACTTTGCGAAGCGGCAGCCGCTTTCAGTGAGAGGAAACCCCTCCTTTCAGCCCCACCTTCCCGGCAACGGGACTACTCCTCGCTCGTATTATTATCATTTTTTCTTTCTCTCCAAACAAGGTCTGTTAGCAAACGCCACAGTCCCATCATCCGCTATCACCAACGTCACGGCCAACGCGATATCTCCCCATCTCCTAATACAGCACAAAGCCGCCCCATCCCGTCCGGTCTATGTGCACTGCGCGCCACTGCTATCTGCTCTCACTTTTTTCTCGGCTGCCCTGTCGCTCTTCTTCTCTTTAGTTTTCGGGGTTTTCGTCTTTGGCTTCATCGTTTTCCCGCCTGAGCCTCAACCTTCCGGCCGGCCACTTACCAACGGCTTTCTGCCATCTCAGAGTCTCCTTCCCGTCCTGGACACATACTCGACGCTTGTCCTGTCACTCTCCTGAGCTCGCCGCGGCTGTGGCTGCCCCGTTTCCTTCTTTCATTCTCGCCCCCGCGCAGCCTCTGCTGCCGGAGCTCTCCGTCCCCCCCTCCCCGGGTCGGATACTGTCGACATCGGCGCCGCTTCCCCTCTCGCTGTACTACCTCCGGTCTGCCGCAGCCTGTCATCATGGCCTCTGAGAGCGCCGCAGAGGTGTTCTCGCCACAAAATGTCCTCGCCGGCATGGTCACAATGCGGGGCCACGACGCCTCCAAGAAGAAGGCCGCCATGGACTATCTTGCCAAGTTCCAGAAATCGGTTTGTTCTCCTCTGTCTCCCGGGGATGCTTCACCGTGCTCCGTGATGGCTAACAGCCCCCCAGGAGAGCGCCTGGTCTGTCACAATTACAATCCTTCAGTCTTCCGTCGAGGCAGAAGCCATGCTGTTCGCTGCGACAACATTGAAGGGCAAGGTAGCGACACTGCCCCTCCCCCTCTCCTGACGAGCAAGCGAGCAGTTCTCATCACCGTCACCCTGCTCCTCATGCCCGGATTTCTCTTGCCAGCAGAAATAAGCTCAGCTCCGCGTCTAACGTAACTCGCCAGATCACATTTGACCTCACCACTCAGGTCCGGCCGGACGACCTCCCCGGGTTGCGCAACCAGATTCTCCTGCTGCTAAAGAAATTTGCCCCTGGCCCACGACCTGTGCGCATCCAGCTGTGTGTGTGTCTTGCCATCCTGGCTATACAGATGACCGAGTGGAAGGATGTCCTCGCCACCGTTGTCTCTGCCCTGGGCAGCGACGTGGAGAGCCACGCCTGCATTCTCGACTTCTTGCGCGTCCTACCCGAGGAGGTCACCGAAGGTCGCAAGATCACCCTCTCCGTACGTTAGGAGCTGTCGTCGTCATTGTTGTGATGGTGGTTGCGATCATGTTGCTGACGTAAGCACAGGAAGAAGAGCTGGCCGATCGAACACGAGAGCTACTTGGCGACAACGCCGAGCAGGTCATCCAGCTACTCACCTCTTATGCCCAGTCATCTCGTGCGTTCTCTCTCCGCTCTTCGTCGAGCCTGTATCCTCTTCCCTCCATTTCGCTAACGCCATGCAGCCGCCGCCGCCAAGAATCCTCTTTTGCTAGAATGCATCACCTCTTGGCTTCGGGAAGTCCCTGTAAACACCATTGTCAACTCCCCGCTACTCAACGTCATCATTTCGGCCATTGGGAGCGATGACTCCATCCAGGCTGCTGCCGACTGTCTGGGCTCGCTCTGCCGGGAAACGAGGGACGTTGATGACAATCTCGAGACCATCCAGGCCCTGCTTCCGCGCATCATCGAGCTTCGGCCGAACATTCGCAGGTTCGCTGAGGATGAGGACAAGGAGTGCTTCAAGTCTCTGACGCTGCTCTTTGCGGATGCTGGCGATTCGTGGGTTGTGGCGATTGCCCGTGAACCCATCCATTTCCGCCCTCTTGTCGATGCGCTGTTGGAGTGTGCAGCTTTGGACAAGGAGTGTGACGTGATCCGCTATACGTTTGGATTTTGGTACGAGCTGAAGCAGTATCTGGTGCTGGAACGCTACATTGAGTCTCGTCTCCAGCTCGTCGATGTCTATTCGAAGCTTGTTGACATCCTGCTGCAGCGCTTGCAGTACCCTCCCTCCGAAACTGGCGATGATACCGTCACGGACCTATTTGACGGCGATCGAGAGCAGGAAGAAAAGTTTCGCGAGTTCCGCCACCACATGGGCGACACGCTGAAAGACGCTTGTGAGGTTATGGGCGTCACTGAGTGTCTGACTAAAGTTCTCAATGCCATTAGGATCTGGATGCAGACGTACGCTTCGCAGGTGTCAGCTACTTCGGTACCACACTGGCAGGAGCTTGAGGCCCCCTTGTTTTCCATGCGAGCACTCGGCCGCATGGTCGGCAAGAAGGAGGAGTCCGTGCTGCCGCAACTTATGCCACTCCTGGTGCAGATTCCGAACCACGAGAAGCTCCGATTTGCCACCATCATGGTCTTTGGGCGCTACACCGAGTGGACGACAGCTCACCCGACCTTCCTCGAGCCGCAGTTCAACTTTATCGTGTCCTCCTTCCAGAGCGAATCGAAGGAGATCATCCGCGCGGCTGCCCAAGCAATCAAGTTCTTCTGCACGGACTGCCGAGAGCTGTTGAGCGGCCAGGTGGTGCAGATGCAGCAATTCTACGACCAGATTTTGGACAAGCTCCCGGAGATGAGCCAGGAGGAGATGACCGAGGGCGTGGCCAGCGTCGTTGCCGTACAGGACCCCGGCGACGTCTACAAGCTGCTTAAGCTGTACTGCGATCCTCTGATCGAGCGCCTGATGCGCAAAGCCAATGCCGCCACGACCGAGGGAGGCAAATTGGCTGTTGCAGGTGAGTTTGCTTGCGCAAACCAACGAAAGAATCAGAATGCTGACGTACTGCAGACCACTTGCAATTGATCACGATCTTTGTGCAGAACGTGATACCATCGGTGCCCAAAGGCCAGGAGAACCCGGCGGTCAAGTACTGGAGCGAGGTGTTCCACGTGCTCTCGACGGTGCTGGAAAACTTCCTCAACTTCACACCGATCTGCGAGCGTGTCTGCCGGTGTTGGCGGTTTATGATCATCTCGTACCGCACGGACATGACACCGCTGCTAGCGGCCATGGCCAACAAGCTGGCGGAGGGATTTACAGTGTCAAAGCAAGGATGTTTCCTCTGGGTAACGGGGGCGATTTTGCGCGAATTTTCGGAAAATCGCGAGCACGTGGAGGCACAGATCACGGAGTCGATCTACGTGTTCTTCGAGTCGCAGGCAACGAGCGTGCTGCGCGTGATGAGCGCCCTGCCACCAGCCGAGCTTCCGGACGTGATCGAGGACTTCTTCCGGCTGCTGGTGGATGCGCTGCTGTACTACCCACACAAGCTGATCCCGTCGGCGCTGTTCACGCCAATATTCGAAGCAGCCATCTCGGCGTTGGCGCTGGAGCAGCGCGACCCGTTGTCGGCGACGCTGCACTACCTGCGCGACCTGTTGACGTACGGCGGGTCGAATCCGGCGCAGTCGGGCGGGCTTCCGGCCGAGACGGCGGCCCAACTGCGGCTGATCGTGCAGCAGCTGCTGGCGGTGCGCGGCGAGGTGCTAGTGAAGCAGGTGCTGGCCGGCATGATGATCACGTTCCCGCGCGACTGCTTTGCCGACGGCAGCGGCGTGCTTCTGTCGATGTTTGAGCTGCTGCCGGCCGAGACGACGGCCTGGCTGGACCGCACGCTGCAGATGCTTCCGGCGGGCACAGTGGCGCCAGACGAGGTGAGCCGGCTGATTGTCAAGATCCGCGACCGGCTGCAGAACCCCAGTCAGGGCGGGCTGCGCCAAGTGCGCGCGCTGCTGCAAGACTTTACCAACTCCTATCGGCGGCGATACATTGCGCCGCGGGACGGTCTCGGCGAGTTGGAGGCCACGCGCTTCCACTTTGCCGGCTGAAGGCCGGAGCGGACGAACGGGAGCCACGGAGCATTGGGCGAGACTGTGCATTGACATGGAAGCCAGCCTAGTGGTAGAAGAGGACGTGTTGTATCCCCATATCACATCAGCCGGTACAGAGTGGAGGGGGAAACGAAGAGACGAGTAGAGGAAGAGAGAAGAGAGAAGAGGGGCAGAAAGGGGGCACAGACACAGTTGTGGCAAATTCCAATATTTGGCACGTTGTGCTCTATCGGGGAAGCATAGGTGCCGCTGTATAGGGCAGTATATGTATGTAAAAGACAAGGTGCAGTCATGGCAGCAGAACAACCAGTGCTGGCTGCAAGAAGGATCACGTGGTGTCACGTGTATACGGCGAGAAGGCAGGTACAGATGGAAATAGAATAGTTGAATCAAACCAATACATGCTATGCAAACTACGTCGAGCCTGAAGAAGGAGAAAAAATAGCAAACGGACAGGAACAGCATGCAACCGGAACGCCAGATCTGCCCCTAAGAGGGAGCCTCCCAGTCGCCAAGCCAGGTGGCCATGATAGCCACAAGATTGTCGTATAGATCCGGCAATCCATCGAACTCTTCCAGCAGCATCTCGGGGCAGTGATTTCCGCCGGGCACGACGAAGACGGGCATGTCATCGGTGCTTGGCCGACGGCCACCATCCCGATAGTCGGACGAGACGGTGACATCGCGCCACGGGTCGACTTCGCCATTGACAAAGACGACGCGCTCAAAGGGGGCATCCCAGCCGCCCGTGTACAAGTCGAGGTGCTCGGGCGTCCAGCCGTCCTCGGCGCCGGAGCGGTAGCCATTGGTCTCGGGAAAGTACAGCGCGCACCGACGCGTGTACCAGTCGACGGTGATGTACTGTGACACAATGTTGGTGCCGTCGGTGACATTGGGGCCGACCTGCCACCAGCCAAAGGGATTGTGGCACAGCATCCACTCCCATGGACGGTCCGAGCCGAAGTCGGTCGGATCGTTGTACGAGGCATCGGTAGACGGGTTGTGCGAATCGCAGATGGTATAGTTGTCGGCCCGGCAGTACAGGCCGTACGTCCCGTTGATGTAATCGGCATACAACGGCAAGACAACATCTAGGCCAAGGCCGTCGACCGATTCATCCAGACCCGTGTTTTCGGTGGCCTCCAGCAGATCGCAGAACGCAAACACGGCCGTCTCGTTGTCCTGCCAGGATTGAATCGGCTGCGACACCCAATAGGCAAAATCGTCCGCCTCGAGGAAATCTAGCCCGAACATCGCCTTCAGGTCCTCGACCGCGATTGAGTCACCATCTGTCAGCGTATTGTCAATGTACTGCACCACAGCTCGCACGTCGGCACTGCAGTTGCGCGGCAGCCCCTCCTCAATCGGCTTGAAGTACGAGGAGAAGTCCGAGATCGTTTCGACCACGGCCGAGCTGGCATGATAGGCAAAGAACACACCCGGCTCCTTCTGCTGGATCCACGCCGCCAGGGCGCCCGAGTACGAGCCGCCGATCAGCACCCAGGGCGCCTCCGAAGGCTTGTCGAGAACCGTACCGTTGGCCACCTCGATGTCCACGTTCTGAGCAAAGTACGTCATGTCCTTCATGCTGTTGGGCAGGTCGAGGAACCGCAGCGTCTCGGCCGTCAGGGTGTCGAACGGCTGTGACTTGCCAAAATAGCGGTCTGCAGCACTGCTCAGTCGTCTGCCCTTTCGTCAGATGCAGGCAGAACTCACGCTCAATCACGACCACCAAGCCGCCAAAGTTCTCCGCATAGAGACCCGGGATGCCTTCTCGCAGGTAGCCCAGATACCCAGACGCATCTTCTTCCCCTGCCATGAACAAAAACACGGGCGAGCCTGGGCCGTCCCAGAAGTGCGTGTCAAGCCAAAACCGCTGTGTGAAAGTGCCCTTGCTGGCGTCGCTGTGGTCCAGCAGTTGTTGGAACGTGCCCTCGATTTGACCGTCCGCCGTTTCCGCCTCCTTCGCTGGAATACCGGGGAGCTTCCGGAATATCTTTTCTGCTTGCGTCTGCACATCTTTGCCCAGCACCGACACCAGGCTTGCGGCACCGGCAAGAACGGACATCCAGAACGAAGCTGCCTTCATGATGACGGTGGATGACAAAAGACGTAGCTTGAAGCCTGAAAAGACAGACATGGCAAGAAACGAGAGCCTCCATGGCACATAATATATACCACCTGAGAGCTGTCTCACAAGCCTCACGAGAGGCGCAGGAAATGTGCTCAAAACTCAGCCTCCATCCTTCGTCCTGTTGTGGAGACGGCAGTAATCGACAGCTCCTTTGAAGCTCGACCAGCCGGTGAGATTCTGGCGGCTTTTAAGTTTCATGTCATCTCTGCCAAACGAGGTCGTTAGCATCCTTCCATCGCTTTTTTTAGTTCACTGCTTGTGCCACAGTGGGACCAATTATAAAACAAGCCCGACTGGCTTCGTGGCGAAGCACTGCTTACAGCCATCCGTAGCCCCCAAATATGGTACTTCTATTTCTTTACAAGATTGGGCTCCCACAAGATTGGGCAGAAACTGCAGTAAGACGGAGCGATAAAACGGACCAGACATTAAGTGGAAAGACAATGAAAACGTCTGTGCATATCATGCCGGCAGACGTCTTGTCCGACATACTCTTGCAGTTCGGCTCTCGTTAGCAACAGGGCGGTATAAAGCAAAAGCATAAGCAGCTTAACTTCTTCACGCCGAGATAAAATAACGAAAACGATCCCTTCTTATTCTAACACAATCATATAGGCTCAAAAAGGAAACATGACAGAAATCACTCAAGCAGCTTCGTACAAGACGATATAAAGAGAAGAAGGAAATAGGTGATAAGAAGAGAACAAAATAAAAGAGGATGACGAGCCCACCAGCCCGGCCAGGCTCAGCATCTCAATTCATCAACGGTACCTCCGATCAGATTATAAACGGTTGGTCTATCCACACAGCATGACCGCCGCCGATGGAGTCGCCGTGAGAAAAATGCTCAATGCCAGCTGCCTGGCTGGCATCTTGCCACCGCATGCCCTGGAACCTATCAATGTAGGGCAGAACGTCGGGATAGAAGTCTCTCATATCACTATAACCGACCGGCTCCCCCATCTCATATCCCTGCGTTGTCACCGGCATGTGCTGCTCGGCCTGCATTTGCAGGTTCAGCTGCTGCTCGGTGTCGTGTGGATACCGTTCCCATGGCTGTATTGTAGCCGACGCCAAACCTAAACCTGCCTCGCCAGACATTGGCAAGCCGTGCGCCGAAATGGTTCCGCTGCTGCTGGGAAAGCTTCCGCCGTCCTGGCTCATGAATGCCACACCACCACAGCCAACCCCTGGTGTTTCCATCGCTGAGACATTGACATGCTCTTCTCCAATTACTGGCAACGAGTGACGGTCGATGGAGCTGCTGCCGTCACCATAAACTGGCATGTAGCGAACTCCCTCAGGTCCGGTAGATGAGCCGCAGTCCAAGCCAGCTGGCGTGCTGCTGGTCCGCGACCGATCAGAGGCTTCGACTATGGCATCGTCATCGGACAAGATCATGCCGTTATTCGTAACCTTTGGTCCATGAACCTTCCACTCGTCCAGCCCACCACCACCTCCTCCCATGCGGATGCTGAGCTCGCCCGGGCCATCGCCACTGTTGCGCTTGGCCATGTGTTTTCGATAGTCTTCCTTGACCCCCTCGTAGAATTTGTCCATATCTTGGAAGTAGCTGACATATGTGCAGGCCATCTGTAACCAGGTGGACATTTTGTTCAGTGCGCTGTAGGTGATTCCCGTAGGACCGTGGGTCTGAATGTGATAGTCGACTTTATTGTTGATTCTGCCGTGAGGCTTCGCTGTTTGTCCGCCATCCATTCCATCGAGCATATGCTTATGGGCATCCAGCGCGGGGAAATGCCATGCATAGATGCCAACGAAAGCAGCCGTCCATATGGAAAAGACAACCAGTGCCGACATGGGCAGCTTGTCGCAGCCCTGGCATATTTCAATTAAGTCAACAATGTCCCGAGCTGCCTTAAAGATTTGCTCAGCACTCTCATCCCAAAACCCAGGGGGGGCGCTTCCCTTCGGGAACGTTGGTTCGTCAAGGGGTCCCTCGGGCCCATCACAACGGATGGGAATAAACGGAATGTACTCGCGGTGCAGCATAATCCTGCAAACTGCGCCAAGCATATGCAGTGACACATAGGCGCTGGAAGCCTGGTGGCTTTCGTATACGTAGTAGTTGCTTCTTGACAAAGTGAATATTGATGGCAGGCCCTTATAGAATTTGTCGAGCACTCTGCGAAGTCGTAGAAACTCCGTCTCCTCCCAAGGTGGCCGCTTTTCGACCCGACGGCCGCCAGCAAAACTGTACTTTGAAATCTCCCCCCATATGTCGACCAGCTGTATGAAGCGAGCAAGTACACTGTCGCCGCTTTCGTTGGTCTCCTGTTCGTTGTCGGCGGTATCAGTCTCATTCAGGGACTTCAGATATCTCGTGCGGACTTCCTGCCCGAGATCAAATGCAAAATCAGAGCAAGGAAGTTGTATTTGTAGGTCTTTGGAGCGAATCGCTGGCAGTCGCTTCTCACCACACGATAGCAATCGATCCAAAATAAGGCAGCTAAACATAGTTCGTCGCCGTATCTCGTTGGTCACAATATCATCGGCCAGTGGCACGGGAACTTTGGTCAGATCTCGCCGAGGAGAGCTATCAATTCCATCAGCTTTCAATGCCCGTCGTTCCACAGCTTGCGGATCTGCATGGGCTGCAAAAGTAGCAGATACGGCGGCTCTACGGTGACGTTTACCGCCTGGCCTGCCGTCAAAGCTTAAGCCCAAGGCCTGGGCCATCCGAATGGCGACCCCAACGTACATCCACGCGCCCAGGCCGCCGGTCTTCCGTTTGGCCTGGCTCCATTCGTATAGGCCCAGCATGAGAAAGGCTTGGACGCGTTCAATACTAGCCAAAGTCATGCTAGCGCTAAGAGGGCCCAGAGCCTTGGTCAGAACGTCGGCATAGTATTCAGAAGCAGCCCACGGATCGGCCTTGGCTGTAGCGGGTGACCGGCCCTTTGTGCTGCTTTGATTGGCAATGGTTTGGGCAACATATTTGACCAGGTCCGAATGGAAGCGAGAAGTCAAGGTAAGCACTCCCAGCAGCACGAGATTGGTGTCAGCAGAGCGCCGCTTTTGCTTAGTCTTGGAACCGGTACCCATGTTTTCCTTCAAGGTCGGCATGTGTAGAAACGGCAACTCGCTAGCAAAATGCAGGCGATAGATGTTGCAAACTTGCATCCACATGGCCTCGGTGAGGTAAGGGGTGGACAATACTTCCTCGGCATAATATGCACCAGAAGACGGAGCATCAGTGCGAAAGGCATCCTCAAGTTTTTTCAGGCGCTTCCGCTCGGGGCCACGGTCTGCCAGACCATCGTCGCGCTTGTAAGTGATGGATCCAGTCGCAGGACTGACGACGGATGTGGGTATCTGCGGGTCTGCCGTCCGTCTCGGGGTTGGCGTATTGACAGCGGGGTATTGGCAGTCGCGGCCAGACTTGATGCATGTTTCGCACGGCGATGACGCCTTGCCATCGTTGTCACACTTGATCTTAGATCGACGACAGCGCATGCAGGCAATACTGGACCGCATTGGTGGACGTTTGACGTTACTGCTCTTTGTGACCTCGGCAACAATCGTCGCAGTTGTAGAGCCGGTCGGAAGGAGTGGAGCCAGTGGCGGTTTCGTCTCATAGTCAAGCAAGGGCATTGTCGGAGGGAAGATATGGCCCTGGAGAGCAGTTGCGTGCGTTGACGTTGCTAAAACATAGTTCTCGCTCTGTGGGAGCTGTCCATACTCTGGCACTGATGGTACCGAATATCCATGTCCTTGGGAAGCCGTCGTTCCACCTCTGCCCCCCGCGGCAGAATGGGTGGCTAACACGTTAGGCTGCGTGGTGGGATGTTGCTGTTGGTGCTGATAAGAATAAATCTGTTGGTGCAGAGGCTGTGGCTGTGGCTGAGGCTGATGTTGTTGAGGAAGCAGAGGCCGCGGTTGTGACACCGATTGCAGATGTGAGGGCGGCACTGGTGCCTGGGCTTGGAAGCGATAATTGTCTGAGCCTCGAGATGGCGTGGGATATATTGGTGGGAGGTGGGTTGCAGAAGGCGTAAGGAATGGAGCCGATGCTGGACCAACCACAACGTCTCCGGGGCTCTTAGCTGGACTGAGAGCAGTAGAGAATGCCTCTTCGTGATTTCTCTTTGGTGTCGACGCAACGGATGGCGATGTATCATAGGAGTCATCGATGCCCGGCTCGCCGGACAAGATGTTTTGGATGCGGAGTTGAGAAGCAATTTTGACGACTTGTGGGGATCTGACGGTAGCAGACCCCGGCTTCCTTATTATAGCTACTACCTGTTCCCCTTCCCCTCCAGGGGTTTATTTTGGTTGTGTTTTCGTTATTGTGTTTGCGGATATGTGTGTGCGAGTGGTGTATGTGTGAGCACATGCAGAGAAGACGAGGTAAGAGGGCTGGTACTGCCGTAGGTGAATGTTCAGAATGTCACTCGCTCCTGTGAGTGCCTTTCTCGTAGCGTCTTCTGCACGTCCTTCGGTCACACACGCACAAGCACGAAGTGTACGGAGGACACAGTGCTGCAGGCCTTATGACTAATGTGGTGTCGTACCTCCGTTTCCTCAGTAGTCTGCCCGCGACGGTATGTCTGGGAGAAATGCAATGTCCAAGACCTGGAAGAAGCAAGGAGGGGGTGTATGTTTGGAAGCAGGAAAGGGGGTGGGTAGAAAACACGAAGAGGAGAGTTGTGTAGGGGAGGGGTGGCCCGGTTGGGGTTTAGTCGGGCAGAAATGTTAATCCAGAGGAAACCGCACGGCCGTTTCGATAGCTGGGATGCGTGGGGTTGTTTGTAGACAAGGCTGTGCTACGTCTTGGAGCTAGAGGGTTGGCGGGAGGATGCTCTTTTTGATCGACTACTCCTTGCGTTTGTGGCTTGTGCCCTTTAGATGGGAAAGTCGACTGTGCACGATGCTAGAAACCGAAACAGGACTGACTCGAAAGCTAGTAGATGCTGCTATGTGGGAGATCCCTAGAAGCGGAAGGGTTGAGATGAAAGAATAGGAGGAGGAAGCACGAGAAGGGAGCCGAAGGGGGGGTGAGGGTAAAGAAGCAATCGGCAGAGGGCTAGCGAGATTGACGGCGCAACATGAACTGGCGGGTACTGCAAGACCGGCATACGCCGCGATTGCCAATCGGTAGGTTGACACCGGTCCGTTTGCCAGATGTCACAAGGATCAAGGCTGGTGGATTATGACAGGTGGAAGTCAGATACGAACCTTATCATGGGGTTGGCTTTATTGGATGCAGATGTCGAAGAGGACGGACAGTGTCTCTGCTATTTCAGCGCGTTTTGGTTGAATCTCGCAGCGAGTTGTTGTCCCAGACAGAACCCAGCTATGCTTTGTTGGATGTCTTTGTGGCGCTAAAACGGTTGGCTGTCGCAGCAGAAACATACAAATCTCTGTGGGCACTGCTAGCCGCAATCACAAAGCATGCGGACTCAAAAATGCCAACATAGCGAGCCCTTCAACTCGAGGACCGTCGTGATGCTAAGGGCCGGGTCGCCGTCAGTGCTTTTGTCGTTGATTCAGAAAGGCGAAATTAACAACTGACAGGCTGTGTTGCACGAGTATCGATGTTGGCGATTATTGAGTTGAAATGGGCGGGGAGGAGGAAAGCGGTAACGAAGCATGCCAGCTGGTTGGAGGGGATACGTTGTCAGGTTGGTCCGTGTTTCTTTTGCAGATTTTCCTTGATTTTCTTGTCCGAACGCCTGTGTCCTGTCTCTAATAAGAAGGCGCGACGACGTCAGCCATCGAATCTGGCAAAAACCAGAGGCGGGTCGGCAGGAGCGAGAGGCCCAATTCACAGGGCGGGAAGAGGGGCTTCTCTGTGGAGAGGCCAGGGAGCTGTTGCCGCTTCCAGAAGTAAGATACATACAAGACCCCTCATCCACGAGATTTGCGACAGCGGACAGTGGACACGCTCTTTTCGGCTCAGCTTGCCTGCAATTGCGAAGTCCGCCGAGACGGCTGGCAAGGCGCCAACCAACATGCATGTCAGAGGGATAAAAGTTGGCTGGCGCCATGCATACACCGCTACACATACCTGTGTTACGAGACGCTGTGACAGCTCCGGATAGAGTAAGTTGCAGGCAGGCGCAGTTGATAGATATGCATCTGGCTCGCGTTCGCACAGGGTTCGGCTCTTCTACGGGGGCATACGGAGCGTAGCTATGGTCTTTCTATCGTTTGCCTGTGGATAATCTGACTCTCTCTCGTGCTACTAGTCTTTCATGCAGGTGGCTGGGAATAAAGCACCCCTTCCTGCCCATCCCTCGCCAATAGCCTGCTGCCGAGTGTTGGTCACCAATTGCATACTATGTAGTGTCAACCACGAGCCCAAACACGGACACCGGCGCCGGCGCTGACCGGACATGGGAGTGCCCTAGAGGGAGGGACGAAAAAGCAAACTAGGGGATGTCAGCCGCTGCTGGCCCCTGTCTGTTGCTCATGTATCTTATCTTTGTTTGGCACATGGCTTCTCCTCTTCGAAGTCTTGCATGAAGGCTCCACAGACAATGCACCAGCTCTTATTTATTACACTGTCGCAGGATGATGAGGTGTGCCATTGCCGGGATACAACACAAATCTACAACCCAACTCAGCGAGCCATCAATCAGGAACACGTCGCAGGCAGCTTCGCAGGATCTTAAACTAAAAAGGAAGCGTTGAGGGGGGGATATTGACGGGGAGCAGGCAAACTGGCCAGCCTTGTTATCCTGTCTTGCCGTCGCTGTCACTGCATCAATAACATGCCATCATGATCCTCCTGACAGGAGTAGCCTGACAATGGATGGTCGACCAAACGGACAATTCGCAAGCCTCAAAGTCCTCAATCCAACTTATCCTGCTTCGAGATTTCCAATTCGACAAACTACTCCAAACTTTGACAGCAATGTTGCATAGTAGACTGCATCCTCGATATTGCAATTTGAATCGCGGGTTTATCATATCTCCCGAGTCGATGCGGAGTTACGACAATCCTGGGTTTCTCTGAAATATGTGCCGTCGTCTTGTCATTCTATGTGCTTTGTTCGCTGCAGAAGGACGAAATTCATCTCTCGATGCGACTTAGACTCTCATATCAAGGCTCAGGCTATGGGACAAAAGCATCTGGTGGGATACATTAGCTTCTTCGCTGATCACTATGGTGTCCGAGTAGGCGAAAGCCAAAGAATCAGAATGCAGCGACGACGACGCCGAGGTGATGAGGCTGTGCCGTAGCAGCCATCTTGGCACTACGATTTCCTCATGCCGTTGCCCAATGATGTGCCTCGCTTGGCAGAGAATCCCTGCAGGAGGCAGCCCTGTTGGCCTCCAGTGTTTCAACGCGCCAAACAGCGATCTGCTTTAGGCGCCAGTACCTATTTTAACGCTGCTACGCGCGTGAAGGCCGTCAGAAAAATGGTCGGTATATCATGGCGGTTGGTTGCTTGGACTTGCGTGCTTTCAATTATCATTTACTTTCGCTCCCGTTCTTCTGCTCGATCTGACTTTGACTTGTTTCGTTGAAGAACCTCATTTGACATTGCCGTCAATGGTTCGACGTTTCCCCTCTATTTCACTCAATCGCTGAAACGCCACTGTGGACAACGCGGTACGTCAGATACCCCGCCCTCAGCATCTTGGCCGCCGCGCTACACTGCTCAGAAATCAGCAGTTGGGAATCTCCTGGATAGGCGTGCATTCTGTGAGGTTATATCGAGGTGAATGCGTTGTGGTGCACAAGCTTGGCACCGCTACGGAGTACAAGAAACCTGTTGCGCCTCCTTCCGAACTAAAGTCCCTCAAACCTTCTAATCATGGCCTCGAGCCTCAATGTAAGTTCCGATAATCTGAGTCTCACGAGCTATATTTGCCAGAACCCAGGCCGGCATTCTCTCCTCTCCCATAGCTCACAACCCTTTTCACTGTTGCAGGACCCAAAGCTGCTGTACGCCATAACTGGCGTCTCGGCCTACCACATCGCCAATGGCGTCGAGGACTCGCTGACGCCTGCTGGGCCACAAACTCTGTCTCTCCTCATGGTACCTACCGCATCGCCCTTTGCCGACCTCTCCATCGACTCTGCGGCCGGCAGCAATCCACAGGAAGAGGACTTCTACCTCCACCTCCATTTGCCACCTGAGCTCGATCTCCCGCTGCCGGCCACTACTCAGATCTACCACCAGCCACCTTCCAGCTATTTGATCCCGCGTTGGGATCTTGGCCGCAACAGTGGCGTCTTCACGCGCATAGAATTCCCTCTGGCTGGCAGCCGCAAAGGCTTGCAGGAAGATGTGGACACCTTCGAGACTATCCTGGCCCAGTGCACTGCCTTCCTCGAACGCGCACCGCCGCCCAAGACCAAGAATGATAGACCTTACCGGCCGGTGCCGGCGCCTCCGCCGTCTGCGGCTGCTCTTGTGAGAGCCAGCACTACCGGTGGTGTTGGGTCTTCCAGCCGCACATCCACCGGCCATTACCAGTCGGACCAGAAGCCTCGCCAATCTCTATCCCGGTCCTCCACCAGGTCTACGATGGCAGAGGACCTACCGGCATATAACCCAGCGACTTTCAAGCCGGGCGAGGCCTATGCGGCCGGCAGCCATAGCTCCTTTGTTGGAGGGCAGATTGTGCTGATCGACGAAGAGGACGGCAGCGTCATCGGCGAGCTTGGCGAGGGCTTTCAGGTGATAGAAGACAAAGCACTGACACCTGGCTCCAAAGGTTCGCCTCATCGACTGCTCCCACAGCTATTTTTGTCCGTCTTTGTCTGCACCATTTGCTAACAGCACAGAACCGGTGGAGATAACACTGCCAACTGATGCTGTCCCCAGCATCTCGGTGGCGCCAGCCTCTCGTGAGGACGTGGAGGCGCTGCACCCGGCCTACAGGAAGTCACGATTGGTGTCCAATGCAGCAGCAGCATCACGACTCATCGTAGCCACGTCCGAGGTTGTGTCCAAGGCACTGCAGGCCCAGGCCGACAATTATTCGCGCAAGAACGAGCCGGCCAACAAGCCCATCACCTTCAAGGCGAGCACACACGAGCACGTCCGTCGCATCAACACGTTGTCGTCCGGCGCTGCCAGCCTCTCGGCCAAGGCGGTCGGTCAGGTGGGGAAAGTGGCGCAGAACTTGGGCGCATCGCTGGCGGGACACAAAGCTGGCCGGGAGGGCGAGGGCGGCAGCGCCAGGGGCGACGGTGCTGCCGGCCTCCGTGGCAGTGGTTCTGGCAAGGGCCGCGGGCCTTCGGCCAAAGGCTACGGACCGGACGGCGAATACATTGACAACTTCAAGCCGGGCCTGCTAAACAAGAGCCTGATGGCCTTCTCGACCGTCGCCGACGGCATTGAGCAAGCCGGAAGACAGCTGCTGGACTCATCGTCGGTGGCTGCGACAACGGTGGCTGCACACAAATGGGGCCCAGAGGCGGCCGAGGTGACCCGGCACCTAAGCACCGGTATCAAGAACGTCGGGCTGGTCTATATTGACGTGACAGGTGTTTCGCGTAGGGCCATCATCAAGAGTGTGGCCAAGGGCATGGTGGTGGGCCACGTGCCGGGCGGCGGAGACCTGATTGTCGGTGGCGGTTCCGAGAGAACCGGAGTGACGGTCGTTCCAGGGCCTTATGACAACACGGCCAAGAGTGGCCGCAGCAGCAGTCGCAGCAGCAGCATCAGTGTCAGCGGCAGCACAAGAGAGTCTCGCGACAATCGGGCGACAAGCAAGTTTTCTGACAACAATCCATACCGGGGACGTTGAGCGTATGTGTGCGCGTGAGTTGTCGGTCGGGATTGATTAGTGTTGTTCGTATATATGCTTGCTTAAAGGAGAGGCCTTTGTATTCTATACTATTCACAGCAATGAAGATATGATCAATTCGTACATACGGAGTACTCCGTACAACGATCTTACTAATGGACCGATCATTGCTCTAGACGGCGCTAAAGCAAGAGCCACCCGCTAGACGCGTCGTGACCCTCAGCGATTCTGTTCCCGTGACTTCCCTCGACGTCGACGGCTGCATCCCAGGCCTCATCGAAAGCACGCATTCACTTGTACCAGACCGGCCCCGATGGTCCTCCTCTGCGCCCGTCCGACATGAACGAACAAGCGCAGTTTTGCACGCCCGTAACGAAAACCCCGGCAACTGCATCTTCATGTGCCGTTTCGAGCTGTTTGGCTGTCTGATCCTGCTTGTCCACGACATTGAGGACTGGTTTCGGCGAGAGTCTGTGTAAATCCTCGTTCCAGCACGCCGTACTTCCAGCCGATTGTCTGACTCTCAGCTCTGCGACATGCTGCACGAAATTCTCCTGTCCCTGTCGGGCCACCGTTCGCCGCTGCTCCGTCCCGACCATGCCCCTGCCGGCTCTATTCACACTCTCTCCACCACACTCTCCCCACCAGAGCGAGCTCTACTTACCGACCTCAGCCGTCTGAGCGATCTGCATATTCGTCTGCGCGCGCAGTCAGCCCGAATCGTTGCCCAGCATCCGTCGGTGGTGTGTCGCGCCGTCGGCGCCGCCATCGAGTCGGTACACCTTGCTGCCTTCCAGCAGGCTGTGCTGTCCACCGAGGCCACCGTTTTACGACGCGATCCGGCCCTTGTCGGTGCCTACGATATCGTGCCGCTGACGGCTGTGGCGGCTGCCTTTGCTGATTGGCCACGGCGGCTCAACTGGCTCTGGGAACTGGCCCAATTCGTCCTTCCGGCGGCGGAGCCGTCTTCTGAGCATCCGTTACCCTCTGGTGCGAAGCTGATTGACCATCTGTGTGGCGAGCTTCAGACGGGCTATGAGGACATTGAGGCTGCGGCGCGCAGTCTGGTCCACGTGGCTGAGATGGCCTGGCTCAAACAGGTCTCTGCCTGGATCCTGTACGGACGGCTGCCCAGCTTCGGCGGCGACGACTTCTTTGTGCAGCAACAGACTGCCGCGGCCGAGGCGCCCTTCACGGCCGGGGAGTACGTCTGCATCGCGAGACTGCTGCCTTCCTTTGTAACGGCATCGACGGCCGCTTCCATGCTCTCCATCGGCCGGTCGCTCGTCCACATGCGGGGGGCAGCCGCCGCCGGCCAGCACCGCCTCGACAGCAGAGCAGCAGCTGCCGATGCGGAGATGAGCAGCTTCCAGGACTTTCACCTCTCGAGCCAGCTGCAGGAGCTGTCGAGGCTGACGTACCCGCTGGACGGCACCACCTTTTCCCGTGCCGTTGTGCGCATCCGTGCCGTGCTGTCACGGACCGCACTGCAGCGGCTGCTGCCACCGGCCAAGGTGGTCGAGATGCTGCAGCTGCTTCGCGACTTTTTCCTTCTCGGCCGCGGCGAGTTTGCCATGGCACTGGTCGAGCAGGCCGACGCGGCCATGCGCAGCCGCTGGCAGCAGGTGGGCCATCTCGTGTCCAACGCGACGACGGCCAGCGGTCTGCGCGGAATGAACGCGGTCATGGTCAAGGACGGCGAGGTGGCAGCCGTGCTGTCCCGCACGTGGGCAACGCTGGGCGCCATGCAGGCCGGAGGACGGCATGCAAACGTTGACGACGAGGAGGACGAGGACGAGGGGCTGGAGCTGGCCCGCGAGACGCTGCGGCTGTCGATCTACCGGCCCTCCTCGTCCGACGGGCGGGCATCCACACCACAGCAGCACATGCCAGCCATTGTCTCTACGCCTTTCCGGAACCTGCTGCTTTCCGTTCCCGTTACCCTGACGTTGCAGGTGCCCTATCCGCTGGACCTTGTGCTCAGCCCGGCCGACCTCCAAGCCTACGCGGCCATTCATGCCTACCTCCTGTCCATCCGTCGCGCACACATCCGACTGACTGGCCTATGGAAGCTCTCGTCGTTGAGGCGGCACCACCCACCACCGCCGGGACCGCCATATGGAGGCCCCAGTACCAGCAACAGTCTCGCACATGTGCGAATGCTTCGTGATCGCTATACGACACGGGCAAACGCGCTGCGCAGCATGTGGGCGACGAGCAGCGCAGCAGTCTTTTTCTTGTCCGTGATGGAGGGGTACCTGCAGGCGGAGGTGGTGGTGGAGCTCTGGGACGGCTTCCAGCAATGGCTGGCGGTGGGGAAAGATGCGCCGCGAGGGGAGGATTCGGGCCGTGATCACGGCCAGGAAGACGGTCCAGGCTCCGACGAAGACGACAAGGACGGGGATGTCTGGATGGCCGAGGCTGCTGGGGCATCGAAGCAGAAAGACGCCACGGCGACGTCGCACGACCCGCAGACGCTGGCTACAGCCCACCGGCGATACCTGCGGCGACTGTTGCGAGGACTGCTGCTGGACCACCACGCCTGGACGGATGCGCTATACGTGCTGCTGGTGGCCATGGACCAGCTGGTAGCACTGGTGCAGCGGCTGCACGCGCTGTGGGCCGCACTGGACCTGGAGGCGGATGCCGGCGTGGTAGATGCGTTTGTAGATCTCGACCGTGAGCAGAACGACGTGATGGATGCGCTATCGGCTGCAGAAGTGGACGTGCGACAGGGCGTGGGCTCGGCAGTGGAGGTGTTGCGGGATCTCAACGGGGAGGACGACGATGACACGGAGGAGGAGGAGGACGACGACGACGACGAACCCCTGGACACATCCCTCGGAGCAGATCGGTCAGGACTGGGCCTACGGGCAGTTGGGACGTACGTGCCGCGACGAATCGGCGGCCTCGACCGGCTGCTCATGAAGATGGATTTTGGCAGCTGGGCGGCGGACAAGCATCCGCAGGCGGCGGGCCATTACGGGAGCTGAAAAAGGCCCGAGGGATTTGAGCGAGAAGGGCGAGAGACGGCACGCATACGATGAACATCACGGCAAACATACGATACGCGAGCTGCAGCGAGTAGTCAGTAATGGGGGGCCCGTGGGCTGAGCGGCCGGCTGAAAGAGGAAAGCTTATGCGGAGCATTTTGGGTGGAAGCAAAAACCCACCTAATAAAGACGGATATTGAGAGGTTATACCCTGTTCAGAGGCGGTGGTCAAGCCAAACTGGCTACGCGTGTCCTGCGGAAAGGCAAACACGTCGCTGGCCAGACCTGGTGGATACGAGACGGGCTGTCGAGCATCAGAGACACGTAGAGACAGGAAAGGCCGGTTCTGGCTCCTGATTCGTTCCCGGCACAGAGGTCAGCTCGCCCGCTGCAAATTGGCATGGGACCATCAGCACAGCCGGCGTGCTCCGAGAGGGCAGCTGGCAGCTGTATCTGGCTTGGATGGCCATTGTTAGGATATGTACATGGTACACTTCACTTCTCTGGTCTTCGGCGGCCTTTGGATCTTAGTTTCTTCTTCGCTTCCTACCCGCGTACGCTAGTGTAGCAGCCCAAAGAGCAGAAGGGCAAGATGGAGTGGCCGTCCGAGCAAAGTCTGACAAGAATACGCGTCTGAGCGTCGGGTCGGGCGTTTTGTTGATCTGACAGAAATGACAGCGCCGGTTTCCCCGCAAGGTAACGCGCTCAGCTGCATGCCATTCGAGCGTCCTGGCTTTCTCGAAAACGAGTGGAATGGAAAGCCGTTGTTGCAGTGGGCAGAGATGGCGCGGCAGTGGAGCCGACGAGACGATGGGCTAGGCACGCACAGTGCGATGTTGGCTTTCTGGCCGAGCATGTGAGACGGATCTCGCCGACGCGTGAGGGCGCTTACTTTCGCGTACTGTGGACGTACGCGCAGACAACAGCATTGTGCCGATGCAGCAGACCTGCTGAAAACAACAAGCACTAACACTGGCTGCCCCACCCCTCGCCTCCTTACGGCACCGTGCTGCAGCTCGGTCATGCACTGGCCGCCGCCGTTGCTGCCTGGATGCCTGGATGCCTGGGGCCTGACGACTTTTTCTCGTGTCTCAACCCAGTCTCTCTGTGCCTGCCTGTCCGTCCACCCTGGCTCTGCTTGCCTCCGCTCCTGCCTCGCTTTACCTTGTTTGTTTGTCCCTTGCCTTCTCCTCCCTCCACTACGACTGCCCTCCCTCCCTGAATTCTTCAATCCACTCCCTCCCACTTCTCGTCATCTATCCACACGCCCGCCCGTTTGGTCATTTTGGTGCAAAACCGCCAACAAGGGGTCCAGGGTTCAACGTCCGCCAAAGCATACAAGAGCGAAATAAAAAAAATTCCCCCCCTTCGTCACATTTTCGATAGCGATCGAACGCATCGATCCATCTCGATATCCTTGCCCGGGCGTCGTGACGAGAGAGAGGGCCTCTTCACGTCGTTTTTCTCTCTCTCTCTCTCTCTCTCTCTCTCTCTCTCTCTCTTTCTTTGTACTCGCATTCCGCCTCATCTGTTTTGTTCGACCCTCCCATCCCATCGCTCGAGTACACACCACGCGAGTCGCCGACATTGTCTTCTCCCGCCGCCCTTCCCCTCCACCCCCCCTGTCTCTCGAATCATGTCCAACAGCCTCTCCTTTGGCAATGTCAATGGCCTGAGGCGCGGTTTCCAGCAGCACACCAACGCTCAGTCAAACAAACCGCCGCCGGCAACCCTCTCGCACGCCACGCCCTACCAGACCTTCCATCCGGCACAGCAGACGCCATCGCCATATCCCCATCACCTCTTTCCCGGCACCGCGCCACCTCCACTTCAGGCTGTCCCCGGACTCCAAAATGCCGGCCCTCGACCATCGCCGCCGCAGGTCACGGCCACCGTGCCACGAACACGACAGATGCAGCCGGCTCAGCCCGTCGCGTACCTTGCGCAGGCGCTAAACCAGCAGACGATGGGACACCAGGTACAGCAGAACGACGGCACGCTGATGGCCCAGCAGCGACAGCAGCAGCCGCAACACCCCCAGCATCCGCAACATCCTCAGCATCCCCAGCACCAGCAGATGACGCAGCATCAACAGCACCCACAACAGCTCCAGCAACATGCTCAGCACCCGCAGCAGCATCCGCAGCATGCCCAACATCCACAGCATCCACAGCATCTCCAACATCCGCAGCATACCCAGCATCCTCTTCCTCAACACACACCGCACCCTCAGCACTCACAGCATCCTCAGCATCCTCAGCATCCTCAGCATCCTCAGCATCCTCAGCATCCTCAGCATCCTCAGCATCCCCAGCACGCTCAGCATCCTCAGCACTCCCAGCATCCTCAGCATGCGCAGCACCCACAGCTTCCCCAGCATGCTCAACACACGCAACACCCGCTCCCGCAGATGCCTCAACATTCCCAGCCTCCGCCAAGTACCATACAATCCCAGACACTTTCCCAATCTCCTATACCTCCATCGCAGCAGCTTCAGCAGGTCCAAAAGGCCCAACAGGCTCAGCAGCAGGCTCAGCAGCAAGCTCAGCAGCAGGCTCAGCAGCAAGCTCAGCAGCAGGCACAGCAACAGGCGCAGCAACAGGCGCAGCAACAGGCTCAACAACAGGCTCAACAACAGGCACAGCAGCAACAGCAGCAGCAACAGGTGCCTCCCATACAGCAACTGCAGCAGGTACAACAGCAGGTGCAGCAGGCCCAGCAGCAGGTGCAAGTACAACAAGCCCAGCACATGCACCAGGCACAGCAGGCGCAGAAAACACAGAAGTCGCAGGCCCAGCAGCAGGCCCAGAAGTTACAGCACGGTCATCAGGTTCAACACCAGCAGGCCCAGCAGCAAGCCCAGCAGGCCCAGCTACAGGTACAGAAGGCCGTCCAGAGCCACCATCAAGTCCCTCAAGCATCACCGACGCCACCACCTCCGAAGCTAGAGGGCCCGGCTCAGCCGCAGGAGGACCAGATCGAAGACGAAATGGAGGTGGAAAGCCAATCCAACGAGACGGGAGACGGCCAGGACGACAAAAGCAGCGATGCCAACATGCCGTTCGTGCCCAGGCAGCCAATGGGCGCTCTGATGTCTGCACCCCCAGAGGGCGGCAGCTTTCCCACTCTGGAAGCTGTTCACAAGTTCGTGTTATCATACTGCACTTCGGTGGGCTATGCGGTAGTGATTGGTCGATCCAAAAAGACCGTACCTGGATTGAAGAAGGTTTTGTTTGTGTGTGATCGAGCAGGAAAGCCCCCGAGGCGAGTAAGTCCGGAACAACGCAAGCGAAAGACGTCGTCGCGCAAGTGTGACTGCCAGTTTGGGTTTTTTGCCATCGAGCAGCGGACACAGTGGACAGTACGCTACCGACCAGACTCACAGCACCTGCAGCATAACCATGGACCCAGCGAGAGCCCGGTGCTGCACCCTGCAGCGCGGAAGCTGGACAGCCGTATGGTGGCAGCCGTGAAGGCGCTCAAGGACGACGGTGCGTGCCTGACCCCTCCGAACCAAGGACATGAGAAGAACATCAGCTGTTCTAACACGTTCACAGGTGTCGGCGTGAGTCAAACGCTTGAGATCTTGCAGACGGAAAACCCACATGTCCCGCTGCTTCCACGTGACATATACAATGCTCGTGCAGCCATCACGCGGAACCCGCAAAAGGTTGCGTCTGGCATTGCTGAGAACCGGCCGGCGATCTACAGCAAGCCGCAGCCGACGGCCGAGGAGCGTATCCGCGCCGACCTCCGTCGTGAGCTGGCTAGAGCCCGCGAGGATCTCAGCAAGATTTCCGAGGAAAAGCAAAAGGAGATTGACGAGCTCAAGCAGAAGTTGCAAGAGAAGGACCGAGTGATCCAGCGGTTCGAAATGTTTATTGACATTTGCAACCAGAGGGTCATCCTGCAACGCGAGAGACTATCGGACTCCAACGAAGGAGGTAGCGAAACCGCCAACACAGCATCCTAGAAGCCTACACTTGGCTCCATCAAGCCGTGCTTGCACCACTTCATGCTTCAAGCTGCCGGGAAATACCGCATGGCTGATCACATCATGATCTATTGCTCTTTCAAGTTCGCCACGAGTGACAACGGGATATCCAAAGGGAAGACGGATGGGAGGGGACGTGCTGGGCTATTATGATTTCGTGGTGCTGTCGTTCTACTTCTTCTAGTCTACTCTTCTATGAGACGGAAAAATCTGGCTGGCGTCTATGGGACAGCATCCGGTATGAGGTCCTTGTTGGGTCAAAGTATTGGTTAGGTTTGGCATTTGAGGCTTGTTGCGGCCAGGATCCACGTCGCAACGTGCGAAGAGGGAAAGAGAACGAGATTTACGAGGCTGTGTGTCTAAAGAATGTGTGCGAATCCTGTCGTCTTGGTTATCATGATAGACCTGCAACCGGAGTTCGGTGTGATGGCGCTGTAAAGGATTGGCAACTAGTTCAAATTTTGGCCGTCTTGGTTATCTTACTAATAGCCCACATGTCTCGCTAGCAGCTGTTTTTTGGCCGTTTTTGGCGATAGCTGCTCGGACACCTGTTGGTTGAGAGCAATATTTACTAAAGAGATCTTGCTGCCCTATAGCTGCAACGGGATACGCCGCAAGACGATGACACGCTAGCGTTTAGTGTTGGAAGGACGGGATACTCTGACAGCTAATTTCCTTCTTTGAAATTCGTTCCTTCTTCCTTCGGCGAAAGTTGATCACTGAAACTGGTCTGGCTATTCTCGACGTGCAGCCATTTGACACGTTTTGGGTTATCTATTCTCGTAGGGGAAGTTTCCGAGCTGTTCTAGGGCTACCTATGCGGACGCTCACTATCCGAGCTATGCATCTGCCCGAGCGTTGATATGCGGTCTAGGAACAGTTGGGCACCACCCAATCACATGCGTAACTGCCCTGTGGACCCTGACACAGTGCTAGCGCGACAGGGGCAATTCACCGTTTGACCGCGTCCTGTCGTTTTGTACTCGTGGAACTCTGTCTTTCTCCCCTTCTGGAACAACGAACGCACGACGAAACCGGGAACGAGGAACAGAGGCAATTTCAGAAAAGACAGAAACGAAACGCCTTGTCTGGACTTCCTCTTGACGCTTCGCATCTGAAATCGCCTTAGCTTTCATTCTCTGACCGCTTGCAGCCACGGACGACTCAGCGCCTAACAAAATAAAGCAACTCTCGTCAGAGCGCGCTCCATATACGACTTCTGCTCAGCCACATTGCTCTACCCCTTGCCTTCTCAGCCTTTAGCTTCCATTGTTGGCGCCTGCTGGTCATCTGTCGTCCTGTTCTGATACGCGGCACTAGCCTCTTGTTTACTGACTTGCTGATACCCCTTTTGCTCTAAAATGTTTCCTACTTCCATGAAGAGATAGAGGATACACTACAACCAAACACTACGACCATGGAGATTATTGCTCCATCTTCCGTGGCTGGCAGCTCCAGCCTCGGTGGGATCGGCTCTTCCGGGGGTGGCGTATCCCCATCCGCTACTGCTGGCACTGCGACAGCCCCCTCCTATGTCGATCCGACTCGCGTCATCGAACATCTTACGGCCGTTCTCGAGGCCGCTCTTGGTGCCACCCGTGATGAGCTGGAGGCCCCGGGCAGTCTGCTGTCGAAATCGCGCTACGCTGATACCGTGCAGCGGTGCTCCCGCTTCGCCCATGAACCCCAGGTTGTCTCGCTCTATATCCAGAAAGATGTGCTTCCAGCTCGCATAGACGAGGACAAGGGGACGCCGTCCCCCCCCCAACACCTGTTCACCCTTGCGCCTGATCTCTCTGCCGAAACGACTACAGTGGCTTTTCTCGTCCTTCTCAAACGGCCGCAGCCGTTGGATCCGAACGTGCCCATCACCTCCCAGGTCCAGATGCTCAACCTTCCCGGTCCTGCATACTTGACGGCGACGGCTGGCGAGCAGGGCCTCTCGACATCGCCTTTTGAGATTTTGCAGCTCTACCTGCACAACGGCCTCGCGCCCTACTTTGATGCGAGCACGAAGCCAGCTGCTGGTGCGGCGGCGAACGGCACTAGCCGTGGACGTGCTGACCTCGAAGCCAAGACAGGTGTGCCCGTGACGAAGAAGCGATGGACGGAGCTGGAGCTCAGTCTGGCACACCTGCAGCAGAACGTAGAGATCCCCGAGGTCGTGCTGCCCTTCCCACCCATTGTGCAGAATGCTCTCGACGACGCCAGCGGCAACAGCACGCGGCCATCCTTCGACCAGCTCCCGCCAGGCGTCACGCAGGACACTGCCCTCCTCAACAGCCTGCAGGCTACGGTCAACACGTGGATCAAGTCCATCCAGGTCGTCACCAAGATGACGCAGGACCCCACCACAGGCACGGCCAACCAGGAGATCAACTACTGGCTGTCCATGGAGTCTGCCCTGGAGCGCATAGAGGCTCAGCTGCGTGGCGATGGTGTGTCGCTGACACTGGACATCCTCAAGCATGCCAAGCGCTTCCAGGCCACCGTCAGTTTTGTTGCCGACACGGGCCTGAAGGAGGCCATGGAGCGTGTGCAGAAATACAACCAGTTGATGCGGGACTTCCCTCTGGACGAGCTACTCTCAGCAACGGCACTGGCCAAGGTGGAGGACTCGATTGTGCAAATCTTTAGCCACCTCAACAAGAAGCTGCGCATCTGCCCGTATCCGATTCGGCGCGCCCTTGCTCTGGTCGAGTCGATCTCAAGCGACCTAGACGACACGATGCACCGCCTGTTGTCGGGCACCGAGCTGGTGGACCTCGACTATGCCGAGTTCAATCGGGTGATGAGTGCGACGAACGACATCTTTCGTGCCTGGGACGACAATGTGAAGGAGTTTACCAACGTGGCTCGTGAGGTCACGCGTCGCCGCAACGACAAGTTCATCCCTATCAAGATCAACCCGCGCCATGCGCAGTTGCAGGCGCGACTGAAGTATATTCAGACGTTCCGCGAGAACCATGAGCAGCTCCAGCGGACCATTGTTACGGTGCTCGGCCCCACGGCCGCCAACGCTGCCGCTGGCGACGGCGCCGATGGCAGTGCCAAGGCTGCGAACGGAACCAACGGCCCCAGCGGCGTCAACAGCGGCAACGGCGGTGCCTTTGATGAGACAGGCGACATGGATGCGGTGGAGGAGGTGCGGCAGGCCTGGGAGGCCCTGCGCAATGTCGACCTGCTGGACGTGACGCCCGAGGGGACGGCCAAGTGGGCACGCGCGGAAAACGCGTACAACGAGCGAACGGCGCGCGTGGAAAACTCGATCATCGCCCGGCTGAGGGACCGTCTGGCCACGGCCAAGAACGCCAACGAGATGTTCCGCGTCTTCTCCAAGTTCAATGCACTCTTCGTGCGGCCCAAGATCCGGGGTGCCATCGCGGAGTACCAGACGCAGCTCATCGATAATGTTAAGCAAGCCATTGCGGCGCTTCACGAGCGCTTCAAGCAGCAGTACGGCCACTCGGAGGCCCATGCCATGGCCACACTGCACGACCTGCCTCCGGTGTCTGGAGCGATTATCTGGGCGCGGCAGATCGAGCGACAGCTAGACAACTACATGAAGAAGGTGGAGGACGTGCTGGGTGCGGACTGGGCACTGCACGCCGAGGGCCAGAAGCTGCAGAACGAGAGCGTGCAGTTCCGGAACAAGCTCAAGACGGTGCCGATTTTCGAGGCGTGGGCCCGCGACACGATGCGGCGCGAGGTGTCGATTGCCGGGCGGCTGTTCAGCATCAAGCGAGTGCGTGCGGCGGGCAACAAGCTGGAGCTGGGCGTCAACTTCGATCCGCAGGTGATTGCGCTGTTCAAGGAGACGCGCAACCTCATCTGGCTCAACTACTCGGTGCCGCACGCGGTGACGACGGTGGCCAAGGACGCCAAACGTGTGTATCCATACGCAGTCAGCCTGATGGAGAGCGTGCGGACGTTTGCGCAGACGCTCCGGGCGATTAACGAGATGCCGGAGGTGTCGATGCTGCTCAACGGACACCGCAACGACGTGTATTCGCTGGTGGCAAAGGGCGTGCCGCTGCGGTGGGAGTCATTTGTGAACAGCTACGAGGTGCATCTGCGCGGACTGCCACACATGCCGAACGGAAACGCGATGGACCGGCTCAAGGGCGGCGAGAGTCGGCACGTGCTGTTTGTGCGAGAGATTGCGGCGGCAGTATCGCTGCTACAGACCAAGACGGCCACGCTGGCGACGTACCACGCGACGATCCAGAAGTCACTCAAGGAGCTGGCCACGTGCCCGTACAATGCCAACGCGTTCGAGACGCGGCTGCGGGCGATCCAGGAGGCGGTAGACCAGCTCAACCTGCAGCAGTATGCCAACCTGGGCTTCTGGGTGGAGGGCATGAACCGACAGATCAAGGCGACGCTGCTCACGCGGCTGCAGCGGGCAATCCTGGCGTGGATCGAAGCGTTTGAGAACGATGAGGCGGCCGAGCCGAACAAGACCAAGTTTGCGTTCGGGATGGGCTTCGGCGGCGGCTCTGGCGGCGACGAGGAGCGTCGGCGGCCGGTGACAGCAGCAGCAGCAGGAACGGCGGACGCGACGGTCAATGACGTGCCGACGATGAAGCATCTCGTGCACGAGGTGACGATGCGCAACCAGCTGATCTATCTGGACCCACCGCTGGAGTTTGCCCGTGCGAGCTGGTACCTGCGGCTGCACGAATGGCTGGGAGTGACGTGCAATCTGCGCAAGATCAAGGCAACGAGCTACGAGATGCGACTGGGCACGACGGTGGTGGAAGACGCGCGGTTCAACGACCTGCCGGCGGAGTGCACGACGGTGCTGCTGCGGGTGCAGACGTCGATCGAGACGAAGCTGGGAGCGATCGGGTCGTACGTGGACGAATGGCTGCGGTTCCAGTCGCTGTGGGACCTGCAGTCAGAGAAGGTGTACGACCTGCTGGGCGACCAGCTGTCGCGGTGGCTGCAGCTGCTGCAGGAGATCCGCAAGACGCGGCAGACGTTTGACACGACCGAGGTCAGCCGGTCGTTTGGACACATCACGATCGACTACGACCAGGTGCAGACCAAGGTCAACGCCAAGTACGACCAGTGGCAGCACGACATCCTGCTGAAGTTTGCGGGCCGGCTGGGCGGACGGATGCGCGAGGTGTATGCCGAGATCGAGAAGGCGCGGACGGACCTGGAGACGCTGAGCCTGGAAGTCAACTCGACGGCGCACGCGGTGCAGTTCATCACGATTGTGCAGGCGTGCAAGCGACACGTCAAGGTGTGGGCGCCGGAGATCGAGACATTCCGGCAGGGCGAGTCGACGCTGGTGCGACAGCGATACCAGTTCCCGAACGACTGGCTGCACGCGCAGCAGGTGGACCACGAGTGGAACTCGCTGAACGAACTGCTGAGCCGCAAGGCCAAGATCGTGCAGGACCAGACGGACGCGCTGCGGGCCAAGATCATTGCGGAGGACGCGATCGTGGCGGACAAGATTGCAGAGATTGCAGTGCAGTGGAACGAAGAGAAGCCGGTGTCGGGGACCATCGCGCCGGAAGTGGCGACGGCGACGCTGGCGGCGTTCGAGGGCCGGATCACGACGCTGCAGGGCGAGGCAGCGATGGTGGCCAAGGCAAAGGAAGCGCTGGACCTGGCAGCAGCAGCGGAGACATCGCTCAACGGGATCCTGGAGGAGGTGCAGGACTTCAAGTCGGTGTGGGCGTCGCTGTCGCTGATCTGGAAGAACCTGAGCGAGCAACGGGAGATGCTGTGGAACAGCGTGCAGCCACGCAAGGTGCGGGCATCGATCGACAACCTGATCAAGATGACACGCGACATGCCGAGCCGAATGCGACAGTATGCGGCCTTTGAACACATTCAGGAGCGGCTGCGGACGTACGTGCGGGTGAACCCACTGCTGGGCGACCTCAAGTCGGAGGCGGTGCGCGACCGGCACTGGACCAAGATCTACAAGCAGATCCGGCCGGGCAAACGGTACTCGCCGGTGTCGATGACGCTGGGCGACGTGTGGGACCTCAACCTGGTGGCGACAGAGGCGATCATCCGCGACATTGTGGCGCAAGCACAGGGCGAGATGGCGCTGGAGGAGTTCCTCAAGCAGGTGCGGGAGACGTGGACGAGCTATAGCCTGGAGCTGGTCAACTACCAGAACAAGTGCCGGCTGATCCGCGGATGGGACGAGCTGTTTGCCAAGTGCAGCGAGAACCTCAACTCGCTGCAGGCGATGCGGCACTCGCCGTACTACAAGGAGTTTGAGGAGGAGGCGTCAGGGTGGGAAGACAAGCTGAACCGGGTGCACATCCTGTTCGACGTGTGGATCGATGTGCAGCGACAGTGGGTGTATCTGGAGGGCGTGTTCACGGGCAACGCGGACATCAAGCACCTGTTGCCGATCGAGTCGTCGCGGTTCCAGAACATCAACAGCGAGTTCTCGGCCGTGATGAAGAAGATGTACAAGCAGCCGTACGTGCTGGACGTGCTGAACATCCCGAACGTGCAGAAGTCGCTGGAGCGGCTGGCAGAGCTGCTGAACAAGATCCAGAAGGCACTGGGCGAGTACCTGGAGAAGGAGCGGGTGTCGTTCCCACGGTTCTACTTTGTGGGCGACGAGGACCTGCTGGAGATGATTGGCAACAGCAACGACACGGTACGGGTGGCGAAACACTTCAAGAAGATGTTTGCCGGGCTGTCCGGGCTGGTGATGGGCGAGGACGAGGCAGAGGCGGTCATCACGGCCTTCTCGTCGAAGGAGGGCGAGGTGGTGCGGCTGAAGCGGTCGATCTCGCTGATCAAGACGCCGCGGATCAACGACTGGCTGGCGTTGCTAGAGGGCGGCATGAAGCAGACGCTGGCCGAGCTGCTAGGCGAGGCGATAGCAGCCTACGGGCCAGTGTTTGCGGCCGAGACGGTGGACCCGACAGCGATGGAAGCCTTTCTGGAGGGCTTCCCGAGCCAGATTGTCGTGCTGGCGACACAGGCAGTGTGGACGACGGCGGTGGACGCAGCGCTGGCAGACGAGAAGCAGGCGGGCGCAGCACTGCAGCGGCTGTTTGAACGTGAGGTGCAGGTGCTACGGCTGCTGGCGGCGATGGTGCTGGGCGACTTGGACGTGTTGGTGCGGCGGAAATGCGAACAGCTGATCACGGAGTGCGTGCACCAGCGCGACATTATCGAGAAGCTGGTGGCAGCCGGAGCCGACTCGCCGACACACCATCTCTGGCTGCTGCAGATGCGCTACGTCTATACCAGCAGCAGCGAGACAGAGGCACAGCAGCGGCTGAGCGTGCGGATGGCCAATGCGACGCTGCAGTACGGATTCGAGTACCTGGGAGTGCCGGATCGGCTGGTGCGCACGCCGCTGACAGACCGCTGCTTCCTGACACTGACACAGGCGCTGTGCCAGCAGCTGGGCGGCTCGCCATACGGGCCAGCCGGCACGGGCAAGACAGAGTCGGTCAAGGCGCTGGGCGTGGAGCTGGGACGGTTTACGCTGGTGTTCTGCTGCGACGACACGTTTGACTTCCAGGCGATGGGCCGGATCTTCCTGGGCATCTGCCAGGTGGGCGCATGGGGCTGCTTTGACGAGTTCAACCGACTGGAAGAACGGATCCTGTCGGCGGTGTCGCAGCAGATCCAGAACATCCAGCTGGGACTGCGACAGGGGGCCGAGGACGACAAGGCGCAGATCGAGCTGGTGGGCCGACAGCTGAGGGTCAACGGCAATACAGGCATCTTCATCACGATGAACCCAGGCTATGCGGGACGGTCGAACCTGCCGGACAACCTGAAGAAGCTGTTCCGCAGCGTGGCCATGTCGAAGCCAGACAAGGAGCTGATCGCGGAGGTGATGCTGTACTCGCAGGGCTTCGGACAGGCCAAGGCGCTGTCGAAGCAGACGGTGCCCTTCTTCGACCAGTGTGCGGCCGAACTATCGCGACAGGCGCACTACGATTTTGGGCTGCGGGCGCTGAAGAGCGTCTTAGTCAGCTCAGGTGGCCTGAAGCGGGCACGGCTGACGGACGGCCGGGCGACAACAGAAGCGGCGAGCCTGGGCGAGGTAGAGGCGGTCGAGCCAGAGATTATCGTGCAGAGCATCCGCGAGACGATCGCGCCAAAGCTGATCAAGGCAGACGTGGCGATCATGGGCGGGATCGAGGCGCGCTGTTTCCCGGGCGTGCGCTATGTGCCAGCCAACCTGGAGGCGCTCGAGACAGCAGTGCGGCGGCTGGCAGGCGAACGACAGCTGGTGGTCAACGAGACCTGGCTGACCAAGGTACTGCAGCTGTACCAGATCCAGCGCATGCACCACGGTGTGATGATGGTGGGCAGTGCAGGCTCGGGCAAGTCGACCGCCTGGAGGCTGCTGCTGGAAGCATTGCAGCAGGTGGAGAAGGTAGAAGGGGTGTGTCACGTGATCGACTCCAAAGTGATGTCCAAGGAAGCGCTGTACGGCAACCTGGATGCGACGACGCGCGAGTGGACGGACGGGCTGTTCACGAGCATCCTGCGCAAGATCGTCGACAACCTGCGCGGCGAGGACGGCAAGCGTCACTGGATCGTGTTTGACGGCGATGTGGACCCGGAATGGGTAGAGAACCTGAACAGTGTGCTGGACGACAACAAGCTGCTGACGCTGCCGAACGGCGAGCGGCTGAACCTGCCGGCGAACGTGCGGATCATGTTTGAGGTGGCAGACCTGCGCTACGCGACGCTGGCGACGGTGTCCCGCTGCGGCATGGTCTGGTTCAGCGAGGACACGGTGACGCCGGCGATGGTGGTGGACAATTATCTCGGCCGGCTGGCAGCGGTGGCGTTTGAGGACCTGGACGAGGACGCGGTGGCGACAGGCCAGAGCGCAGCGCGAGCGCTGGCCGTGCAGACACAGGCGGCCGAGCTGCTGCGGTCACACCTGACGACAGACGACTTTGTGCTCGAGGCACTGAACCGGGCGACGACATACCGGCACATTATGGACTTCACGGCAGCACGGGCACTCAACACGCTCTTCTCGCTCGTCAACAAGGCGGTGCGCAACGTGATCGAGTACAATGCACAGCACGCAGACTTTGCGCTAGAGCCAGAGCAGGTGGAAGCATACCTGTCGAAGAAACTGCTGCTGGCGATGGTATGGGCGCTGACGGGCGACTGTCCGCTGGAGGACCGGCAGGCGTTTGGCGACGTGCTAGTAGGCCTGGCAGGCTTCGGGGTGGCGCCACCAGCAGCGGGCGGATCGGTGATCGACTTTGACGTGTCGCTGCCGCGGGCAGAATGGACTTCGTGGCAGGCACAGGTGCCGTCGGTCGAGGTCAACACGCACTCGGTAACGCAGACAGACGTGGTGATCCCGACGCTGGACACGGTGCGCCACGAGGATGTGCTGTACTCGTGGCTGGCCGAGCACAAGCCGCTGCTGCTGTGCGGACCGCCGGGATCGGGCAAGACGATGACGCTGTTCAGCGCGCTGCGCAAGCTGCCGAACATGGAGGTGGTCGGACTCAACTTCTCGAGCGCGACGACGCCAGACCTGCTGATCAAGAGCTTCGAGCAGTACTGCGAGTACAAGAAGACGCTGAGCGGCGTGCTGCTGTCGCCGACGCAGATCGGCCGCTGGCTGGTGGTATTCTGCGACGAGATCAACCTGCCGGCACCAGACCGCTACGGGACACAGCGGGCGATTGCGTTTCTGCGGCAGCTGGTCGAGCACAACGGCTTCTGGCGCGCATCGGACAAGGCGTGGGTGACGTTGGACCGGATCCAGTTTGTGGGCGCATGCAACCCGCCGACCGACGCAGGCCGGACGCCGCTGGGAGCACGGTTCCTGCGCCACGCGCCGCTGATGATGGTGGACTACCCGGGCGAGCAGTCGCTGCAGCAGATCTACGGCACGTTCAACGCGGCGGTGCTGAAGATCATCCCGACGCTGCGCGGATACGCCGAGGCGCTGACGCAGGCGATGGTGCGGCTGTACACGGAGTCGCAGCAGCGGTTCACGGCAGCGCAGCAGGCACACTACGTCTACAGTCCGCGCGAGCTGACACGGTGGGTGCGCGGCGTGTACGAGGCGATCCGGCCGCTGGAGGCGCTGTCGGTCGAGGGGCTGGTGCGGATCTGGGCGCACGAAGCACTGCGGCTCTTCCAGGACCGGCTGGTGGAGGCGAGCGAGCGCGAATGGACGGAGGCGGCCGTGCGGCGGATCGCGCTGGAGCTGTTCCCCAACGTGGACGAGGCCCAGGCGCTGGGCGGCCCGATCCTGTTCTCGAACTGGCTGTCGAAGCACTACGTGCCGGTAGACCGGGAGCAGCTGCGGGACTTTGTCAAGGCGCGGCTGCGCACGTTCTGCGAGGAGGAGGTGGACGTGCCGCTGATCCTGTTCAACGACGTGCTGGAACACGTGCTGCGAATCGACCGGGTGTTCCGGCAGCCGCAGGGGCACCTGATCCTGATCGGGGTCAGCGGTAGCGGCAAGACAACGCTGTCGCGGTTTGTGGCGTGGATGAACGGCCTCAAGGTCTTCCAGATCAAGGTGCACGGCAAGTACTCGGCGGAGGACTTTGACGAAGACCTGCGCGAGGTGCTGCGACGCTGCGGGTGCAAGGGCGAGAAGATGTGTTTCATCATGGACGAGGCGAACGTGCTGGATGCGGGCTTCCTGGAGCGGATGAACACGCTGCTGGCCAACGCGGAGGTGCCGGGGCTGTTTGAGGGCGACGACCTGGCCGCGCTGATGACGGCGTGCAAGGAGGGGGCACAGCGCCAGGGTCTGCACCTGGACTCGCAGGAGGAGCTGTACAAGTGGTTCACCGGCCAGATCGTCAAGAACCTGCACGTGGTGTTCACGATGAACCCGCCAGCCGGCGCGGGCGGACTGTCGTCGCGAGCGGCCACGAGCCCGGCACTGTTCAACCGCTGCGTGCTCAACTGGTTTGGCGACTGGTCGGACCAGGCGCTCTTCCAGGTGGCACACGAGCTGACGGGAGCGGTAGACCTGGAGCGGGCGCAGTTTGTGGCGCCAGACACGATCCCGGTGGCATACGCGGGCCTGACGTTGCCGGCATCGCATCGGGGCGCGGTGGTGAACGCGATGGTGTACGTGCACCACTCGCTGCGACGAGTCAACGGGCGGCTGCAGCAGCAACAGGGCCGGACGACATTCCTGACGCCGCGACACTTTTTGGACTTTGTGGCGCAGTATGTGCGGCTGTACGGCGAGAAGCGCGAGGACCTGGAAGAGCAGCAGAGACACCTGAACGTGGGACTGGAGAAGCTGCGCGACACGGTGGACAAGGTGCGGGACCTGCGGGCGAGCCTGGCATCGAAGCAGGCACAGCTGGAACGCAAGGACGCCGAGGCGAACGAGAAGCTGCAGCGAATGGTGGCAGACCAGCGAGAGGCAGAGCAGCGGAAGAGCACGTCGCTAGAGATCCAGGCAGCGCTAGAAGTGCAAGACGCCGAGGTGGCAACACGACGACAGGCCGTGCTGGAGGACCTGGCACGTGCAGAGCCGGCAGTCGAGGCAGCCAAGGCGAGCGTCAGCAACATCAAGCGGCAGCAGCTGACAGAAGTGCGGGCGATGGCATCACCACCAGCAGGCGTCCGGCTGGCACTCGACTCGGTATGCACGCTGCTGGGACACCGAGCAGGCGACTGGAAGACGATCCAGTCGGTGATCCGACGCGACGACTTTATCGCGAGCATCATCAACTTCAACAACGAGAAGATGATGACGAAGGCGCTACGCGTCAAGATGCGGAGCGAGTTTCTGTCGAACCCCGAGTTCACCTTTGACCGGGTCAACCGGGCGAGCAAAGCATGCGGACCGCTGGTGCAATGGGTAGAGGCGCAAGTGAGCTACGGCGAGATCCTGGACCGCGTGGGACCGCTGCGCGAAGAGGTGGCCGCGCTGGCCGAGCAGGCACTGCAGACACGAGCACAGGCGCGCGCGGTCGAGCAGACGATCGACGGGCTCGAAGCCAGCATCGCGACCTACAAGACGGAATACGCAGCACTGATCAGCGAGACGCAGGCGATCAAGGCAGAGATGGCGCGCGTGCAGCACAAGGTGGACCGCAGCGTGCGGCTGCTGGACAGCCTGTCGTCGGAGCGGGTGCGATGGGAAGAGGGCAGCCGGTCGTTTGAGACGCAGATCGGAACGCTGGTGGGCGACGTGCTGGTAGCAGCAGCCTTTCTGGCCTACGGCGGGCTGTACGACCAGACATTCCGCCGCGCGATGGTGGACGACTGGCTGCAGCACCTGCGGCTGTCGGGCATCGCGACGAAGCCACACAACCCGGTGACCGAGTACCTCTCGACAGCAGACGAGCGGTTGGGCTGGCAGGCGAATGCGCTGCCGGCCGACGATCTGTGCACGGAGAACGCGATCATTCTGCGGCGGTTCAACCGGTATCCGCTCATCATCGATCCGTCCGGACGGGCGACGGAGTTTCTGCAGCGCGAGTGTCGCGGGCGACGGCTGACGGTGACGAGCTTCCTGGACGACGCGTTTGCCAAGCAGCTCGAGAGTGCGTTGCGGTTCGGCAACCCGATCCTGATCCAGGACGCGGAACATTTGGATCCCGTGCTTAATCACGTGCTCAACAAAGAATACCAGAAGACGGGCGGACGTGTGCTCATCCAGCTAGGCCGGCAGCAGATTGACTTTTCCCCGGCTTTCCGGCTGTATCTGGCGACACGTGACCCTTCGGCAACGTTTGCGCCCGACATCTGCAGCCGGACGACACTGGTCAACTTCACGGTGACGCAGAGCAGCCTGCGGACACAGGCGCTCAACGAGGTGCTGCGGGCCGAGCGGCCGGACGTGGACGAGCGACGGTCAAACCTGACCCGGCTGCAGGGCGAGTTCAAGGTACACCTGCGACAGCTGGAGAAGCGGCTGCTACAGGCGCTCAACGAATCGCGCGGCAATATCCTGGACGACGATCACGTGATCGAGACGCTGGAGACGCTCAAGACCGAAGCCGCCGACATTAGCGACAAGATGCGCGGCACCGAGGGCGTCATGGCCGATGTCGACGCCGTCACCCGCCAGTATGCCGTCGTGGCACGTTCCTGCAGCGCCGTCTTTGCCGTGCTGGAGCAGCTGCACTATCTGCACCACTTTTACCAGTTCTCGCTAGACTATTTCCTGGACATTTTCCACGCGGTGTTGCAGCGGGCCAGTGCAGCCGGCACGGTCGTGGCCACCGGTGCGTCCGACGACACGTACAACATCCGACGCGACGCCATCGTGCGCGACCTCTTCGTCACGACCTTCCAGCGGACCGCGCTCGGGCTGTTGCAGAAAGACCGCATCACGCTGGCGATGCTGCTGGTGCAGGCGTCGCCATACGCCATGGACAAGAGCCTGATCGACGTGCTGCTGGACGACGACGGCGTGCCGGGTCGCGACGTGTCGGGCATGGACGGTCGTGACGAAGCCATCGCCTTGGCTCGCCGGCTGCCAGCGCTGCAGCAACAGGTCGACGGGATCAGCGAGGCCGAGTGGGCACGATTCCTGGGCGAGGAGCTGGCCGAGAACTTTGTGCCGCCAATGGGAGGAGGGGAGTCGAACGAGGAGAGGCCGAACGACGAGAGGGCGAGCGACAGCGAGGAAACCAAGAAAAACGACGAAGCCCTTCGGTCTCTGCTCATGGTCAAGCTCTTCCGACTCGACCGGTTTGTGCCGGCAGCCGAGCGGTTTGCGGCGCTTATCTTCGGCACAGACGACTTGTTTGACATTGTCGAGGATCTCGGCGGCACGGTGGCCCAGGTGCCGGCAACACGACCGGTGGCGCTGGTATCGAGCCCAGGCTTCGACGCATCCTACAAGGTAGACGGGCTGGCAGCCCGGACGGGAGCGCGCTGCAGCCACATCGCGATGGGGTCGGCCGAGGGACTCGCGAGCGCAGACAAGGCAGTCAGCAGCGCAGCCCAGACAGGAGCTTGGGTGCTGGTCAAGAACGTCCACCTGGCGCCGACCTGGCTGCAGTCGCTGGAGAAGCGGATGGAGACGCTGCACCCACACGGCGACTTCCGGCTATTCCTGTCGATGGAGTCGAGTCCGCGCATCCCGGTGAATCTGTTGCGCGCATCGCGTGTCCTATTGTACGAGCAGCCAGCAGGCGTGCGGGCCAACATGAAGGACTCGCTGGCGTCGCTGGCGCCACGTTGTGTGCGCCCGCCGGCCGAGCGGACGCGGCTGTACCTGCTGCTGTCGTTCTTGCACGCCGTCGTCCAAGAGCGCCTGCGCTATGCCCCGACGCTGGGCTGGAAGGGCTTCTGGGAGTTCAACGACAGCGACTACGAGTGCTCGGCCTTTGTGGTCGACACCTGGCTAGCCGCAGCTGCTGGTCAGCGGTCCAACATTGCGCCGCAGAACATTCCCTGGGCCATGATCCGTCAGCTCGTCACCGAGACGTACGGCGGCAAGATCGACAACGAGGACGACTTTGCACTGCTCCGCCAGCTGGTCGACCGTGTTCTCAGCCCGGCCGCCTACGATATCGGGCATCGCCTGCTGCTCGGCGACCTGACCGCCGACGCTGCCGACACGGACGCGCTCGTCGTGCCGTCCGGCACCGCGCTCGCCGACTGCATGGCCTGGATCCAACGCCTGCCCGAACGCGAGCCGCCCACGTACCTGGGGCTGCCGGCCAATGCGGAAAAGGTGCTGCTGGTAGGCCTGGGACGCAGCCTGGTACAGGACCTGCGCAAGGTGACGAACCTGCTGGACGAGGGGGAGCAGCTGATAGAGGAGGAGTAGGGTGAAAGAGGGAGGGATTAGTAAGATCGTTCTAAGAGAGAGATGGATAAGAATCGTTATAAGAATATACTCCACGTAACGCCACACGTCACGCGCCACACTGCCACAAGCTTCAATGTCCTTCACCTCTCGCTCTCGGCCGCAGAGAGAGACTGCTTCTTGGTCCCAAAACAACATCACCAGACGAGCAGACGACAGCCACGATTCTCTGACAGCTGAGCGCATCGTCTTCCATGGCCAGCCCGGCCACGCTGGCGTCGCTGTCCATCAGCCACGTCTACTATGTGCGTCTTTGTTCTTTCTTTTCACTCTCCTCTCTTTTTCTGTCCTCTCGGTTCCTCTCCCCTCTTTTCCTCTCCTCTGACCAGTCCAGAACCCAGATGACCCGGTCTCGTACGTCTGCGCCTGGCTCGCCCTCGTGCCCCAAGGCCTCTGCGTCGTCTACGCCACTCTGCTCTGGAGCACGCGCGAGGCCGAGGTGGCCCTGGCCTTTGCCGGCCAGCTCGGCTGCGAGGCCGTCAATCTCGTGCTCAAGCGCCTGATCAAGGAAGAACGTCCGCGCCACCACCACACAGCCCTGGGCCTGGGCATGGCCCTGCCCGATCCCGGTCTCGGCAACGGACCCGACGCCGACCAGCTGCACCATCTGCCCTTCCGCCGCGGCTACGGCATGCCGAGCTCCCACGCTCAGTTCGCCGGCTACTGGGCCGTCACCATCGCCCTCTTCCTGCTGGTGCGATACCGCGGACAGAATCGGATTCCACAGAACAGACAGAGACAGGAATCACCCCAAAACTCCTGGTCCCTAGCCGAACGCGTCGCCACCAGCACCGCCGCTTTTGTCGTCGCCGTGCTCGTCGCCTGGAGCCGCGTCTACCTTCACTACCACACCCCCAGACAAGTCCTCGTCGGTTTCGCTGCTGGTCTCCTCGTCGGCTTCGCCTGGTTCGCTGCCACCACTTTCGTCCGTCGCTGCGGCCTCCTCCGATGGGTTCTCGCCCTACCGCCCGCTCGCTGGCTCCGCATCCGAGACCTCGCCGCCGAAGAAGACGCCCCCCAGGCTGGCTGGGAAAAATGGTTGCTCCTTCAAGCCGCCCGCGAAACACAGCTAGCTCAGGCTGCCGCCAAAAAGACCTGATCGTCGCGGCCATGACATTTGGCAATTATACTACATATCCCTATTATATACCGAGTCCTTTCTAGGAGGGACATCTGTTGGCAGCAATGTCACGTGCAGAGGCGACATAAAGGTGAACAAGTATCCAATGTCGGGTATATTTCCCTTAAAGACACTCCACAGCATGTCATACAACGCGGTCTATTGTTATCTCCCGCTGAGGGTGCAAGTGTAGTGATATATAAGTCTTGGTCACAAGACAGCATCTTCCCCTCTTCTCTATCAACGCCTTCCATGCTGAGAATACAAGCTCCTTGAGGCAGAGGAGTCCAAATATACATAAGAAAAGACAGGGGAATCAGCCAGGCTGACCAGAGGGAACGTGGGTAACCAAAAAGGAAAGGGACCGTTGTAAAGTAAGCGTCGAGTGTCCAGTTTATTCAGCTTCGCTTCCCCCTGCAACAGCCCACGACTGTACCGTCGTCAGATCGCACCCCCTTCGCTTCTCAACAAATACAGTAAAGTCATGGGGAAAAGATGCTATACACAGAAAATACAAAATAAAAGTCGTTTTCTCGTAAGAAGCGCGACCAGCTGAAAGAAAACGCGGTTGGCGAGAGCATTCTGGCAAAGAACAAGTCGCGCACTAGGATCAGATCAGATCCAGTCGCCAGCAGTCTTGTCTTTCGAAGACTGGCCCGTCAAGCTCATCATGGCTTCTGTTCGTGCTTTGGTGCTGTTGTTCCGCGACGGCAGCGCAGTCATGCCAACCCCTCGAGGACTGGCCAGCTTCGCCTTGGTCGGGCTCTCAGGCCTATACGTTGCCGCGCTGAGAACCACTTCACTGGCATCCGCTTCGTCCTCGCTGCACTCGTCCATGCACAGCTCTTGCTGCCCTCCTGTCAGAACGAGCAGCGGCACCGGTGGCAGTGCCTTTATCTGCGCATCCTTGACAGGCTCCGTTCTTGCCAGAGGACTCCGCTGCCGAACGGGCAGGGTTCGCTGCGTCGGCAGATCCGTCGCAATCGGTATCATCCCCGACTGCTTCTCGTCTGCCCCAGTTGGCCTTGCCGGGGGCTGGCAGTCAATGCTGGCATCGTCGAGCGTGTACACCTTCTTGTCGAGTATCTGCGAGTCCGTCGGCGCCAGACAAACATCTGCCATGTTGGACAGCCGCAGGCCGATCTGCACTGTCGTCATCGATACCATGGATGAATCACGGCGGTGCCGCCCGGAAAGGAGGCTGTTCATCGAAGGCGGCGGCTTCAATGCGCTCGATCCAGACCGGCTGTTGTTGTCGGCTTTCGTCGACTTGGCCACCCCTGGCGAGTACGTTGTCGCCGGCAGCAGCAAGAGCGATTTTGTGTCGGACACGACGGATGCTCTCATGTTCGACGCCGTCGGCAGTGCTGCCGTTAACCACAGCGTCAATGACGAGTGAGATGGGCGTGTCTCCGCCTCTGCAGCCGGCATCTTCGCCGGCTCTGGGACACGGACGGTCGCTCCCGCAGCCGCTGCTGCCACTGCTGCCAATGTTGCCGTTGCCGGAGTCGTCGTGAGACGCGACGGGATGAACGCGTTCGACCGCAGAGGATCCGGCCGTGAAGCTGAGTCGCTATATGCCAGCCATTTTCGGCTTGTTCGCATGCCGCGCTCTTCGTCGTTGTCGTCGCGGCTGCCGCCAATCGGACTGGCATCGTCCAGAATATGGCGTAGATCAACAGCGCTGTTGACCGGCCCCATCATGTGGCCTGCAAAGTCGGGGTCGCTCGCATTGTATCGCCGGATCTGGTCTTTCATCCACTGCCGGTCGTACTCGCTGGCCTTGTCGCGAGGCCCGATGGTCGAGATGATGGCCGATCGCATGAACAGGTAAAGGCCACCAGTCGTCAAGCCGGACAGGTTGGCCACCACCGATGCAACCATGGACCAGTTTATCGCCTGGTTCCCTGATGTGCTGTGCTTGACAAAACCCAGCGAGAAGAAGAAGGGAAGGAGGAGAGTCTACAAGGTCAGTTCCGTGGACATCAAAACAAGCAACCTAGGCCGTAGAGCCAAGCCTGCACTCACATTCGACAGAATGGCCAGCGCCAGGTAGTAGACCATACGCGAGGCTGCAACCCGCTCCGAAGTCTCGATCTCGGCGCTTTGGGTGAGCCGCACAGAGAGAATGATCAAACAAATGACCAGAATGACGTCGATAGCCAGCAACGCCGCAAAGATTCCCTTCGAGTAGACGGCGATAAACCAGAAGAGAGAGGCAAAGCAGAAATCAGGCGCCCGGTCCAAGTCTGCAACAAGAAAGTTCATGAGCACCAGCATGCACACGATGACGAGGCAGATGGTGACCGTGAATTTGCCTCGCGAAGGGAACGGCTTCTTTCGCAGTCCCCGAATCGAAATCTCGAGCGAAAACACAAGCTGTATATAAGGAACAAGAAATAACGCTAGATAGGTGTCTGTGTGAGAGCTGGTTCTAGCGAGACGACTTGGCTGATACGGACATACCTGGAAACACAAATTGAGAAATGATAGCACAGCCCAGCTTTAGTATGCCCGTGAGGCCTTGCGCTTGGGCAACGGCAAAGGCAATCGCCTGGATTGTGATGCCAAGAGACAAGATCAGCGGGTAGGTATCTGCAGCTTGTAGAAGACACGGACGAGTACTGCGCCTAGTATTAGCATTTCGGTCCTGTCGTCCTTCATCCTCTAGGACTTTGTCGTACCTCGTCCTGTAGTGCTGCCAGTTCCTCCTCCGTGTTGCGTATGCATCGTAGAGAATACCACAAGCCGTCGCAAACGCCGCGATGGCGTTGAAGGTTGCCAAGATGATAGTAGATGTGCGGACAGACTTGGCAACAGCAAACTTGAGTTCGTTGATGAGCATCTGTGTCGACGTTGTATTTGATGATGCCGCCTCATAAACCGAATAGTCAGGGATCGTTGACTCGTTAAAGATCGTCGATGAGGATTGAGCTGCCCGCGTCATTAGCCATGTGGCCGCGGCGCCTATCCCCTGGCCAGCCATATCGAGATGTGTGCGCAAGCGCGAAGAAGTGAAGCCGTCTAGCGGGTAGTGTTGGAAAAAACTGCGAGAGCCAAACGAGACGACTCCACGCAGGTAAACAAAAAGAGTGTGAAGATAATGGGCGAGGGGCGAAGAGCCGGTTGCAATGGGCCTTCTCTCTGCCCGAATCGTCGGTCAAGTCATCGAATCCACCTGGGTGTTGTCGAGAGATGCGTTCTGCAAGACGACGAAAGCGGGGAGGTGAGAGAGGGAAAGGGTAGACGCGAGAATGAGGATGAGAGGAGAAGGGTGGAGAATGGAGGACGGGGACGGAAAGCAAGATAGGAAGCAAACCGAGAGTGAAAGTGGCAACGGACTGACACCAAGGCTCTCTAGCGGAAGAGCCGGGCGAGCAGCAAGAATACAGACCAGGAACAGGGAGGAGGCAGATGGGGGCCAGTTTGCGCACAGCTCGTCAAGCCTATTCGCTTAACTACCACCCAGCCACAAGCTTCTCGTCCTCGAGAACGGGAAATCGTTCTGTTGCGTCAAACTAGTCATGGACATGAACCACGGACCGGTGGAAACAGTGCCTCGGCGAAAGCCAAAGGCGGAAGAGCGATCCTACCACAGATTAGGAGGCGCTGCAGATGCGACGCCTTTGCGTCGGCATCGGAGTGGAGAAGGCCTGGAGGTCGGCAGGGATCAGAGCCTCATGGCGGGTAGAACAGATAAAGATGGCCATACGACGTACTAAGAAGATCCAAGAGCAATTCGCTTTGGCCTAGTAGCCGTCGACCCTGACGTATTGATGCTTGTCTGACTGGGAGTTGGTGAACTGATCCTAGCCAGGGGTTGTCGCCTCTTTCGCAACCAACAGGGCCATAATGCTGATTAGACAGCGCGTCATTTAACCGCGTCTATCAGAAATTCACGAGAGAAGCCAAAGATCTAGCCCCTGTCAAGGGCCAGGAGCCGGGGCTTTAGAGGCTATGGTCGATAGTGAGGCAATGGCGCAATAACGGGCGTGTGGCATTTGTGCAGTGGTGGGTGGACATGGAAAAGCTTGATCCGGTCAGAGAATTGAGTTTTAGGTATTGAGGCTACGATGAAGATGAAGCATACTTGTAACACGTGCAGGTTTCGCAACGGTGGCCCCTGTTCGAGGCAAGAGCGTTGCGCCGCAATAAAGGCCCAGCCGGGAGGAAGGAGAGGCCAAGCTATTATGCACAAATCCATTTGCGGACTAGTTCCCAGATCCCTGTAGCGATCAAACGCCAGCAGAATTCCGCTCGTGTTTGTCAAGTATAAATATCTTCCTTTTGTGGGAGAAGCAATGGCCAATAGGCCCCGCCGTACAATACCCCTGGTCAAGCGGCGAAGAGCGAGGACTGTCAGCTGCCATACTGGCAGTATTGCAGTGCGGCTGCAATGTGTGGCATTTGCCCAGGTCGTTCGACTGTGGGTATACAGACAACAAACAATAGCCTGGCCGCAGATTCGGAGACAGCATTTGGCTGGAGATCTCCAGACGCTCAGAGCTGCCAGAAGTGGCCGCGGAAAAGGTGTGGCAGAGGTCAAGGCAGGAGGGGGCTCTACCTGTTAGCCGCCCGCTCCCAGACACTTCCCTGACGACCGTATCGTATCGAGGCCACAACTTTCCTGTGAGAAAGATCGTAATGACACCGCTTAGTTTCTTATCTGTGTTTTGTTCATGCCGGAATCTGTTTAGGAAAATCAGACCATTTAATTCGGGCAACAAAAACTCCCGAACCGTTCCGTCCACTAAGGACGGAGCTCGTTCTCGTCAATCAGTTTGTACAGAGTAACCTATTATGCAAAGGCTGGACGTAAGAACGACCACATGGTCTGTTCTATCTTACTTCGTTCTACTTCCCACTTTCAATTTGTGGTACTCCGTCTTGTGTTGGGGGCAATCTGTACTCTGCATCCAAACAGGCCAGCTGAAGGCAAGATTACATATTAGCAGATATAAGCTTCTGAATAAAACCCTATCCTGGAGGCATATACGAACCCCAAGAAAAATGTCCGTGCTACATATGAAGCAATCTCGGGACTTGTCCCAAATGCATCTGTATAAGAAAGACCCCCGGGCTTCATCGCCTCCTTTTCGTATCGCCCCCTTCTGAAAACACAGTGGATTATGCTGTAGCAACAGCACATGCTCCGCAGGTCGTAGAAACGGGACTCGGACAATTTACCCCGTGACAGGGGAATAGGTATTTGTCAGTTATAAGTAAGGTGATATATCTTAGTATCGCTTCCGACACAGATGGAAACCTGTTGTACCCCCGGTAATCCTCCACCAAGCCTCCCTATATCTTATTACGACGTACCGAGTATGTACGAGAGGAGTCTAAACAATCAACACACTCCACTTTTAACAGTGTGTGGATCGAGAAGACGGAGTACGTCGTAGAGAAAGAGGGCGTTTACATTTGTGCTGCAAAACATACGACATAGGTCTATACGTCGTAGAGGTCAATACTCAGAAACTGAAAATGGTCCCAATTTATTGAATTGAATTGGCAAATCTGCATGCCGATTGTCTTTATCCACCAGTGCACACAAATTCGAGCACCACTGCTTTCTGCAGATCATCAAGTCTTATCCAGTCTGGTAAATAGCATTGTATTGTTTGGATGAACTTCAGACGCTCGTAGGCTTCTCTACTAAGCTGCAATAGCCTCAACTGCTATGAGGAGAAGCACCTCTACCACCAACTCCGGCTCTTTGGGTCTCCAGCCAATCGTCTTCCTTCTTCTTCGACATGTCCGACCAGTCCTAACACGGATCCTGCTCGAAATCTATCTCAGTTTCTTCGTCTGATTTTGAGCCTCCCGCACTGAAAATGCGTCCGAAATATCCGCAATAGCCACGTACATCACATACAGTGGGATGAAAACCCACAGCGTGTTGAAGAATACCAAGTATATCCACATGTACATGAAGTTGCTGCCGTTCAGGTTGGCGTTGCCGATCAACCACTCGGGGCAGAATGTCATGAAACCGCCGTACAGCTCTGCCGTCGCAATGATTACCATCAGTACATTGGCCCGCGGGCGGCTTCGTGCCAGGTCGTAGCACACGAGGCACGACAGCGGGCCCATAACAAGCACAGTCAGCAGCTCCAAGCTGATAACGCCCAGATCGGCGCCCGCCCAGCGCCGGTCGGCGCGTGCATACACCATCCACAGCTGCGCAAAGGGGTTCTGGCTGCTAGCCTGGGGGCCGTAGATCCGGTCGCCATGGCCCAGAAACGGGTGCGGCTGGATCACGTAGTAGTCCTCGGGGGCTAGATCGGCCACCGGCATCCAGCTGAAGAAGCAATGGTAGAGATAGCTGCCCTCTAGCACGAAGTGGATGAGCGCGTCAAATGCGTGCCAGATGAACAAGGAGCGGCAGCAAGTCGATGCCGTTGCTGGAAGCGCCAAGCGCGACGCGCCATAGGCGGCGGCCAAGATGGCGACTGTCGATGCCAGCGAAATAAGAGTAGTCTGGTCAAACAGATCTGCCGGCAGAGCCGACACGATGCTAACCCAGTTGACAGCCATGTTTGAAGATATCAAGGTATTTTTGTCGGATATGCCAAACGCTACGGTTTTTTTTGCTGCGTGGCAGTTAGAAAGCGTTTGTTCTAATTTTAACCCAACGACAATTTCGACCCGCAATTTGGTTTGAACCACTGTGATTCGTGAAGCACAACAGTATGTCAGAAGCAGTCAATATTTTGATATTTGTTCCGAAACGGATTTTCCACTATCTAGCTGTGTCCAAATTATCGCAAACTATGTTTGCACGCTCTGGCTTCAGTCAATTTTTCTTTCGATTTTAGTGCGTAGCAGCCTGCTTATTGGCCTCGGCACTGGTGTCGTGCTTGGTCTCAGTGGCCTTGTTCTTCACGGCATCAACACCGGCTTGGGCACTGATAAATTGTTAGTATGTATCCTTACATTCGTCAAAAGTCTTGACGTACCGGGTACCGATCGATTGGTTGCTGTCGCTAGCCACATTCTTGTTGGCCTCCTTAGCAGTGCCAGCGGTGGCACCTATGTAACTGTTAGTGCAGTCTCAGTGAGCTGTTGTATGGTTGACGTACTGTTGACCTTGTCAGAGACAAAGTTGCCAGCTTGCTTGAGAGTATCCATTGTGTGAAGGTGAAAGACTGTTTGAAGCAATGTATTTAGACAGTGTCTGGATTGGATTGTTGAATTGAAGTCTGAATGTTGCTTAAAATAAAATGAGACGGTGAAGACGAAGGGGAAGCTATCCTTATATACTTAAACCTGTTCCAACATTACCACAACATCTCATGGCTATGCCGAGCACCTCGAGACGCCTTCGTGTTGCCTGTTTGGTCATGTGAATGTCTGCATGCCTTGACGTCATAGTTTATCGGCCTAGATGCAAGCAGAACTAGATGTATCCAGACTATTACGTAGCATGCGGTCTCGGAATTTACTCAATTCCCCTCCTTCTTCCTTGGCGAGGCTTACACGCTACGAGAAAACTCTAGACAAAGCCCGCCGGCTTAGAAAGTACTCGGCATTATGCCGCCTAGAACGTACTGAGTGGGGATGGATATGGTATGAGTGGATGCTGGGAATACAGAGGCTGAACAGAAAGAGGCAAGAGAAAGATGAATGAGAACAATGAGGACAGACACAATTCCTCGATTCGTATCCCTTGCGGATGCAGATACTTGACCCTCGCGTTGGAACTTACTTTTTGCGCTTTCCCGACGACAATGGCGGAAACAGACGCCCGTATTGGAGTGACATGCGGAGTACAGTTGGGTTGCTTACGAAATATTTTGTTGGCGATGCGAACGGATTTTGATTGGTAGAAGTCCCAAGACAAGTGGGCAAACCTGTTTTTAGCACATATGACGTCGTAAGAACATGTTGCGCGTATAATGCATACAGAAGAACTGGCCAGATGCAACATGTTGCTTTCATCGCAGAAGCCTTGGAATGAAGTAGCATTCTCCATTACGTTACTAAAATGGCGGCCTCCTTACGATTGATCTGAGACGTGTATGATGTCAATAACAAACGAGGTATAGCTTCATGTACGGAGTACCGCATGTGCTTTGGTAGCATCAATGTGGCAAGAGCAGGTTCCAACACGGCTGCTAGCTACGAGTGGTTTCCAGGAGCTGAATGTCTGTAACCCCGCCGGAATCGTGATCTTGGAGTGACATCACGATCCGAGGCCTAGCTTGGCTGCTGCCAAAAATGAGAGTGCTTCGCCTCTCCCGCTTCCTCTGTACGGTACGTCATCAGGCACCAGCATATCCTGCCGTTGATCTGCTATGAAGGGGCGGAGTGAAAATCTTTAGGCCGAAATCAAACCGCCCCTGAATGTGCGTGTATAAGCCGGGTTGACAAATGACAGGCCGGCGTATTGAAGATTGAGAAGCCATCCCCGTTCTCCTGTTTACCTCGTTGGCTAGACAACTCTGACATATTGAAATCGTGACTGCCCGTTCTGTCGCCTCTCGTTCATCACTCGCAGTTTCTCTCTTAGAACCTTCTGCCGTCCTCCTTAAAAAAAGACACCCGTCTGCAATACGCCCCTCTCAAGAAACAAGGAGAAGGTCTTGCAATATAGGGCCCTACTACCGGTATGGTGTAACGGTTAACATTCGAGATTCTCATTCTCGGGCTCTGGGTTCGATTCCCAGTACCGGTGCGCAACGGATTCTCCGCGGCCCTTACGGTCGGTGTGTCTTTTTTGTTTGTTTGTTGTGTCGCCCAGCCTCACTTCTAGACCTGAAGTCGCAAATGCCCACTCATGCATACATGTTTCTGTCCATTTTCCCAACGCACAATTTCTGATATAAGCTTGCCGCGAGACTTTGTTCGGGTATTTTCTTACGGACTCCATTGGGATGAACCTGGGCTTTATGCTTTGTATTGTAGCTTCGTTGATTACGTCGGTCAGCTACGCCGGCTATTCACACCTACAATAGAAGGCCTCTACAATGCGCCTAAATAAGCCCGAAGCTCTTATTGCAGCCGAAAGTAAGACTGTAAGAATAAAAAATTGTAAAGAATTTGAATTCGTACTTGTTCTGTCGATACAACAGATTCAGATGTTTCTTTTTACCATTACCAGAACCAAGTTCGAATTAGAAAATCCATCAGTATTTCTAGTCCAACCAATACGATGTCAAAAAAGAAGATTGTCATCAGCGAGTACAACGTGTCTGGTCTTCGCCTCAGGCCGTTCAACTTACTCTGGGGCGGACCTCTGCTGGTCAAGGACCGTAAATCTCGACAGAAGCAGCAAGAACAGGAGAGCAACACACAGCCACCGTCCGTCCTCGAGGCTCCTCCCGCTGCAGAAGAAGCGCAGGCTGAAGCGCCTCCTCCGGCCGATCCTGTGATACCGGTAGAGCCTGACACCCCCGCGGCAGGCACTGTGAAGATTGAAGCAGATACGAAAAGCAAAGAAAAAAAGAAGCACAAGAAGCATCGCCCCAAACAGTACTACGAAATCGAAAGCGACAGTGACAGCAGCAGCAGGGGACGTCGCTATAGCTCATACAGGCGATCGCAATGTTACCAATTTCGTCCCATCGGATGCCATCGAGATGGCTGTCAATGCTCGCATGATGCAGAGACCAAAAAAAGAGAGACGAAGCACAGAAAACAAAGCTTGAAAGCCATGCGATGTCCTGTATGCAAGCAACACGTGGACATGTCTTCAATTGAGGGCGATGACAGCAGCATAGACTGTAGCAGCGACGCAACGACGGCCTATGTCTGTAAGAGAGACAAGAAAAAGAATAGATCAAAGGCAAAGTCCGGGACACTGAAGAATGAAAGTGGGGGGAACACCGAAAAACAGAGAATTAAAGACGGCAACACCAAAGAAGACGAGCCACAAGTGCCCTCGTCCGCCACTGCTCTTACAGATGGTGATGTCGTCGCGGATCCAAAAGCCCAGAATGAAGTAGACGAAGGCAACGCAGGCAACGCAGGCAACGCGGGCAACGCAGACCAGAGCAACGGTACAGTCGGTGGCGATTCCGTTGTCGTGGAAAGCAACGTGATGCCGACTCTCCAGGATGCAACTAATCCTCTTCCTGGGGTCGATCTGCGTGCAGACTTCTTGGCCTCATCTGGCGCCTATCCATCGCAGTTTCCCCCCAGCTTCCATCGCAGCGACCACAACGTGCCTTCATATCTGCCAGAGTTTGCAGACACGCAATCTCGTCCCTACCCCTACCCTTCCTACCCGGCATATCCCTATGGATATTGCCCGTATCCTATGTGTCCCTACCCACACATGACACCTCCGATGGCTGGCTATTTGCAGCCTCATCTGCCACTGATCTCACCCTACGCCTCAGCGGGCGCTGAATTTGTTCCTGATGCTGATATGCAGGGAAATAGAGGCGAAGCAGCCGTTGCTGATGCAAACGCCCAGAACGATGGTGGGAATGGCTCCGCCCCATGGCATGACAAGGAACTGACCACTGGTGACAACATGAACAAAGCCGAAGGCGAAGACGAGGCAGTCGAGACAAGCAACGATCAGATCGACAACTGGGGCATCAAATGGGACGACAGCGGCTTGGATGAGACCTGTGTAGGTACTACAAACAACGGTTCCTGGAGTTGTAAGCCAGCAGACACCGAGGGCAGCGCCGATCGATCGCCGACATGGACGGCTAGCGACCTAGCCCTACTCGGACGTCTGCACACTCAACAGGTCACAGACAGGTGGCGAGACCTGCAGACAGCGTTTTATAACGAGACCGGGAGAATGGTGGACTTGGAAGTGCTTAAAAGCACGGCAGAAAACACCGATGATGGCCAGTAAGAATGTTTCGGATGAAGGCGCCGAGGCGGATGAGAGGCTGAACAATTTGAGTCTGAAAATGCAGCGGCGAGGCTTGGGTCAAGAAGGCCATACTGTAGCACATCAATCTGCTATGCGGTAGTTAAATAGGCGGGATATGCTTAATGCATGTGGGTAATTGGTCAATTAAAGGTTGAACCTGTTGACAAACAGCAAAAAGGAAGAACGCAAAAGCTAAAACAAGTATGTAGCTGAACAAAACCCCTCGAGCCAACCTAAAAATGCCAACCCGTTCTGAGTCGGTGTCGACTGCAGTCCCTATTTTAGCTTAAAGTACACAGACAAGAGAAGCGTTGAAGAAGGTATAAAATTACGGCAAAGCCAAAATGCCAGACAAACTCCTCTAATGCAATCTAGAATTCAAACCTAGCCCAACCGTTCTAGACCGGAAACAAACCAACCACTAATTATTTTATAAGCCAACAAGATGCAAGCCCGTAGTAGCGGCTTGTTTATATGAATTCGGGCATGTTATCTGTACGCATCACTTGTGCAGAGGCAGCCGTGCTGGGCGGCATAGGTGGCGGCACGGTTGTTCGTGGAGGCGTGGACATCAACTGTGTGCTTGGGGGCTGTGGTGGCGCAATTTCAGAAGTCTGGCCCGGGAGGCCGCTGGTTTTTGTTCTAGACGAGCTGCCAGTGTTGAGGCCTCGCTTCATCATCTTGCCCAGCACTGTGACGAGCTCGCATGCATCGCTGAACATGTCGTTGTCGATGCCCTCTGTGGCCTCGTACACATCTGATATTGTGTCTTTGGCCAACTTGCGGCTGCCTTCGAAATCGTGCTTGCATTCATACAAGAATGCAGAATACTCCGTCTTTACAGAAAGACGCAATGTGTGCGAGCCCCAGAGCAGCTTTTCGGCTAGAGCAACCGCATATCGGAAATACTCGTCGGCCACCGGCAAGTAGTCCTTTGGAGGAAGTAGAAATGCGGCAGGAGGTTGAGGGCCAAATCCAGGTGGCGGGCCGACGGGACCGCCTTCGTGAAGGTGGGCGGATTGCATAGGTGAGCGCTCGCTTGTCCCGTCGTCGTCTCTAGCAATTTCCTTGCCCTTGTCGGCTCGGGGTGGCGTTGGCTCATTCGACGACGAGCCGGCGATCTCGGGAGTGGACAGGCCCATTACGGAGACGGGCGGCTGGTTGTAGAACAGGACGAATATATGGTAAAAAGAAGCACGCAGCTTGTAGGCCAGAACCTTGAGCTCGACGTACTGTCCCACAACTGGAAGGACATACTGTTCGAGCATGACGAGCCCCTCACGCGATAGCCATATAATGTGGAAGTACAGCTCGAGCGTCTGTGGCGATATTGATTGATCTCGTCGGCGTTGTTTCCGGGCGAGCACAAGTTGTTGGGAGAGGTTGACAGACAGGCCGAGTATTTTGAACAGCATTGATGCCAACAGAGGGTTATCATGCTCGACAGCCTTGGCAAGTCTGCCGAGGAATTTCTGGTCGACCTCGGACGAAGCCATGATGCTCAATTTGGGAGTCTTGTGAGGAGCGAAATGAAGGAGGGGGCGAAAAGCAGAAGTGGACGTTCGGGCTATTATAATTATACCACGCGGTCAATGCCAATATGAGACCGTCTTGAGCACGTCAGGCGTACTTTGTATGGTTTGCGAAAAGAGACTGCCGATCCTGAGGAAGATTGTGGATTGCGAAATAATGCTCGTACACTAGTGGGAGGTCGAGATCTTGGGACAACAAGGTAGGAGGCCTATGGGTTGGCGCCCTCAGGACTTGAGCACTGGCAAGCAGGTCGCAAAATGGGCCGTAAAAAAGAGTGTCGTGGGTCGGAAGGAAATGGGGCTGAGGTCGGCTTGTTTACATCGAGCATAAGCATAGCGCCATGGAGATAGCAGCGATCCGAAGTCGTTGTATATACAGATGGTGGAAATATGCAAGGAGACAGGAGATTGATCGCTGAAGGTGGTTGAGAAAGTCCGAAAGACAAAATCAAACACCACGACAGTGAGGCTGGCTCGGTCTGCAGAAGGGCGAGTAACGAAACCGATAGAAACAAACGGAGGCCAATCAAGCTGGAGGTGGCCGAAAAAAAAACAAATGCTAACAAGAGCGGTTATGGGACAGGAAGACCGGCAGCTGGATTGAATGTCTGGCCGTATCGGACCGTGTCCATTGGATGTTAACGGGAGAGAGGTCCGAGTCGCGCTCCGAGATGAATGCGTGCAACCGGTTGTTTGGAAGCGGACAGGAGAAGGCGAAAGAGGCGGAAGGGGAATTGCCAGTGGAGGGGAGGTGCAGGAAAGAACTACTCCGTAGGTACCACAAGCTGCATATGCGCTCCGGGAATGAATGGGGGCCTGCGGTCTGTGGATACTCGTTTCTGCAGTTGGATTTCCCTTTGCTGTGCATACAGAGATGGACAGGGCCAGTCGTCGGTCGCGTGTTTGCCCTATGGCCCCGACTTTCTTTTTGTCGAGACGTGACTTCCGCTGCTTCGGTCTTCTTTCTCAGTGGATGTATGCGCGGCGGAGCTGCAGGACAGTGCGGTGGTGGAGATGTTCGTGGGGACGAGGTTGTACTGCTTTGCTAGCCTGGAATCGTGTGAGAGAACGTGCAGAACGAGGAGAAAGCCAGCGGTTCTAGGCAAGCCGGATGTGTGCACGAGGGAGATGCAGATGGCGACTCAAGGGTTCGTGTCGGTTGCATGTGCTGTATGCGTGGTAGTTTGTTGTTTATGTTGTAGGGCCGGTCAGACGAATGGGAGGGCCGCCCTACGACATTCCCTTCCCGGTTCCTTGTCCGGGCTTGTCCCCTTCCTTGGCCAGCTGCACGATGCGTTGGCAAGGCTCGTTTTTCGTGCACCAGCTGCCAATTGCGCCCGGATTGTCAGCGCGCTGCTTCGGGGCCAACGCAGAAGACGGACAAACAACCAACAGGCTTGCTTCTGTGGACGCACATGCACATGCACGCATGCACTTTCTGAGCGTGGCCTTTCTTTGCTATATTTGTCCCCGAATGCCTCTTCCGGCCAGCTTCGCTGACCATCCACTTTCTTCCTGGTCGGCCTTGTCAGCCAGAGCCAGACCCGGGTGATCCTCAACGGAAAACACGGTGGGGCAGATAAATACGGAGTAAAGACTGTGAACAAATCCACTTGCCAGGTGGTCAACGACAGGTCGAAGAGAGCCGGGCACGAGGAGGAGAAAAAGAATGGCAGCAGAAAGGTCGACAAAAACAAAACAAAAAATCACACCCGAATAGGGCTGGTCTGACCGGACCCACAGGCCAGGAGTGGCAGCAAAAAGGGACGAATGGGTGGGCTATTGGACTGTGACCTGGTTGGTAGGTCGCTTTGCTGGCCGAGAGGTCTGGCTTTTCCAGGGCCTCCTTGTTCGTGTGGGCAATGCAGGGTCGATGCACCGATGCACCGACGCACCTGCAGCAGTGGGCCTCGGCCGCCTTTGCCCGGCTGCACGTCCTCACGCCTTTCCCTGTCAGAGGGGAAGGTGTAGAGACAGAAAAGAGAGCAAATCAGAAGGACTGCAGGGCGGTAGAGAATCAAGCATTGAGAGAAGGGCGCTGGAGTTGCAGTGAAGCATTCAGCGGTCACTCGCGCCGGTGATATCGAAGGGGGTTCATGAGAGGAAACGAGAATCAGTCGGCCGATGGAGTCGCTTGGACTGCAGCAGCAATCCCGGCAAACCGGTTGGTGGATGCAAGTACGCGGGCCGGCGAGACAGCGCAAAAAAATACAGTCAAAATGACAGCATATATTTTGGTATTGAATACGAAGTCGTACTCGCAAAGGTACGCCGTGCTTCCGCAGTTGGCATGCGCGCCTGTGTCGGAAAGGCTGCCGAATAGGAGGAAAGGATGGCGGCTGGGGGCTGCAGAATAGCGATTGGTGAGATGAGAAAGCAAATACAAAAACGGAAAGGGGAGAAAAAAAGAGGAGAAAAAGAAGGGGGAGCAGGACGAGGATGCAGTCAACATGGCCATTGTTGCATTGGGGGAGAAAAGCGTCGAGCTAGTCCGAAAAAGAAAGTATAACAACATGGGAAAAAAGAGGATTAAAGAAAGGCGCGCGCGCGTGCTGAGCGCGACTTCTCCTTTAGTACGACGTAAGATACTCGTATGTATTGCGAGATACTCTGTACAGAAAGGACGCAGTACGACATGCTCCGGCCGTCTTCGCCTGGCCTAGCGGGTCTCCGCTGAGGATACAGGCCTGTGACGTCGATGCCGTCGTTCTTTCCTTCCGGGAGAAGCCACCTTCCCTGCTCTATTTACGCGAATTTTAAGAATACATAATGTATAGTAGAAACAATTGTGGCATACGCATACGACACAAGATGCTACAATTTCACGACAAGCACGAAAAGTGCCCCTCTGAGTGCTCTCTTACACAGCATCTCCGGATTTTAGCTGCATAAGGCTCCATGGCGCGGGAAACCACGAGGGCTCACTAAGCCCATCGGAATGCTTCAAGACGGGAGAACCACGGGCGCTACCACGACAAATTTTCCAGCACTGGAATGCGGCTGTTTTCTGCCCAACAGATAACCCTATAATGGTGGCATTGTCTCAGACAGTGGGCGCAACGGTCTCCAGCAGGCGGACAGCAGAGAGAGGCATCGCGAGTGCTCACTACGACGTATGATACAAAGTGAGGCTATTTCCAACAATACAGTACTATGCATGATACGAAGCAGTAGCTCGCCAACGCGACCAGCCTCTTTTTTTTCTGCCCGTTGACTAGCAGAGACACTTGGCCGCTCAGCTCGCGGGGCCCCTGCAATTTGCATCGCTGTTCTGAGATAGCCTCCTGATACTGCACTAGCTCAGCCGACAAAAGTGGCGGTGAGAGAAGCTCTCCAGATGCGCAGCTCGGCCCAGGAAGCTGCCCCTGAGGCATCATAGTGGAGATGGGGCTGCATGCAGCTGTGTCTGTGCCTGCGTCTTGCAGGGATACGGAGTACGGAGCCCCAAGCATACGAAGTACGTCACATGTCGTGAAGCTGTCATTGCACATATATCGCGTCATACTGGTAGCATATCATACAGTCCATTCCAACAGTTAGGCTCCCTTTGGAAGCGGCCGGTTTTTGCGTCGCCGTCCGCTCGCGTTGCCTGCCCGCATGACCTCTGGTTCTGCGCGGAGCAAGTCTGCCGCACTGCCGAACCGCTCGTGGCCCAGAGTGATGATCTTGATCGAAGTTCCAATGCCCAGAGCCACTGTTCCCGCCCCAACTTGCACAATCGGGCCCGGCTCTGTCACAAGCAGGTCGTCGTGGTCTCCTCCCAGCGGCTGTGTCACGTAGCCCCGGCTGCCAGCGCTGTCGCCGTCTCGATTGTCCAGCATGCTCCACATCGACCAGGCCTCCCAACAGTCGGGGCCACTTGCCGGCACCGTTGCAGCCGTCGATGTCTTGGTTGTGCTCGCCGCTGTGGTCGGCGTTGCAGGCACTGTTCCGGCCAGGGCTCCCAGCCCGCGGCGCCGAAGGCTGCCGTCTGTCCTGCCCGCAGACTCATGGCCGCTGGCAGTATGGCTAAGGCTACCCGTGCAGCCGTCGGGGATGGCTTGCCCCTGGCGCCGTACACCGACGATGCATCCGTTAGGCAGGGCTTCCCACTTGCCCGGGTTGGGAATGTCTCTGGTTACCTGCCGTGATCTATCCCACGTGCAGCAAGAGCTATCTGAGCTGGCAGGTATGCCCGTGAGGCCATCGTTGGAGAACAAGGCAATCGATCCACCTTCCTGCTCCGGCAGATATGTCTGTATGAGGCAGTGTCCTGTCCTGGCACTCGAGTAGACGAGACTGAAGTGGGACAGCTCTGGCGGGCCGATCTGCAGCTGTCTTCTCTTCGAACACAGATATCTTAGCGATCGTGCCTTGATGGCCGTGGTGGTCCGGAATGTGTGGATGATGTTGGATGTGCGCAGATCGACGAGGTCCACAGACCACGTCCGCACAACAAGATACGCAGGGAATTGCGCGAGCGCCACCACTGAGTGGACGCTTCTTTCTCTATTCGCCTGCTGCTTTGGTCCTTCTGAAATCCACTCATCACCGGCCCGGAACATCCGGTACACACAACCGTTGCGCGAAGCTGCGATTATGGCAAAATGATCTTCGACCGACACTGGGGGTATTGTCGGAGCTCGGCAGTGAAGCGGCGCGGCGCAAACCAGCGGGGTTTGGCAGATCGGATGGTCCACCATCTCGCAAGAATCCGCCCAGAGCTCTGCAAATGTGCCGTTTCGCCGCACCACCACAAGTGAGGGGACCTTGGTGCACTTCAGAGCGGGTGTGAAGAAGAAGGCCTCTGGCTTCTGTCCGCACAGGTCAACAGGAAGAGTGGCACCCCACCGCTTGGTCTCCAGATTCCAGAGCATGACCATGTACGTGGATAGGATAGCCAGCCAGGTGGAGTCATCGTCGATGGCCAAAGCTAGTACCGGAAACGGCACGTCCGTGGAGTCGTCTTCTTCGGTGAGCAGGTAGTTCCTGCAACCGAACTGCACATTCCAAACACGGATTCGTCGGTCAAGTCCGACCGAGACCACCAGGCCGTCGGGTGATGCCACCAACAGGGCGACATCCAAGGCATGGCCTTGATCGAGCGACTTGACCGAGAGACGAGGCTCATCAGCTGACTCGACGTGGTCGTCTGCCTCATCAGCCTCAATCCATAGGAGATAGCTGACAAATGTGCGCACGGCGGCGGGTACAGCAAGAATAGCCACCAGAAAAGACTTCCACTGATGACGGACAAAGTCGTACACAGCTGGAAGAAATGGACGCTCAGATACACTGGGCATACGGTCAGCACCATTCAGCACAAAGACAAGCGGCTCGTAGACACGAGCAACGCAGCTGTATGCGTATGGTCGTATCGCATTGTTCATTTCGCGCGCTGTCTGGTCTTGGAGACGGAGCCACGAGGCCGGGCTGCGCGCTTGGTGCACTTCTTTGAACTGTGGCGACACGCTGTCCCAGTAATTTGTGTTGTGGCCTCCACCTGTATCCGGAGCGGCCACTCTGAAGAGTCGAACTACGGCGCGAACCATGCTCTCGAAGTCGAAGAAGTGCCACTGAGCGATCACGACAAAGCACACCAAGATGACGGTGCCAGCGATGCGCGTAGACACGTCGACACGACCTTGCAGGAAAGCGGCAAACCAGGATGGACGTGGCAGGCCGAGTGCTGTTGGTGATGGCGGCTGGGATGACGTCGAGTGGAGGCGGCGCCGCATAGAGGCAGTCTTCTCGATTGCTTCGCCGAGTTCGGTGCGCCTGACCTCAATGCTGAGAACAGATAAAAAGAAGGTGGAGAGGTATATGAAGTCGAAGACGATAGCAATGGCGAGAAAGCCGCAGAAACCCGACAGTCCGGAAGCAACAAGTTTGGAAATGATCCAGAGGAGCACGAGATGCTCCACCACACTGGCGAGGGCAATGTGCGCCGTCTTCCCATACGCCTCACCAACGCGGCTGCTTGTACTGCTTTCGCTGTTCGTCAGGATGACGGCCTTGATCAACCGCAGTATGTTTTCGAGGCTCATGGAGACGATGACGATCGGGTATGCGGCTCGGGGAATGCGCGAGAGATCCACGCTAAGGATGGCGCAAACGGTGAAGCTTGACATGATGGACATGAAGATCTGGGCGACGACAGTCAGGATCAGGCCGGGGCGCGATTTAATGGCCGGCAGCTTGGATAGGTTCTGGATAACGTAAACAAAGGTTATGGTATACGCCAGGGCTAACATCAGGGAGTCCTGCAGGGACATGGGAAGAAACTGAAACTCATAAAGCTGGCTCTGCAAACTGTGGCCGACCTCTTTGGGGTAAACAGTCCATCTGCTATCCAGGCGAGAGGCAAGCCCCGCCGACTTCCGTTCCCACTGGCGGCCTACGGGAGAGTCGCGAAGATGGACCAGAGTGATGACGAGGGCGTCGGCGGCGACCAGAGCCCGGTCTTCGAAGCGCTCTCCGCTGAATGTGAGGGAGTGGCGCAGCGTGACGTTGATGGACGTGGCCTGTTTCTGGTGCTCATTGACGGTGGCCAAAATGTCAGAATCAGAGGCAATGGCCTCGCGGTCGTCGGACCAATAGAGCAAGGGCGAGTGGAAGAACCAAGACTGGTTTGTGAGCCCATTGACGACGTGAAAGGCGTCTCGCTGCTCTGGAGAGAGATCTTCCAGTGGGTCGCCGATCTCGAGGCTGTCTAGTGCATTAGAACGGTGAGGATTGAAGTTCTTAGTAGGTCCCAGGAGCTCGTCCTGTAGTTCGAGAGTACTCAGGAGAACATCACGGTTGAGGGCTTGCATGTAGCTTCCATGGACCCATATGGAACGCATGACAATGTGAGGCTCGACATCGATGCCGTTCTTGAGCGGGGTTGCGTTGGTCCAGACATGGCGAGGAATATGGGAGGTACTGCTAGTAAAGTCGCTGGTGTAAAGAAAGGGGACGGGGTAGAGGAGAGCGATAGTAACGGCGACAGAGAGGAGAAGAGTGGTGGCGACGTTTCGTGCAATGTAAACCCCATAATGCGTGAGGCTTTTTCGAAGGGGGTGGCCAGGAGCCAGTCTAGGCGCATTGGTAGTCCTGAGAGATGTCAATCAACAGCAGCGTACAGGCCTGAAACAGGAAGAGAGAAGCAGGCAGGATTGCAGATCTGTGGAAAGAGGACAATCTTACCCTCGGAACGGGTACAAGAGATACCAGAGCATCGCTGAGTATCAGCATGCCATGGGAGGAGGAGGAGGATTGGCGAGAGAGAAAGGAAGAGGTGGAAGAGAGAGGGGGAAGAGATGAAGAGGGAAGAGAGAGGGGAAATGCGAGAAGAAGGGACAGAAGACAAACCAAGGCCGGACAGAGTTCGATAAGGAATGCTATAGAAGGGAGGGAAGCTATGTATAAGATGAAGGGCATAGGAGCCCACCCACAGGGCGAATTATCTGCAGCCAAAATCGACAGCAACGCCACAGGTAATTTGGACGACACGTAACAGCAAAGGTACCGACTGCAGGTGTGGTGACGTTTGGTCATGGCGGTCCTGCCGACGACGGAGAAAAAAAGGCGGCCAGGCCGGAGAGCTTTGGCCGCCAAGATGACTGCGACAGTGACGGCGGTAGTGTCAGTTTTGAGGTGAGACCAGGCCGTGTGTATCTTACAATGTATTCGCGGCTCTGTCAAGGGAGGCCAGAACACAAGGCTTTTTGGTGCATGCGGTGAGGAGTGCAGAGGGCATCACCAAAGGGCAGACGAGGCCTGCATGCCCTTGAGGGAAATAGTGTAGAGGAGGGTGTGGGCAAGCAGCTGTGCTGTGGAGGCTAGTAAGTGTTTATGCGGCCGTCTGGATGTGACGACTGTTGGCGGCGTACACGAGGAAGGTGCCGTGGAGGTGGTGCCACTGGCGAGAAAAATCGCTGTGGGAAAGTGACATGGGAAACTTGAATTTCCGATAGTGGGAAAGTCGAGCAATAATACGGAGTACAGCGGCGCTAACAAAGCCAGGCTGGTCTAGCCATTATTATTCGCTGTGGGAGATGTTAAGCAGACGAGGAGACACGCACGGAGTATCTTTTTATGTACGGAGTACGAAGTACGGAGTCTATTTACATGGATTATACGCTCCAGTTGGCGACAGGGCCTAGAGCTGGGGGAGTGTGGCAGCTGGGGCTGGAAACGGCCCGGAGATGCGAGAACGCCTTGTGCATTCCAGTTTGAGGGCTGTTGGCAAGCCACGTCGCCGGGAGTACATGAGAGCTACGGGTAATACGAAAAGGAAGAGGGGTAGGTGAGAAGGAAAGGTGGGATCCAGAAGATTCCGGACTAAGAACTCCGTCTAATACTACAATGTATGCGTCGTATGTAACTCTGGCAAGCTGTCTGGTGAGAGCAGAGGTTTGCGGCCCCGCTGGCCGTCGCTGATTGGCTGGCGGCTGGCTGCTCTGTAGAAGTGACGTGTGCCTTTTTTCTGCTTTTTCTCTTGCGAGTCGCTGCCAGAGAAGCTCATTTGACGCCATGGATCGTGCCGACCCGTTGGCAGAGCTGATCAGCAGCTACTTTGAGCTCAACGGTAGCGCCATTGATGAGCTCCTGGACCCGGACGAGGACGTGGACGGGAGCATCTATGCCGATCAGCAGCCGTATCTCGGGCATGGCCCCGGCCCCGGTCCTGGCGCCGAGCCCAGCCCGCTCGAGTTCATGCGTTACGTTGCCCGCAACACGCCGTTTGTAGCCCGTGGTGCTGCCTCGTTGTGGCCGGCTGTCACCACCTGGTCTGCCTCGTTTCTGCGTGATGCACTAGCCAGCCACTCGGTCAACGTCGCTGTCACTCCCAGAGGGTGAGTTTCTGCTTTCTGCTTTATTATCTGTCTGTCTTCTGTCGAGCCTCCTACCCCTGTCCCTGTCTCTTCCGGCCTCGTCTGGCTGACTGCATAGAAATGCCGACGCACCAACGCCCGGTCCGTCTGGAGCCCTCGTCTTCGCCAAGCCTTGGGAGGAGAGCCAGCCGTTTCCCGACTTTCTCGACTACGTCATGCGCCAGGAAAAAGGCGAGCTGGACCCTGTCGCAGAAGTGCGCTATGCCCAGACCCGTAAGTCCCCATTTCCCTTACTATGTATCGTCAAGAGTCGATTCTGTCCGATCTGGGAATTCTATGCGAAATTAGCTCACCGCCATGTCCAGAAAATGACAATCTGCGCCAGGAATATGTCGCGCTGTATGACCACGTGCAGAAGAACATTCCTTTTGCCCGCATCGCCCTGCAGCGGCCGCCTGAGGCCATCAACCTATGGATAGGCAACTCGCACTCGGCAACAGCCCTGCACCGGGACAACTATGAGAATGTGTACGTGCAGGTCCTCGGCCAGAAGCACTTTGTGCTGCTGCCTCCGCTGTGTCAGCCCTGCGTCAACGAGCAGCTCTTGCAGTCGTGTACATACAGGCGCCGCGAGGACAAGGCCGGCCTCGAGCTGTTGCCCGACCGCCCCGACGGAAACGCTGTAGACATCACGGTCGAGGGCGGCGCCATTCCTTTTGCCACATGGGATCCGGACAGGCCAGAAGAGAACACCACACCGTACTCTGCGCTGGCATTGCCCATGCGCGTAACTTTGAACCCGGGCGATATGTTGTATCTGCCCGCCATGTGGTTGGCCATCCCTCCCTTCGTCCTGCTGCCAGTCCGTATCGGTCTTTCCCTGCTGACTCATCAGGTATCACAAAGTCTCGCAGTCCTGTCTAGGCGATGGCATCTGCGTCGCTGTCAACTACTGGTAAGAAGTGCCGCCATGGGCTCTCCAAAACATGGACCGTTTGTGCTTGGCTGACTGAAGGATCCAGGTATGATATGGACTTCAATGGCCCTCTATACCCGCTCAGTGCTTTTGTCCGTTCTGTTTACCAGACTACGCCGCAGTCAGGAAGAGCAGTCTGAAAAGAAATACATTTATACACAAAACAATGCTCTCTGAAAGCCGTTGTGCCATATATTGCCATGCGGTATACACTGTACGCCTCTCGCCTTTTTACACCAAAATGCCGCCTCCAGCCACCTATTTCTTGTACTTCTTGGCCACCCGCTTCAGCGCTCTGGTCTCCTTCTTCATTCTCGCATCCACCAGCTTGTATCTGCCCTTGACACCCTTCGGTCTGTGCACGGTTAGACGTGCATCCGGGACCGAGAAAAGACGACATGGAAGGGGGAGTGAGAGAGAGAATAACATACCGTCCCTTGATACCCCGGTTTGAACCCCTCGCCACCACCACCTTCATCGGGGTGTGCGGCTTCTTCTTGGCCGCCTTGCTGAGCATCTTGCTGATCGTGTCGCCCTTCTCCTTCTCTGTCATACCCTCGTCCGCAATCAGCAGCTCCGACTTCTTCTTGAGCTTCTCCAGCTTCTGTACCGCCTTGAACTTCTTGCGCGCCTGCGCCTCCCGCACCTTCTTGATTGGCCGTGCATTGAAAGCCCTCATCTTCTCCTTGATAGCGTCCGCCCCTGCCTTGGTGATCGGCCGGTGAAGCTTGTCGTGTCTGGACTCGTCATCCAGGAACCACTCCGGCAGTCCGTCCTTGTCTCGGAAGGCATGCTTGTTAAATCCATCGTCAATGACATCGTGTTTCAGCCTCTGTCCCGAAGCCAAGGATTGTGCAAGTGTCATAGCTTCGGCCGTGATGATATCAATGTCTGTACACCTGTTAGCTTGTTGCGCCAAATCCGCCATGGACGTCATACAGAGGCCCGACATACCTAGTCGCCCGTCAGAGCGGAGTCGCTTGTCTTCTTCTTCCCAGTCGTTCTCGTCCGTGTCCTGTTTGCTGCGCTTCACGACCTCGAAACCACCACCACCGCCATCCTCGCTCTCTGATTCGTCAAAAGTTACCTCTTCTTTAGCTCCCTTCTTTCCGGACTTGCCCTTGCTGGGAATGTCGTCCTCTTCGGCATCGTTTTCATCGACGTCTGGCATCTCTTCATCCTCTATCTCACCCTCCTCCTCCTCTTCTTCGTCTTCGTCTTCGTCTTCGCCTTCCTCTTCCTCGACAAGGTCGTCCAAGACACCGGGTATATCCTTGAAAATGTCCTGATTGAAAAAGCTTCTGGCTCGTTTAGACAACCCTCCTTCTTCGTCCGGCCCGTTGTCGAGGTCTGTAAGCAGAGACTTTGTTGGTTTTCCGCCTGCGGTATCGTCATCATCATCGCTGCTGTCTTCTTCAAGATCGCCATCGCTGTCCTCGATATCTTTGTCCTCGCCAGAGAAGCCCTCCCAATCGTCGTCGCCTTTGCGCTCTCTCGCCTTCTTGGCCCGATACTTCGCATCTGCAGACGACTTCCGATCCTGGTACTCGTCATACAAGCCATCCAGCTCCCGCTCTAGCCGGTCCTCTTCCTCGTCGCTCTCGTTGTCCGTCTCCCCAGACGATCCGATACCACTGTCTCGGTCCACTTTTTTGTCCGTATTAAGAAACGCCATCTTTCCTTTCGCTATTCTCCGAAGGGCATCCGGTTCTTGTAGCTTCTTGAGGGCGAACATAGACCCATCGCCCATTGCGTCCGCTTGCTCCATGCCGATGTCCATCGGGGCAGTCATATTCATCTGCATGCGCACAATGTCCTTTTGCTTTTTCTCGTTTTCCTTCCGCTTCTCGCGTTTCTTCTTCGAGTCCGTTCTGTCCTTCATGGCCTGGAGTTCTTGCTGGATTTTCATCTCCTCGTCCATAGTGTCCACTTGCGTGACCTCCTCTGACAGTGGCTTCGCCGCGGTCTTCTTCGAAGGAAACCCAAAGAGCTCTCGTACCCGCAGCCGCCACCGTAGCAAGACCTTGAACTCTTTCCGGCTCAGCACTTTCAGGTCGGCACAGCTCAGACGGATTTCCTCGGTCGTCTCTGGTAGCTTGTCGAGGGCAGCTAAGGCCACGTCACCATTCTTGGGCTGCTCAAACGATAGTCGGTTGTACTGGCCAAGAATGGCAATGGGATCAGTGGTCTGAATAAATTCGCTGGCCGGCATTTCCTTGAATTGCGTATAGTCGCCCTCTTCGTAACCATCTCGCTTGCGCTTCTTCACTTCCGGGTTGTACACCTTCGCCTCGTTATTCGGGGTTGGATCAGCTAGCTCAGCAAACACAGCTTTGGGGTCTAGAAACCGAGGATCGATTCGCTTGGGTGCCTTGAAGCCGCGGCACACCACGAAAATTTCGGCCGAAACGTTACGGGACGATGGCGGCTTGGTGGCCTCTACCTTTGTGAACAGCTGATTGAACACCCACAGAAGCGAATTGTAATCCTTGGAACGGAAGACCTTGGTAACAAATGTGCCGCCTTCGATGAGGAAGTCGGTCGCCAATTTCATAGCTTGCAAAGCCAGTTCTGCCTGGTTGAACGAGTCCTGGACCCACGCAGTACCGACGTTGGGCGCACCATCGTGCAGGACGGTGTCTGCTTTCCATGTCTTCAGGTGTTGGCGAATTGTTGCTCGGCACTTCTCTGTAGTAATATCACTCTGGAAGGTGATGACCTTCGGAATTGATTTGATCGGTGAGAGATCTACTCCCACGATAATGCTGTTCGCTGGCATGGTCTCTGCAGCGACTTGACACCAGGACTGCACAACGCGCATTAGAATGCAAGGGTCAAGAAGAACATACGATCGAACCATGGGAATATAGGGACACGTACTCCTGGCGCAGCGCAGAGATCCAGTAGGACCTTGCTCTTCTCGAGGAAGCCATATTTCTTGTTCAGCTGAATCAACTTGAACGCTGCTCTGGCCCGGTAGCCCTTCTCTTTTGCAAGCTTATACCACTTGTCCAAACGGCCCTTTCCGTGTTTCTTCTGCACGGCCATAGTGGCAGTAGGATAACAAAGGTGAAAACGTGTGTTTGTCGAGGTGTGTAGACGGATGGAGTCGACGAACTTTTTTTTACTAGACTTTTTTTATCTTATCTTTTTTTCCATCACCTCCCACCATGAGAACGTATAAGCAGAATATCCAATCACAGAGGCCGATAAACATTAGTATGGGTCTCTCGGCACCGATAAGAATATAGTGGGCCCAGTCTCGAAAGAAGCGCAATTTTGCTTAAACAGCTCCTTGGTCTAATAGATGGCTTCTGCTGATTGGCTGACTGCTGTAAGTTCTCGCGACTTTTTTTACACAAGCGCGTGTTAATCGCGTCAGTGCCTCGCCAAAGCCACACTCCATAGAGACGCCCCATAGCACTTCAGGAGTTGCTCCTCCCCCGCCACACGACTTTTCATTGCCGGGTCAGCAGCGTGACCGCGTTAAATGGGCTCCGTACTAAAACGTAATTTGTCCCGTCTTTCCTCTTGGCTGTTCTCGGACAATCTGCCAACTCATCCTTTCCTTCCGGCTGGCACAACCCTGATTCTTCTCCCCATCACGACTATCGAAGCTTCATTTAGTTGCCAGCTGCTGCCCACGGCTGCGTCTACGCGAACTTCTTGTTACCCGGCTTACGAACGCTGGTGCCGCAGACTAAGGGCAAGACAATGGCAGAAGGCAGCTCCACAGCTATCCTCATTTCCGTCACAGCATCCAGCGAAAATGACCAACTGCCATCGTCACCACCCGGGCCGCTTCCCTCTATTGCTTACAACAGCAAGGAGCGTCGTCAGCCGTCGATCACGCCCCGAAAGTTTAGACGTTTCTTCACACCCCGGTCTCGCGTATCAGCAAACCCGAGTGCTGCACGATCAGCCCTTCGTGATCTCACAGCTCTCGCTTTAAACCGGCCATCCACGCCGACTAGCAGTCCGGTCAACCCGGGCTTCTTGTCAACAGACACTGACCATGAAGAGCTCGTTTCTTTCCAGTCACCCCGGCCACTGAAGAAGCAGCGTACAGGCCAGTATACGCCAGAGACTTCGCCACTAAAGGCATCCTCCATGCCATTTTTCGATGCGACGACCCCAGAGCCAGCAGAAAGACTTGCAGCCAATTCTATGCTACTAAGTCCGCTTGCCTCGTCTCCCGTTCTATGGGCCAGTGAGCCAATGCTTGATGTGGATGATCTTGAAGCCTCGAGTTCGGGGCTGGGTTTATCGCAATGCCGAGAGCCGGTCAACAAGGTTGTGTCGTTGGGCCAACGGGGGGTGGCCGGTCAATTACTCCAACGACAGTTGGGTATTCTTCCTCGATCAGGCCACCAAACGTTACCTCGCCCTGTCGCCGGTGAGGATCCGCCCAATGCTAGTCTCGATGCCCCTATTTGACTTCAATTCTGACTTGGTACCTTTAGACTGGAAAATCGAGACAGCGGACTTCTGCACCACACCCGATGATCTCCATCTTTGCTCTAGCAATGAGACTGCCGGAGGCTCTTGCATACCTTTCTGCGCTGCGGCCTGCAACAGTAAGCATCTGCGCATCAACTTTCTCAGTTGGTCATGCTGACACACACGAAGCCAATGGACTTGTGGCAATCGGAGATGAAGAAGGCAGGATCAGGTTGTTAGACTCGGATCCATCGGGCGAAGACAGCTTCAGCAACATCCATGTTTCATTCGCCGCTCACGGCAATGCCGTCATCGACCTCGCCTTCTCAGAGGACGACTCCCTTCTTGCGACAGCATCTGGAGACCAGACTGGAAAGGTCATCGACGTGGAGACGCAGATCCCAGTCTCTATTCTCGACCACCACACAGCATCACTAAAACAGGTTCGGTTCCAGCCAGGAAAAGGACAGGGACATGTAATAGCCACTTCTGGCCGTGACGGTACCGTAAAGATTTGGGACCTGAGATGCAAGGGAGGACCAGCACAGGAGGTGATGGTGGAGCGGCCGACAAACCTGCGCTATAGCCTACCACGAAAAGTAAGCCAAGGCTGTGTTGTCAACAACATATATGATGCCCACGCGAGGACTTCGCGCCAGTCCCGCCAAATGCAAGGGGCAGCACCACCTGATGTTGCCGCTCGATGGGAAGTGCCCGGCCGAGTCGGTGAGGTTTCGGTCACAGCAATCCAATTCTTGCCTGCTGGAAAGGAGCATCTCATTCTTTCCGCCTGTGAGGCTGATGCTTCGATAAAGCTATGGGATATTCGCAACTTCCACACATCCCGGCATAAGACTAGCACGCCTATCTCGATTACAGCACCACCCAAAAGCCACTCCCTGTGGCGACCATTTGGCATTTCTTCCATGAGCCTCAGCACAGACTCTGCCCGGCTATACGCACTGTGCAAGGACAACACGGTCTACGCTTACTCAACCGCCCATCTTGTTCTCGGATATGCCCCAGAGCTTTCCTCCAGGGGGGATCCGCCAAGGCGGCGAAATGGAACGGCACAGGAAGGCCTTGGGCCGCTTTATGGTTTTCGCCACGAGAACTTCCACGCTACGTCGTTCTACGTCAAAACGGCTGTCCGGCCGGCAAAGGATGGCCGCCCTGAACTCCTGGCTGTCGGCAGCAGCGATGGCTGTGCTATCCTCTTCCCGACGGATGAGCGTTATATGGATGAGCAGATGCTGCCTGTCAATAGCACGCATGCATCTGACCGAGGCTTTGCAGCCACGTCAAATCATTCTTCATTTCCACCACAGACACGGCAATTCGCGAACAGCCAGCAACAGCAGCCGCGAGCTGGTAATGGAACGCGGCGGCCAGGTGGCCTCTTCCGGACGAGTAGTACGTTAAGCCTGCATGGCCGTCTGGTAGATACCATCCCCATTGTGAATCATGGCACGGCACTGGTACGCGGACACGAAAAGAAAGAGGTTGGAGCGGTTTGCTGGACGAGCCAAGGAAACATGGTTTCCGTGGGTGACGACTACGTGGTCCGATGCTGGCGCGAAGATCGTGATAGAGCGATTGACCTCCGCACTGGAGGAGAGAGTGAGGGACGACGATGGGCGAGCGGCTGGGCCGAAGTTGGCGACAGCTGGGACGAGGACGAATGGTCAGAAGACTGAAGCTGGGAGTGTCATTCATGGAGCATCAACTTCGGTTGTGCCGCCTTCATTCATATTTGTGTGGCTCTTGTGAGCTGGTGTGCTGCCCTTCTGCAACGGAATTGGCTTTCGTGTCTTTTCTTTTCGGTTTCTTGTTTGGCATTTAGACACATACCCTCTGCGTGCATGATTGCATACATTATATAACGAGTGTGGCTTCGGCGTTTGGTTTTGGCACTATTGATGAACAGATAGGTACATAGCAGACTCTCTTGTGCAAGGTGATGGAAACACATCTGCATTTGCAGGAAGTCGTTTTCAATAATATCACGGTACATAAATAATGCTGAGTGCTGGATGAGAAATGTGTGATACCAGTGCCTAAGCTAACTCCTGGGCTCCAAGATGACAACGCTTGTCCCCCGCAATAAGCCCTATCGTCCAATATCTGTCTATGTTATTGCTATACTCTAGTCATAAACCCACCCGCCCGCCTCCAGGTTTCTCTGAAGTGTCCGGAGACCTGTTGGCTCTGTTTCGTTGAGTTTACATCTATGTGACAAAAAGAAAAGAAACAAAACAAAAAACAAAAGAGCAGGGAAAAGGAAAAGAAAAGAAAAAAACAGGAATAAATATGTGACTGCCGTACATAAATCGTAAGTAGATAACCATCAGTCTTGCTCTTCGGTTAGCGATTCTGCATTGTCGACTTCCTGGCTCTCATTGTTGACAAACAAGAACGAAAAGACGACGATGCAGGCGCCTACCCAGTAGGTGAAACTAGCATACCGGCCGTACTGAAACATCTCACCGACAATCGAGAGCGGAATGGTCAGTGATAGGCCAACAGTGACAACGAGTGGGGTGGTGAGCAGCATGGCATATGCCCAGGTCAAGTCACTGAGGAAGGAGGACAAGGAGTTGGTCTGCGCAGGGGTTAGCAAGGAGGGCCGATGTATTGAGTACAGATGTGCTCGTATAACTGACCAAGATGATGGCCCACACATGACCTGTGGGCGGCAGTTCGAACTAGAGCAAGTCAGCACAAACGAGTCATTCCTTCTCATTTTGAATCGTAAGATGTCAGCACTTACTGGCTCGATGCCAGTCACGTGCAGCAATAACAAACCCGGCCACAGGAAGACCACGTTAAATAGGCCAACTAGACCAAAGAACAGCGACATGTCCACCCGGTCCTCGTGGCCCACGCGCTGCTTCATCACCGTCACATACGCGCCGTACACCACTGCGCTCAGCAGCGCCATAGCGTCGCCCGTTGCGATCTCGCCCGTTGTCTTGTGCGGGAAGTCGCCCCGGTTCTCGTCACTCTTGCCCGACAGATCGACCGATGAGACCAGCGCCACGCCAGCAAGCGACGCCAGCACGCCCACCAGCTTACGCACGGTGAAGCTCTCGACGCGGGCCAGCGAGCACATCAGCAAAGTGAACACGCCGCTGAGCGACGTGAAGATAGTAGCACTAGCCACGCTCGTATACTCGAGACAGGCAACAGCGAAATAGTTGGCCAGGAACCACAACATGCAAAACTCGAGGCTGAGCCAGGCGGTCGCACGCAAGCTCAGCTTCTCTGACGAAGAGGTATCTGCTCCGGGAGCTTCGGCCATCTCTCTAGTCCCCATGCCGGCTTCCAACCCCATCTCGTCGCCGCCGTCCGAGTCCACGGCATCGGTCGCAAACACTCCCTCCACAATACCGTATCTGTTGTTGTGGTCGTCGACGAACTGCTCGTTATAGCCATCACGGCCGGTAGCGGATACCAATTCCCTGTTAGCGGCACTGCCACCACGATGAGACCGGTTATCGCGCAGAATCCCACCGTCCTCGTCGTCCTCGTCATCCTCGTCCTCGTTGAGCAGTTTCCGGGCGCTGTCAGCATCTTCGATGTCATCGCCGCCACTACCCCTACGACCATTGCGTGTCACTGTCCTCCGGATATCCCAGTATAAGCCCTTAAGGAGTTGATGCGTGGCATGACGCGAAGCCCGGGCACCGTTTGCCATCATAAACCTCAGGGCCATAGGAATGAGTGATATGGCAAAGACGGACGTGTTGAGATACACGATAAAGAATGGCTTGCTGTACGCATCGTCGGAGAAGACATACTTCCGGACAAAAGAATTAGCAGAAGAAGCCTGGAAGAACCGAACTAGCCGAGAGCGCATACACTGGTCATGAAATTGGAGGCCGTCCACAGGAAAACGGTCACCATCAGCATGCTGATACCTATGGTGCGGCGCGCGACACTACCCAAGCCAATGCTAGAGCGAAATCCCGGTCTTCCGGCCGCAGCCGGGCCGGCATCGCGAGGAGTAGCGGACGTCATTATTGCAGCGAGGATCAACAATGGACGGTCTGCAAAGTGGTGTTGGTTCTCTAGTAAGATGCCAGCCTAGGTTGAGCAAGATGCGATAAGCATCATGATGAGTCAGCACTGTCGCACGTAAGAGCAGGACGTTGTCGGCTCGAACAGATAGCGTATCTTGCAGCGAAAATTGGAGAGTAGAACACGATGGAGATGATGAATGGAGATCCAGCAGAAGACGTCAGGCATGAGCTTATGTTGTCAGAGAGGTCACTGCTGCGTCTTGGCAGACTTGAGGCTCGATGGCCTATCTCTAACGCCCTATTGGCTGGTCTATAGCATCGGCTATGTTTCAGTTTCGTTGCGAAGCCGCTCGGCCCACCAAGTCAGTATGGTGCAGATTGCTCTATCGAAGCGAGCAACTAAACTTGTAGTGTGGATATTGTAAATAAGATACCATCTGTGGCCCCAATGTTCCTCCCGCACTCCTCCTGCCTCAAAATGCACATGCTCTGGCCGTCCTCATCCAAAAGAGTGCCCGGTCGAGGCCAAACAAAGAAAGAAAAAAAGAGAAAAAATGGATCGATCTTAGACGCATCTGGAGCTTCACTCTCACAGGCAGTCGCCCCGACAGCCACACCAGTGGCTCATACTGCTATCGCAAGACAGCGTGGCTGACGCACATTTCCTCCCCGCTTTGCCGCGCTCCGTCTCTTCAGCACGCGCATCCGTCCCGGTCGTTCTCGATATGGATGTTGATCGGGTCCTGGAAGTCGCCACTGAACTCCTCCGCTTCCTCCTGCTGCAGCGCGTTCTTGGCGATAACTATACAGAATTGGGTTAGTACTGCTGTGCCGACTGCCTGTATATCGCCATCTGTCACTCCTTCCTTCTAAATCTTACCCTCGAATGCTTGCTCCACATTGATGGCCTCCTTGGCACTTGTCTCAAAGTATGGAATCCCATGTGCCTGGCAGAAGGTCGTTGCTCGCTTCGTAGAAATCTAGAAAGAGAAAAAAAGAGTTAGTGCCTGGGCAGCTTCTGGTGGTATGAAGGGGATCGTTGCCGTACCACACGCTTGCTTTCTTCCACGTCGATCTTGTTACCCAGCACAACAAAGGGGAAGTTGTCCGGATCCCGAGGCGAGGCCTGTACCAAAAACTCGTCGCGCCAGCCCTCGATGGCTTCGAAACTCTTGGCATTGTTCACATCAAAGACAAGAACGCAGCAGTCAGCACCGCGGTAGAAGGCAACGCCTAATGATTGGAACCGTTCCTGGCCAGCGGTGTCCCAAAGCTACACGATCGTTAGCCAGCCATCAGCCATTTACCTTGCATGTAAGGTATGAGGTAATGCCCACCTGCATGGTCACTTGCCGATCGTCAACAGGGACCTCTCGTGTGAGGAAATCCGCTCCGATCGTAGCCTTGTAGCTTGCGCTGAACTTCTTGTTGACCTATGATGGAATTGTGTGTGAGCGTCTCCTATGATGACTCTCTCAATTGGCTGCATACATCTTCGGGTTGCATACATATTGGTTCATCAAGCTGGTCTTGCCCACACCGCTGTCACCGAGAATGATGATCTGGAAAGGCGGGAAGCCATTGTTAGCACAAGAAAAGCATTCAGCTTGATAGGATCGCCCCATACCTTCAAGAGAACCTTCTTCCTTGACGCCATGGTAGCGGTATTCGTGGGCTTTGGCAGTGTGTGTGTGCGCGCGCGTGTGTGTTTGGTCGAGAATTGGACGATGGTGGATGGTAGATAGAGGCTGGAAGAAATCGTAGCCGATGACGACAACGAGCGATTTCGGTGCAACAGTTATTAGGGTGTTCCGTGCTTTATCTTTGTGGTGCGACCGTCGAAAGTGCTGGGGCTCTAGCGCAAAATATGTCGTTGGAGAGGGATGCACAACCGGTTGTATGCACGTTCAAGATGCGGACCCGTGGAATGTTTGAGAAGAGAGAGAAGAAAGGGGATTGCTGTTTCCTCTCGCTTGAAGTGTTTCCAAACGATTAAGGCAGGTGACCATACTTTATTGGGTACCCTCGGCGCCCAGCCTGGCTTGCAACAAGCAGAGCTCGCGAGCCAATCAAGATCGACGACATTGTTAGGCGGGTATCTACAGTCCCGCCAGCCCGCCAGAGCATGACTCAGCCTTTCGTGAAGCTAGAGCAGGTCGCCACGCGGATGTTCTCCAATCAACACAACCGTGTCTGCGAAGCAGCTGTCTGATCGAGCAATGCGCCACAACTTCAAATGAGACCATAAATGAAGCGAGAGAGCTGCACGCGGTCACGGTGTCTGCCAGGGACAACCGGGCATATAAAGGCCGCATTGCAACAGCCATGGGTTCTAACGACGAGCTCATCAACCGTGTGCACAGCCTGAGCGACCTGGAACTGGCCGTGTTGCTGTCGCTGATCAGCCAGGAACACTGTGTGATAGGGACGTCTGGAGTAGTCCTAGATGATCTTGTTGATGAGCTTTTCTTGGTATGCCGGCAGCGCGCAGCTCTCGTGAAAAGCCTCTTGTTTCGCTGACCACACATGGCTCAGATCTCCTCAAAGGTGTTCGGCTTGCGATGTGTCGTTGTTGACTGCCATAAGCATATGACTCTCGATGAATTCCAAGCCTCAATAATCATAACTGGCACTCTGTCCACACCAACCGCAGCCACAGGCACCGGCAGTGGGCACGACGGGGCAGGCAATAGAAACAGCCATGATTATGTCCACCTGCCGGCCGCAAGGCATGATCGTCTAGGTCCTCGGTCTTTGCGTTCGCCGCCGCCAGCCTTCCTCATGATGACATCCGCCAGCGCGACCTCGACGACTACGTCACCAGCGGCCGCAATTCCCGCCATGGCCAATGTTATCCTGGCAAAGAATCTGAACCGTGCACCCGAAACGGTGCAGATCCAAGCACTTGAGCTCTTGCGGGCCGGCGGACTGCTCCCACGCACAGCCGTCCAGGTGGCCCCGCGGCCCTTTCTGTTCTTGGCTGTCGTCGCGGCTGAGCCCGGTTTTCGTTGGGGAGGCGGCAACGGCGACAAAACAGCAGGCAAAAAGGAGGACGATGTCGAAGAGGACCAGCCGCCGCACATGACAGCATACCTCAACGACTTCTTTGCCATGGGCCACTGGCACAACCCAGACGACGGATTTCCCAACCTGGACGACGATGAGGAGGCAAGCCATCAGCAGGACCGCGGAGATGCAGCCAATGACAGTGACGGCAGTAGCGACGATAACGTCGACAGCATTGCCTTCAAGAATGGCGACTTGGGCAGCCGCATCCGCGGCGACAACAATGTTGCCAGTACAAGTCGTGCAAGTGCCTACAGCACACTCGATCCAGTACCCTTTCTCTCGGAGGCAGACAGGAGCCGGCTGACAGCGTTGAGCCGCGACGTCCGCATCGATGTGGACGTTCTGCGCTACCAGATGAACGTGGTGGCATTCTTGCGAATGCACCGGGCCGTGGCTGTGATCGGCAAAGGCTGCAGTGGCATCAGCAGCATCTCACCCACTGCCACAAAGCACTTTGAAAAGCTGACGCAATGCTTGGCACCGCTGCATCAGTTGGATTACGTCACCCCCTCACTCGTCGCATTGGCTGCCCGGAAGGTATACCTACACAGGATCCGGACGGTTGAGACAGGCGATAGCTCCGCCGGAGCGGCTCTGCAAGAGCGAAGCATGCAGTGGGGTAGTACGCGAGAAGCCGTGGAGGCGATGCTCGATGGCATCAGTCCCGAGGGCATCATCGAGGAGGTGTTGGACGGTGTAGCACCACCGGTGTAAGGAAGTTACGGTATGGAGACATTGGAGAAGAAAATCAAGGGGCAACAGAGCTTATGGCAAGGCGCCACGCAAAAGACTGTTTGTAAGCACCACGTACGTATCTTAATGCAACAGACGAAGCAAAAGTAGCTGCATACCATTTTAACGCCGGATGAAGTGTCGTTTCGTGTGTCATATGCCGGGCCCAAGGTGTATCCCTATTACCGTCCCGTATACAAAAATACACATGGTACAACCCTGCCAACCCTTTAGTACAGTATAATACTCTCCAGTCTATCCCGTCCCAATTTTCCGGGTCCAGCAATTCTGCGAACATTTTGTTCAGCGGTGAACCTCGGTGACCTTGCAGGCCCAGCCCGATCCCTTGGACAGCAGCGGCAGGCTTCGATATATAGTCAGCATTATGTGGCACAAAAAGAACAATAATGAGATGAGAGAGGCGGAGAAGCTGAAAACATACCTTGCACCCAGGCACCAACCGAGCTCGTTGTCCTTAATCTTCTTGGCAATGCGCACCTCACGATCAATCGGCATCTCGTAACCAGTGTGCACCAGGGCCAGCATGAAGTTGAGATCCATGCAGTGTTCCGGACGGCCGTCCAGCTCCTCCAGCGCGCCCGGGACGGCCGAGAACACGTCCCAGGCAGCCGGCCCACTGCACACGGTGTTTGCCAGCTCGTGCATCTCCCGCAGCGTAAACGACTCCGGCATTCCAAGCGGCTGCGTGCGGTCGAAGAAGTACGACAGGAAGTACACGGCCTCCTTGGAAAACGTCTTGGCAATTGATGGCTGGTGCACGCCGTTAAACGAGCAGGGTGCCAGCTTGCACTCGGCCTCCTTGCGCAAAATCCGCTCTGCCAGGTTGCGGCACTGCGCCGGTGCTGCCTTGGTAGGACCCGTCATGTTGAACTCGGCCTGGGCGCCCAGCGGGTGGTCGTCGCCCAGTTTCACCTTGACCGTCTTTTGCATGCCCACGGCGAAGCACGGGTTCACCACAGGGGCCTTAGCCCAAGCGGTAGTCGTGGCGTCCTTGTTGGCCGCCAGCAGGTCGTCCACAAGCTCCTTGAGAATGGCCTCCCGAGCGCTCATCAAGCCGTAGCCCAGGTGGGAGTGCTGGTAGAGGGTGAAGTGGCGGCCACCAAAGTCTAGGTCGTACTTGTGGTCTCCCTCGGCCATCGTGGTGGGAATGCCACCCTGGGTGAGGCCCTTGTAGTTCGGCTCGAACACGATCTGGGTAGAGCCGCCGCCGAGGTCAAAGACGGCCGCCGTCTCTTCATGCTCCGGCATGCCGATGTTGCCCAGCAGGTAGTTCGTCGTGATCCAGGCGTACACGCCCTCGTCTGAGCCGTCCATGATGGCCACGCCACCCTCTTCGGCCGCCAGGACCGGGAAAGGGTAGTCCTGCTCGAGGTGCTTCCGTACGGCGTCGAGGATGCGCTGGCTCTTCTCAGGACCAAGCAGACGAAGGCCAGCCGTGGCCTTGACAGCAATGGGGCTGCAGGCCTTGAGCTTGTCGGGCACTACACTCAGGGCCTCCTCCATCAGCGAGTCCAGACTGTGGGCAGCACCCTCTGGGTCATCGGGGTAGGCACTGAGACCACTGCTCTGGCCATCAATCTTCTTGGTCTGCTTGAAGACCTCGCTTTCGAGCTCCGGGGTGGCACCGCAGTTGTTGAACTTGTAGATGTGGATACGGGAACCCGTGCTGCCGGCATCGATCATCATGACATACTGCACGATGGGCTTCTCGTGGGAGCTCGAGCGCGTACACCGGCTGGTGCCGTAAGTGCTGTCTGAAGGAACCTGTCCATCGCTAGGCGAAGATGCTGAGTCTCGTTAGTGAGGAAGAAGGATGGATTGGGCAAAGAAAGCGCACCTCCACGGTATAGATCAACGCCCTGTGGGGAGAAGTAGTAGAAGAGGAAAAAGACGGCCGACAGGACGGCAGCAGCCTTGATCCAGCGCGTCTGCTTGGCCTGCGACATCCAGGCGGTAAAGCGCTCCAGCTTGGTGGATTTGGGAGCGTGCGAGCCGTACCGGGCGGGTTTCTCGTGCGGGTCGAAAGCGATCTTGTCCGTCGGCAGCGAGACAGACGTACGGCGCATATCCCAAAGGCGCGAGGACGATGGGGGGGACAAAGAAATGAACGACAAGAAGAGAAATAAAGAGAGAGACAAGAAGAGGGAACCGGACAAGGAGGGATAGGGGGAAGAGGAAAGAAGAGCGGCGAATATGTGGAAGCCGCGTCTTTGTGACGAAAGGCCAGACAACTGCTAATATGCCAATACAAGTTGTAGAAAGGGATTGGAAAAGTGGAAAAGGGGCGGTACCGTATCTGGCTGGCACTTGTCTTGATACAGAAACAGAGGCGAAAATCTGCCAGGAAAAGGACAAGTTCCATGGCAGGAATGGGATAGTGCACGCTAGCGCTGTCACCCAATCACAGCACATTACCGCAGGGTTTGGCGCTGCTGTACTCCGATCAGTAAGATGTTGTGTATCTTACGAAGTACGTTACGAAGTACGGAGTACTCTGTATGTATCTTGCGGAGTCTGAATACCCAAACACAAAACACTTACCATTCACTTTCATGCTCTTTGTTCCCGGTCTAAGTTGAAGCGGTGGGCTTTCTTGTAGATAATGACGCCTCTAGGCCAGTGTCTTTAGCAAAGCTTGTAAGCGTGCTGTGTCAGACGCTCTCGCCAATTTAGTACTTGGTGTTTTTGCTTATATGAATTGCGATGCCTATAACCCAATGCTGCTCTTCTTTCAACCGGAACCTTCCCAATTGGGCAACTTTTCTCGAGATGCACCGAAATTCTCACTACTGTTCACATAACAACACCTCGTGGTTTCTTGACGCCTGGTATGGCTGCCACTCGCCCACGATGGGCTGTGTTCCATAGACTTCTTTGCTCCAACGAGCCTGATGTCATTGATTGAAGGCAGTGAGGGGAAATGCAACGCGCTACACATAAAGATCCGAAGTTAAAACTTCGCTATAACATACTTACCACATTGCACGCTGGTATATCTGCACATCAAAATCATCTCTTATAGAGAGAGCTGCAAGAAAAAGAATCAACCAGCTTTGGTTCAAACATCCCTTCGATCCCTTCGGGCCTATATCATGGAAGAGTCGGATGGGTGGCATCCCGGCGAGATGGCTGTGCATAAGCTTCTTAATAAAGGAGTTCGCATACCAAACCCAACAGCTGCCGGTCTTCCTCCATCATATGTCCATCGCATTGCTGTCTCTCCGCTGATCGCAATCGGTTCTGTTGACCGCGAGGGCCGACCATGGACGACTATATGGGGTGGAGAACGGCACTTTGCAGGACAGATAGGTCCCAACTTACTGGGAGTGCAAATCCTGGCTGATCTAGACTATGACCCTGTCATCGACGCGCTCTTTGGCGGCGATGGTACCACCCCCCAAAAAGGTGACGGAGAGTTGCTGCATCCCGCCACTGAAGCTGTCATTATGGCCGGCCTCAGCATCGATTTAGAGACGCGAGACAGGGTCAAACTGGCCGGAAATATGGCTGCCGGTATGATAACTGCACATGATACGGTGGGGACTCAGGACGAAGGTGCTGGGCACTTCGGTCGTGTCGGCAAAGTGCAACTAGCGATGTTGGTAAAAGAAGCTCTCGGGAATTGTCCTAAATACATGAACAAAAAAAGATTATCCGCCCTCACATACCACATCCACGACTTCTGTATGAATCAGACACGGCGCCCTTGCCTGATTCAGCCCTGGACCTCATCAGACGTGCCGACCTCTTCTTTCTCTCATCGACAAACGGCAAGACCATGGATACAAATCACCGAGGTGGCCGGCCAGGATTGATGCGTGTTGTCTCCAACGGTGCTGTCGGTAGTGATGACAGCGCAGCAAGGACAACTCTGATCTACCCTGAATATTCCGGAAATCAGCTCTACCAAACGTTGGGAAATCTCTATATGCGATCACTGGTTGGCGTGGTAGTTCCAGACTTTGAGACAGGCTCTGTGCTATACCTAACGGGACGAGCTACAATCCTCATCGGTGCTGACGCTGCCGAGTATTTGCCGCACACAAAGCTGGCTGTCCGCATCGCTGTGGACCGGGCCATCCTCGTGGCCGATAGCTTGACGTTTCGTGGCTCGATCCTTGACTATTCGCCGTACAATCCGCCTCTACGACGATTGGTCAGCGAGATCATTGCTGTCAGTGGTGATCCAGATGTTGCAACTGCATCTGAGAAACAAGATATAGTTGCGACGGCTGTGCTAACGGGACGCCAAACACTGACACCATCTATCTCACGCTTTTCGTTCACTTTGAAACTACAGGGCGGCGCAGAATCGGGTGCCGACAAAAATGTTCAGCTATGGAGGGCCGGGCAATATGCTAGACTTGACTTCAGCCTCGAACTGGACGTGGGCTGGTCGCATATGCGGGACGAGGATCCGCAGTCTCTAAATGATGACTTCATCCGAACGTTTACCATATCTAGTCCACCGCCCCTCGCGTCTGACGGCAGAGTTGATGCTATTATGCTAGAGATGACTCTTCGGCGCCATGGTCCGGCCACAAACCTCTTATGGCGCCACGACATACGGGTTCCCCTGGAGATACCTGTGCTTGGATACGGCGGCGACAGAAGGTTTAGCATCGCGTGTGAGGGTTGTTGTGACGAAAGCAGAAGCAACAGTACCAACAGTAGCAGTGGAGGCATTCGGGTGTCCCCTGTGTTTGTTGCTGCTGGGGTTGGTATCACGCCATTGCTGGCCCAAGCGCCGGGTATCTTGTCCAGTCTCAATCAACGGAATGCTCAGCGAGCAAATTTGACGGTACTGTGGAGCCTCAGGATCGAGGACTTGTTCTTTGCTGCAGATAGTTTCAGTCGTATAGGTGGACTTGCACGGCACACAACACTATTTGTTACAAGTGAAGCCAATAGTGCGGATGCATCTGTCCAGGAAAATCACCAAGAGGTCATAGAAAGCCTGAGGGGAAATGGTGCTACCGTAGTCGAGGGTCGACGGATCCAAAAGCTGGATATTCTGAATGCTGGAAAGGACAACGGAGAGGCAAGGCGGAAGTTTCATATTTGCACGGGCCCAGAGCTGCTCAAAGATCTACAGATGTGGCTTGTAGACGATGAAATGGTCTGGGAAAACTTTTCCTTTTGAAATGGATTAGATTCATGGGTTTCATAGCTGACCTTGATCGAGAATTAGTTTGCAAAACACAAATCCCTTTTGATAGCGACATTACTAATGAGACGGGTGAGAGTACAAGGAGGCAGAAGATACAATATTGTGATATTAATGGATCAAAAGAACATCTGTATTGGTACGTCAGATTCTTGACACTCTGAAGACACTGCGCCATACTGCAGTGCATGTCCAATATACTCCCGCAGGCGCTGCAGACGGTGGCGACCTAACCGAGGAAGCATGTGCCGTATTCTACACATCAACTGGTCAAGATCTTCGTCAGAACCGGCTGGTTCTTCTGAATGGGCGTCTTGTCGTTCTCCTAATGCTTCGAACTGCCGGCGACGATGGTGCTCAGCTACTGCTAAACGCCACTGCTCGAGGCCTGGCCATAAGATGAGGCGTTCCTCATTCTCTAACCGACTGTCGAGTCTGCCTATGCTCACACGCAACTGTCTCGCACGTCCGGCTGCTTGCTGAAAGCTAAGGACGCGTGGTGACGGTGGAATTAGTGTGCTGCGTTCTGCACGCGCTGGCGATGGCCCTGCCGTTGTTAACAAGTCTGAAATCTCGTCCGCGTCGGCGGCGCTGTCCAGGTCGAGTCGATCCATGAGCAGCTCGCTTCCGAACTTTGTGACCGTATCCTCTGCTACTGAGAGTGCTTCCCTTGCTATGCACCGATCGTACCGGAGGCTGGCGATGCGCAGGCTGATGTTGCAGAGACTACGAATCGATTGCTGTAGACGAAAGGCATATGAGTCGTCCGTACTGTTATTGTGATGCGCGTCGCTGTACGGACTGTAAGTGCTGTAGATACTGTTACTGGCATCGCCATCACTTTCGGCAAGGTAGTAGTCCAGTATCTCTGATGTGACAGGCTCTTCCTTGCCGTCGTCATGGCTGTAATTCATAGTTGGCTGGGTGGTATTGGGGCACTGAGAGCAGAATAGGCCATAATAGTCCTTTCATTGGCGAGTGTGGCTAAGAAATTCCAAGAACGGCCGGATAATTCCTTTATAAAAGTCTCCCGAGGAGCACTTGATACGAAGCAGTAAGTGAAAAGGTGGCAGAGAGTGTGACCAGGTAAAAGCAGACAACGCATGTGACTACAGGACGAGTGATACACTTTACAAGGCCGACGGATAAAGGCGGATGCAAGATATTAAGAACAAGACTTGTGCGATGCTAAAGAGTATGTTACGTATGTGTAGTCTATCCAAAAAACTATCAATCCAAGCATAACGGTACACACATATCGAAGATGCGTGCTTGTGTCCAGAACATTATTCCAAATCTGCCCGACTGTCCATGTGTTGCGGTTACAAGGGGTCAATTCAGCTGTCTTGCTGCCTGATGAAAAATAACGCCGTCGCTCCAGATATCGTATGTGCACCCATTATAAAAAAAACCATGCGCCGTTGTCGATATTCCCCGTGAGTATCGTTGCTCGTCCCATATTCAGTCGTCTTATATCGTAATCGACCCCGCTAATGGGCATCAGAGCTCCACACATCTCATCATGCTCGTTTTTTGTCGTGTCCGTGGACTTGTTTTTCGTGGATTCGTTTGGTAAGGGGTAAGATGGAATGTCGAAACAGAGCAGTGCGACGCTCGGCTGAGCGCTTGACTGCCCTCTTATTTCTTAGAGCAATAAATGCGCCATTAAGTATTAGGCAAGCGCCTCATGCACTTGCCAAAGCCACACAGAGTGGGTATTGGTAGATGACAGCACCAACTGCGGCGTTGTACCACCGGGCGGGTACCCATGAGAGTGTTAAGTAGACAAAAAAAGAAGCATAGCAGTCGGACTCCCGAACGGCAAGCCCACTATGACATACTGCTGCTGTGGGTTGCACTGCCTGAGCTAGTGGTGATGCTGACGTTGCGACGTGCCAAGGTGACGAGACGGTAGATGCCGAAAGCAACAGCGCCGAGGAATAAGAAGAGCAAGATAACAATGAGAGCGATGACGTCGTTTTCCTGCATCTTGGCGAGGTGGGCTGGGGACGTGAAACTGTAGGCTTTTTGGAAGCTACCGACAAGAGGAATGTGGCTAACTGAAAGTGCCGGGAAAAGCCTACGAGATCAGTTAGCACAGAAGAAAGCTTGCAGTCGAGAAGAGTGTCTGTCTGGAATGCGGGCGACGAAGATCGGCTGTTACATACCAAGTAGCTTTCTGTTATTTACTTGAAGCTCGTGAAGATCAAGACGACAAACAAAGCGAACGGGTCGGCCAAAATATACCAAAAGGCTGGGAATGTCTGTAAAGAAAGAATATACAATCAATCGATTGAGTTCTGGGATGATTCAATAGCCACAAAGTAGGAGTGGAAGATCCAAGAGCCAACAGAAAGCACAGCAGTCTCATGCTGCCTTCAAATAGGTGGCGGTTGCCCCGCCACCCGCTTTACGGTGCCTGCCAAAAGAGTCAATAAAATGGCAAGGCTGGGAAGGGCCCGCCAAAAAGCTTATAGCACGCACTCTTAGGGGCCAGTGACCGCCCCACTACTGTTAGAAAGCGGTTCAGCATCGCGCAAAATCTGCTTGCCCAGCCTCCAAGTTGTGTCGTTATGGAGTCGACGGCCACCTTGCCAACCAACCACCAGACGACAAAGCTCGAGCCCCTGAGCTTGTTGAAACAGGTGAGAATACAGCCCGATATCTTACACTTGGTCGCTCCAAATTGATCAATTTCCTAATTACTTATTCTCTTAGCGCTGGCAATGCTACACTCTATACGAAGGTGCGAAGCATCACGGAGTATGAATGTTTCTTGCTTCCCCTGTTCCCGAATATCGTACGCCATTGCGCGATCCCGTTCTACGTGACTTAACGTAGATAGAGGCACAGGACAGGCGCAGAAGCTGCTAAGCATTACCGTCAAGGCTGGCAACGGCCGTCAGCCTCTTTCGCATATCCCACTGCATGTCCACATGCGCATTGCATCGTAATTCATTCAGTGTCGGTTTTGAAGCTAATGTGTGATTCGTAGAATCGGAGGATCTAGATCACATCGCCCCAAAGTTAGTACAGGTTGCGATTCACGACCATGTTGCCTACCGCCACATCGGTAACTAATTTCGACATACCTTTTGAGGACACCGCATATACGTCTGTTGCGCAGGATGCTGTGATTTCTGTCCGGCTTTCCACGTTAGGCAGACAATGAGTTCCCCCTCGCCATTCCGGTACATTTCCACGTCCACCACATCGTCTTCCCAACTCCCTGCAGGTGGCTTAAACGGGTTCTCCACGGCCAAAGGTGTTTCGCGGTCTGCCGGGTGTTCGCCGTTCTTCTTCGTCCGTTTTGGCGGCATTGATGCCGGTGTTGTTGCGCTCAAGGACTGACGCCCGCGCTTCTTCCCCTTGTTCGGTTTTTCAAAGAGGTTCTCGCGACTGCCGAGTTTGGCGATGTACTCGTTAAGGATCTCCGACGCATTGCCACTGCCGAGATACCATGTTAGTAAAGTATCCTGGCGGAGCCTACAACCCACCAATGCAGCCCCAAAATATCAGTGCCTACGCTAGGTTCTCCTCTGGCTCCCAAGTATAGTCCTTGGGGTTGTTGTATCCCTTCCACGTCACGTGGAATAAGAGATCGCCCGCATCCTTTAAAAATACGATGTCAGACACAAAGTACATTGAGTGCACATGGGCGGGTCACGTTTCACTTACATTGAGCATGTGGCCGATGATGCGTTCAACTTCATACCTAGAAACGGGGCGTCAGCATCACTGTTCCAAGAGTCATAGGCGCGCCAATGCTGGTGTGCCCGAAGGCAACGAGGCTGGCGGCCGTACTCTTCCTCTGCTTCTGAGTCGTCGCTGCCATCATCGCCGTTTTCGTCGGTGACTCCGTTTTTGCTCGCTTCGTCTTCTGTGCCGTTGCCCTTCCTGATCGGGATGGATCTGGCCGCTGCAGAACCATTTGTTCGTGCAGAAGTCTTGGGCGCACCTCGTTTCTTGGCTTGCGCGCTGTCTGAAGCTTCGTCTGAATTTTCGGTATTGAGGCTAGCGTAAGAGCCGACCTTCTTTCCTCGCTTTGACGGCGGCGGCGTGGTTACAGCCCCCACGCCACTGGAATCTGACATTTCATCGTCACTGAGAGCTGTAAGCGGTCAGTCTCTGATGTTCATTGGGTTCATGCGGGATAGGTTTGCGTCTAGTGAGGATGCGCCGTGTGCTATGCATTGTGATTATCTACAACATACCGGGAGGCATTGTGGGAGATTTTCTAAAACAAAAACGAGGAGCTGGTTGAGCATCGAGGCGCGGCGTAGATGTGGGCTAGCGAGTCAGGTGCGAGTGACGACGATGGAAGCGCGACGTGCATGTTAAGACCAAGAAATTGGCGATGCGTCGCGTCGGGAATTACAAATCCTTATCCCGTTCGTGCCTGTGTTTTTAGGCTTCAAGGCGTATCTCACATGGCTTGTGCGCTATCTTACTCCTGGGTTTCTGCGATCACATGACTGCATTTCTTTGGGCTTGTTTACGGAGTATTTTGCGTAACATGGTCACGTGTATACCACTCTACAAAGTAACACCCGTTGTGCCGTATTACTACGCAGCATCTTTCTTACATGTAGACACGAGTTCAGGCTGAGCTAGCTGTCTAATTCTGACCTTTTTTGCAGTATATTTCTACATTAGGCTGGAACTAGTCAGATTTCTGCCGTACTCAGTACGTTTGTATTTCTAACGCCCGTACGGAGTACAAACGGCGAATTTATCACAATTGGCGCTACGAAGGCAGGTGTAACGGTTGTCCACCGAACCGATGATGACGAAGTTTTGGTGGGAAAAGGGTGTCGGTACGGAGTAAACGTAAGCTATATGCTGCCCATGTCTCCGATTATCTCACGGACTGAGCCAAAGCCAAAGCCAAAGCCAAAGCCAAAGCCAAAATGCATTGCGTGGCGACTGGCAAGATAAGATGTCTTATGTCGACCTGTGCTCGTTTTGGAGGAGCAATTTGGGCGTCAAGGATTGCAAGAAAACCCTTTCCGTAGGGCTGCAGGTAAAACCCCTGAGGCTGGTGTGCTTGTCGTGTCTGCTTTTTAATTACATACGGAGTACGGAGTAGAGAGCAGACATGCAGGGTGGAGAGCCTGCACTTGAACAGACTCGTACTCGTAGTCCGATGCAGGGCTCACTCACCGGAGCATCGGGGTGGGCGTCCGGATACGACGTGGGCGCAGTCAGGAGAAAAGGATTAAAGCTAAGGAAGTCGGCACGCCGTTACCCTGTTGAGAAATATGCAAAACGCGTGAAAAAAAGACTAGAAAAAAAAGTAGACGGACCGGGGCCCGAGGCCGAGACCGAGAAAAGACCCGCGTCTTGCTCAGCGTGCTCGTATTTTAACTCACACAAAGGCCAGAGTTCGACATGTCGTGCTACGCTGTAAGCATCGAAAGAAGGAGCCCAGCGTGAGGAATGACGGTCACGAGTGGGCATTGGCGAAAAGCCGGACACTATGTACGTCGTAGATAGCTCGCAATAGCTCTGTTTTCGTTTTCACGTGAGAATGGGGACAATATTGTGGTGCACGAAAAAGGGGCAGAGAAATTAGCTAGAGCAAGAGGCGGACAGGAAAGAGTGCCGAGGTAAGAGAACAAAGCAGAGAGTCAGTACTCCGTACGGAGTAGCTTGGGTGAATAGCGGCTGACGGCTGAGGCTTACGGAGCAGGAGTAGCACCACAAGCACGAGCACCAATATGCATTGGAAGAGACCAGAGCCTCATTGTCGACATAGTACGATGGCACGTCGGCGAGTACGAGTCAACTTGCAGCCGACGGCGGACTATCCGGAGGAAAGGATGATGGGCCAATGGGGAAGCGAGCTGGCTTCCTCGCTTCCGGCTGAGTCTACACGGAAGATATAGTTAAATCAATGGTGCGGTCGATCTTCCGTACCTGGATTTGTATCTTACTATGTAAGTCTACGAGTAGTCGCTGGCGGACTCGTACCTGAAGCATAGCTGCACTGTCCTATAGCCCGGCAAGTTGAGGGAAGGGTGAGTAATCAAAAGGCAGGTGCGGAGTTTTGGTCCTCGGACGCTTGTACTCGTACACCGCACTCGTAATACAAGTAGTACGAGTACTCGTACGGAGTAGAGAGGAGCCATGCCTTTGGGCTGTTGTTCAGGAAGGGGGGCGAACAGACGAAAGGGGGGCTGGCCAATTTCGTCTTTTGCCTCCTATTACCGCTTGTACTCAGATCCACTCGAACTCCGTCCTGGGATAGACGATGTGTGATGGTACGGAAGAGGTGGGCCGCTAGGCTTCGACTGCTTGTATGGGAAGGACGGAAGGTAGCCGGATAGGAGCTCTGGTCCTTCCTAGGGTCTGCATGTGGGCGTCGGCCTCGACCAAATACCGACGAACAGACGAACAGACGAACGGGTGTGGCGGAGTGGACGTGTCGACGTAAGATACATAGCACGGAGTCGTGCACGAGTACGTCGCAGTGGGTGGTATCATGTTGCCGATGCAGCAGGTGCGGCTGTGGTGTGCAAGAGCTGCATTCAATGTCGCCCACCCCCTTCAGCAGCAGGCCAGGAGAGGGGACACGTCTGTATTCGTGTATTCGTATTCCACTCGTACGGCTTCGGGTACGAGCACTCGTGCTCGCATAACACGGCGGAGCTCGACAGCGCACCCCAGAGCTCTTCGGCGATCAGCAACTAGTACTTGTGGGAGGGGCGAGGACGGATGACGGAGCTGGCTGCCGGCGGCAGGCCAGGGGGGGGTTGGTTTTCGAGATACTTTGGAATATACGAGCTACTCAGAAGATACATGTGCAGTCGAGTCAAGCTGCTGCGGGCCGTCAGATTACAGTGTGCACACTGTGCCCACACGTCTGATTCTCCGGAGCGCGGGTGTGGACCCAGGGAAACGCGTCGTCCTCCGTACAAGTTCTACTAATATGTATGTACTCCGTATATAAGATACCACCCACACTTCTCCACCCCCTGGCCCAGAGGCGCCGCTAGCGTGCTGCTAGTCCTGCGTGGCCGCTGTTTAATAAAACTGCGCTTTCCGTTGCTCCCAGTCGGCCTGAACTACCACCACCCCCCTTCTCCCAATCAAGCATCAGCGGGCCTTTTGGCCGCCTCTCGTTTCTGGGGAGCGAATTTTCAGCAAGCTGGTCCTGGACCTTTCCTCCGCTCCCACATTAGCTTGTCCCCTGAACAAAGTCCACCTCTGGCCGTCTCTGTCAAGCCGACACCCTTCCTCACACGAGAGGTACTCCATAGGAGTAGAAAAAGAGCTAGACGTGCCGGAAAGGGAAAGGCACAACGGGGACGGGACAAACACCGCTTCGACCTCTATATGGCTAGAGTGCCTATATTTGTGAGATATCCAGCAGCGAGCCCATATATGACGAAGTGCCAGCGAAGCTGTCAGAGATAGGGGGGCGGCGTTCGAGAACAGGATCGAGCAGCCGAGAAGTGGAGCTCCCGGCAGGCTCAGTCGACCCCGTCGCAACCGTTGTTGGTAGCAGTGCTTTCTTTTCCCTTTCCCGTTCCCCCCCTCAAGACCCCGTCGATCGAAGTCGGCTTCAAATGGGCCCCCTGGTAGACGCCCCTCCCCCTTCGGAACCCTAGCTATAGGATAGGGGTAGAAAAGACAAGCAAAGGACGGGATCAGACAGCAAAGTAAAAACAAGTCCCGGAACAAAAAGGGCACGGAAGCAGCAAGACGCAAGAAACGGCCGGCTTGGTCACCCTTCTCACGGCCGTATCTGAATGTCCACCACCACCACCTTCGGTCTTGTTCCCTCCAAATCGAGCTGGTCCGTCCGTTTACTGCCATCGCACCGCAAGCCAACGTACGAGAACTGCCAGCAACTCCGGATTCGCCTCATCGCCGCTGCCTGTCCCAGCTTCGACTCGGCCTGCCTCGATTATCGCGTGGCAGGGCTCTCTTGCCGGCGCTATACGCCGGGTGGATCAACGGACGTCCCAGCGCCTCGTCCTGTCTGCCGCCGGTGGGTGGCCGGTGGGCAGACAAAAGCATGGCCGAGCCTGCCTCTGAGAGTAGGGCCGACGCGGAAGCGCCCAAGGCCGCCAAGGATCGGAATTGTCCGTACTGCGGTCAGGCCTTTACCTCTTCCTCGCTCGGACGCCACCTGGACCTCTACATCAAGGAGCGGAACCCCAAGAAACCGGACGGCCTCCACGACGTCGAGGAGATTCGGAAGCTGAGAGGCAATGTCACCCGCCGCCAGATGAAGGCCTCCCTTGGCCGCCGGCACACGTCGACGCCTGCCGGCACTCCAAATGCGCTTTCGAAGAAGGGCTCTATCTCGGATATAGACTCCTCAGCTGCCCCTTCACCTGCCGCGGCTAAAGATGCCCGCAGTCCCGACCCGGCCTCCGTATATCCGCTGGCAGCCCGCTGGGAGGCCACCGGTGTCATCAATGAAGTCATGGCCCGGTCGCCGGATGACAGCGGCAGGAACGAGGATTCCCGGTCCCACGGGGACGCAGATCTGCGGCTCTCCGGCTTCCAAACCCGCCCGATGGTGCCGGCCATGGCGCGGCCGGGCACCAAGGCCGAATGGGACATGAAGCAGAAGATGCAGGATGCCATGGACACCGCCAGGGCAGCCAAGCTGGCTCTGAGGGAGCTTCTTGGCACATGGCGTTCCGCAAAGTGAGTGGGCCGCAATCTCGCTGAACTGCCTTTGCCGTGTATTCTGTCCTGCTGACTAATCCACAATAGGCTTCAGATTGACCTGGGGTCGTCGCCTTTCGATTTTGATCCCTTGTCGATGAACTTTCCCGCACTTACGCTGCAGTGCCTCAGGCCTGCGCCAACGCTGTTTGCGTCCACCCTGCACCCGACATCGTCGTCCTGGTCGACCACGCCGCCAGGATCCAGCCAATACGAAGCTCTGAAGGCCTTCTTCAAGGAGGAGTTCCGCAAGTGGAAGGTGAAGTGTGCCGCAGCTACGACGGCGGTCTTTGAGGAGCTGAAATATCCACCGGCAGCGTCTCTTCAGAAGCAGGACAGAGCCGAGGCCGTTGAGCGGGCAGAACAACGGGCGGAAACGCTGGAGCGTGAGGCAGAAGAGCACCTGGAAGCCACATTTGCCGCATGGGCAGGGCTACCACCGGAGCGGCAGACAGAGCTCTGGGTGCTGGAGCTTGCGCGGGGCGTGGCGACCAAGCAGACGGAGCTTGACAAGATGGCACATGTACAGCACAGGCTGAACCAAGAAGTAACAAATCTCAAGTCCCAGATCGAACAGCTCAACCGCCTTCAACAGCCACGCGAGTACAAGATTGTGCCGCCAATGACGATCCCGATGAGCGAGAAGCTGTTGATGATGCTCCAGGACGAGGCGGTCACCCATAGCTGCCGCAAGATCGGCTGGGATATCGGCGACCGGAACGCGGACCTGGACGTGCTGCTGTCCGTGGCCGTCGACCGTTGGAAGAGCGTCGTTGTCTCGGCACGATCAGCAAACCGGACCCTCGCTGCAGCAGGCCGGGGCCAGATGCCAGCGGTGGCCGGAGGAGGCAGCACGTTAGCACCGCCCCCCCCTACCTCCAACAGGTCTGTCACGCCCTCTCTCGGCTCGCCACAGCAGGCCTGGCTTCAGCAACAGCAGCCTCTGCCACGGCCCGGAGTTCCGATGATGATCCCGCAGGCAGCCGCCACAGCACCGACCGCTCTGATGGAGAGCGCCTCGCGGCAGCCGCAGAAGGAGGTCGAACGAAAGCAAGGCACACAGCAGCGACAACAGCACCGTCAGTTAGTACCGCCAGCGCAGCAGATGCCGGCAGTTCAGCCGGTAGAAGCTGCCGCACAAGGCGCTGCGCAGCAGCAGTTGACGCCACAAATAGCAGACGTGGCCAACGACGAGGTGTCCGACGACGACGAGGACGACGAGATGAGCGACAAGGATGCAGATGCCGAGATGGAAGACGGCGACGAGTTTGCGCATATGCATACACCCATCTCACGGTCCATACCGCCCAGCTCTACTGCGCCTCCTCCTCTCATGCAGCAACAGCTGCTTCCTACGCCACCGATAGAACACGGACAGCAGATAATGCCGCAACTCAAGGTGCCTCGGGCACGTGGTCCGGTGCAACAGCCTCTTTCGATGGTAGCAAACACGTCCATCGGTCTGGGGGATGTCCAGTCCAGCACCGGCCGGTCCGTGGCAGCCGTACACGTCCACTCGCCGGGACATCATGTCATGCACCAGGCTGACATGGGCCTCACGATGGCCACACTTGGCGCCGATTCGATGTTCATGGATTGAAGGACAGACAACGGGACGAGTGGACACAAAATAGAGGAAGGACAGATTAGCGGACAGTAGTTTTACAAGCAAGGCGTCTTTTCTTTGGGCATTTGAGGCTTCCAGGGTTTCTTTTTTTTTCTGCCGGATTGGGCGAGAGGGAGGAGGCATTTCGCCAATGTATTTTAAAAAATGTGGAAAGACTCCTTTCGGTGTTCTGGCGTGAGCAGCCTGCGGGACCAATATGCAGAAATCGCTTTTTCCCTTTTCCCTTTTCCCTTGCACTTGGCTCCTGCATGTATCTTTAGACAAAAATCTATCGACCCACTATTCGGCCTTTTTGCCCTGCCATTTGCCCTCTTTTTGTCAGTGACTCAACCCCGCCAAAAAATTTAGCTGGTCTACTCTGAGCCCCTCGCTGATAGCACACAACGTAGGACGGAGACGTGACTTTGGATTCAGCATCACGCACAGCGCAGCCCAGAAACCAATTCCATACTATCATCATAATGGCAGACTCGGAGCCGCCGGCACAGCCGCCGGCACAGCCTGCCGGAGACCTGCACCTGGACGAGGTGACGGGCGAGAAGGTGGGTGCCTCTCCGAGACGATAGACAGACAGGGAGAGACGAGGACTAACGGAAGCCAACAACACCTGCAGGTGTCGAAGACGGAGCTGAAGCGTCGACAGAAGCAGCGGCAGCGAGACGAGAAGAAGCAGCAGAAGGCGGCCGAGGTGGCGGTCACGGCGCCCAAGAAGACGACCGGCCCAGTGCCGATTGTCGAGAAGGACCTCGATCCTCGCGAATACTACAAGATCCGATGCCGGCAGATCAAGGAGCTGCTCGACACTAACGAGCCAAACCCGTACCCGCACAAGTTCCAGGTCAACTACGACACGTTCAACTTTGCGCGCGACTTTGAGCACCTCAAGTCGGGCGAGGTCGACAAGACGCGGGAGATCCGCGTGGCCGGCCGCATCTTCACGACGCGGCGGTCGGGCGTCAAGCTGATCTTCTACGACATCCGCACGGGTGCGGACACCAAGTCGATCGGCACGCGGCTGCAGGTCATGTGCCAGTCGCAAAACGTCAAGGAGGGCGGCGTGCCCTTTGACAAGCAGCACGTCCATCTGGCCCGCGGCGATGTGGTGGGCATTGTCGGCTGGCCAGGCCGCACGGCACCCAAGAGCCGGCTGGAGAAGGGCGAGCAGGGCGAGCTGTCGATCATGGCGTCGGAGATCGTGCTGCTGTCGCCGTCGCTGCACATCCTGCCGTCTGAATACTACGGCTTCAAGGACCACGAGCAGCGCTTCCGCTCGCGCTACCTGGACCTGCTCTTCAACGACGCCTCGCGCGAGACGCTCTGGAAGCGCAGCCGGATGATCAAGTACATCCGCGACTTCTTCAGCACCCGCGAGTTCATCGAGGTCGAGACGCCCACGCTCGCCGCCATCGCCGGTGGCGCCACGGCACTGCCGTTCATCACCCACCACAACTCCCTGAACCGGGATCTGTACCTGCGTATTGCCCCCGAGCTGTATCTCAAGATGCTCATCGTCGGTGGCTTTAACAAGGTCTTTGAGCTGGGCAAGAATTTCCGGAACGAGGGCATCGACCTGACGCACAGCCCCGAGTACACCAGCATCGAGTTCTATGCTGCGTACTACGACGTCTACGACGTCATGGCCATGACGGAGGAGCTCGTGTCTGGACTGGTGAAGGATCTCACCGGATCGTACAAGACGAGCTTCACGACGCAGCATGGCGAGGTGTACGAGGTGAACTGGGAGGCACCGTGGAGACGCATTGACATGATTCCAGAGCTCGAGAAGATCACCGGAAAGACCTTCCCTCCCGGCGACGAGCTTCACACCGACGAGACGAACAAGTTCTTCCGCGAGCTCCTGCAGGAGCTGAAGCTGGAATGCCCGCCGGTATGTATTGCGGCTGTTGACCGATCTAGCGTGAGGAATGCCAACTGACCATGATGCAGCCGCTGACCAACGCTCGCATGCTTGACACGCTTGTCGGCGAGTATCTCGAGCCGCAATGCATTTCCCGTGAGTGCAAGATTCGACACTGTCACATCAGCTCGGCGTGCTAGCTCAATAATACTGACACATCTTTCTAGCCGGATTCATTCTGAACCACCCCCAGATGGTTTGTCCACTTGCCTGCCCTTGAGCCAGTCACGTCCACCTGCTGACACTGTGTTCTAGATGTCCCCTCTGGCCAAGTACCACAGAGACCGCAAGGGTCTTTGCGAGCGGTTTGAAGCCTTTGTAAGAGTGCAACCACTGTAATAGAAAACAGTGACTGACAGCCGATTTCTGGGAATAGGTTTGCAAAAAGGAGATTGCGAATGCATACACCGAGGTAAGGAAAGCCTAGAAGTAGACACACTATGCATATCAGTCGTCTGACTCGTCATAGTTGAACAACCCCTTCGACCAGCGGATGCGCTTCGAAGAGCAGGCCCGGCAGAAGGCCCAGGGCGACGACGAAGCCCAGCTGGTTGACGAGAACTTCTTGCGCGCACTGGAACACGGCCTTCCGCCAACCGGCGGTTGGGGTCTAGGTAAGATGTGGCGGTGTGGCGTAAGCAATGGGCGAATGCTGACATAAGCAGGAATCGACCGTCTGGCCATGTTCTTGACGAACAACTATGCGATCCGCGAGGTGATCTCGTTCCCGATGCTCAAGGAGGATAAGCCTGGCCCGTCGGAGAAGTTTGCTGCCGAGGAGGTAGATGTGCCTCCGATGCCAGAAGAGGGCATTCGTAAGTCTGAGATGCTTTGATATTGATGCTATCCTCTGGCCTGAAACGACAGCTGACGTTGCAGCCCACAAATGAGCATTCACGACTGCATTTCCCACGGGTTGGATGGGAAGAGGCCGGCATGGGAACACGGAAACACGGGAACACGGCACAACGCAATGCGGACTGGAAGGGAAGGGATGATTCTGTTGTATTGCTGGGTGACAACGTATCTGTACAGGACTCATGCAGACACCAAGAATAGTCCAAAAGAGAAAAGAGAAAGGATTGCGATTATGGTTTCGAGGCTTTTGAGGCCGTTTCCAGCTGCCGCTGGATGATGCGCAAGCTGGACTTGGGGATGCGCAGGCGGTGAGCCAGCACGAGGGCACCAGTCAGGAGGGCCAGACTGCCGGCCTGATGGGTAGCAGCAAGGTGCGTGGGCACCATGTAGATGAGGGTGGCGATGCCCAGGGTGACCTGAAGGAGGACGAGATGGACGAGGCCGGTGGTGCCGCGCTTGATGTTGGACGGCAGGAGAGCGGCGACGTTGCCGCGGCGAGCATATGCGAAGAGGGCGAGGACGGAGCAGAAGGTAGTAGTGGCGAGGATACGATGGTCGAGCTGAACGAGCGAGGGGTTTTCGAGCATGTTGCGCCACCAAAGATCGGCGTGATCGGCCTTGCGGGCGTAGTGAGGATCCCAGAGCTCGTCCTTGGGTGGCGTGAGGCCGACACCCATCATGGGGAACTCGTTGTAGATGAGGCCGGCATCGAGACCGGCAACGAGGGCGCCAGACATGGCAGTGACGAAGATGAGGGCTGTAAGCACGGCGACAGAGCGGCGGAACGGCTGCAGGGCCGGCAAAGCGAGCACGGAAGCCAAACGGGCACCGGCAGCTGGATCTGCCCGGAGACGGATATCGCGCAAGACGGCCAGACCGGCCAGCATCATCCAAGAGTAGCACACAAAGGCGGTGGCCAGGTGGGTGGTCAGGCGGTATTGGGACACGCGGGGGGGGTGTGCTCCAGGGGCAAACAGCTCTTCACGCAGGCCGGAGCTGACCATCCACCAGCCGATGAAGCCCTGGAAGCCGATGAGGGCGGCGATGCCAAACAGCTGCCAGGCCATGGGTTTGGCCACACGGCGGCGCAGAACGAAGTAGAGGGCCGGGGCGACAAAGGTAAGGCCGATCAGGCGGCCCCAAAGACGGTGCGACCATTCCATAAAGTAGATCTTCTTGAACTCGTCGAGGGTCATGTGCGGGTTCAGACGGGCGTATTCAGGGCTGGCACGGTATCGAGTGAACTCAGCCTCCCACTCGGCCTCTGAGCGAGGCGGGAGAGCACCGGTGACCGGACGCCATTCCGTGATGCTGAGGCTATACAGGACGTCAGTTCCGAGGTGATATGGGGGCGTTTGGGGGGGGTCTGAAGCCGTGGTCTTACCCAGATTCAGTCAGCCGAGTCAGGCCGCCCCAGACAACGATGCCAAAGACGCTGATGGCGCTTCCGATGAGCCAGTAGGCGACGGCCTTGGAGGACGTCTCTGGGAAGAAGCCCTCTTTGTCCGGTCCAGTCGAGGATGCAGCAGTAGTAGTAGTAGCAGGAGAAGCAGTAGCGAAAACCGTTGCGAGAGACCTCGACAGACACGTGGCCCTCTCGGCCTGGGCAAAGAAGCCCGGCGACATGGAGGCGGCACGGCTGTTTGGGCGGCGCACAGGCACAGCTATGGTAGATTTAAACCGGCTCTGAAACGGCGACGGCTGAGACAATTGGCGCAACATCTGCGAGAGCTGGGGCATCTGCTCATTGCGCAAGCCTTTGCTGCAGGACACAGGCACCCGCGCGACCAGGACAGCTGTCCGGCGCAGAGCCGACTCAAACAAGGCCATTTCCACCGTCAGACCTTCGATTTGGCGTGAATGAGGCACGTTGCGATGTGCTCTTGTGTGACAGAAAAATCAGACTCGACATGGTCGATGTCAGGCCACAACCAAGCCACTAACACGCCGACATTTGTCAGCCCGCATTGATGCACCAAAGGGAGAGCCCCGGTACGTGCATAAATCAGATGTCGTGTCGAGCTTCCATGGAAGACAAAGAGACGGAAGCGGTTGGGCCTGGCGCATGCGATTGCCGTTTCCGTGAGCAGGTACGAAGCGAGGGAGATGTCTGCCCACGGCCAACAAAGAGCGCCTCTGCGGCGGTGACGTCTATAGAAGCGACATGCGCCCGCAGGCCGTCTCGTCTTGACGCTGTCAGACGAAACACAGATCATCGCCGAAATGGGTTGCCTACTGGACTTGGTGGCTCGCTGCAACGACTACATTCTCGAGGGCGTTTCTGGGGCCCAGGACTGGCTCCCGCTGCGGCGCAAGACGGACGGACAGCAGTTTGTCGGTCAGGTTCTCTCTCTCGGCGACGGCAGAACATGGCTCGATCGTCTGCTCACCGCGGGCCACATCGATCCCCCACCGGGTCAAGATTCTGATGCCGACAACGACAACGACAGCAATACCTTTTACCGCGCTTTGCAGCGACTCCTCCGCCACGACAATCTCGTCTCGATCGCGGCCTTTGTTGCTGTGCAGCTACTGGAAAGCGTGACAGCACAAGTGGCAGTCGTCTGGGACCGATGCGATGCCGGTTCGCTGGACGTGCTGCTCCACGACCTACCGCGTATGGCTGAGATGGGCGTGTATCGGGGCGTGGTTGGCTGCCGGGACGAGGGCACCGTCTACCTGCCCGAGTCGTTGTGTTGGCACGTCGTGCGATCTGTCCTGCGGGCGCTCTCCTGGCTGCATGATGGCGACGGCAACCCGGTGCAGGACGGATGGATGCCGGTCCTGCACAATGCCGTGCAACCGGCCAACATCTTCTTCCAGCACCCGCGCGGACGCGAGACGTACGGTCTCTGCAAGCTGGGCAACTACTCGCGCTGCTTCGTGTCCGGCCACATTGTCGGGCCGCACGCACGCAGATCCCTGGCCATGAAACCACCCGTCGCACTCGCGGCTGCTCCAAATCCACTCTCCGTGCAGGCCAACGACTTGGTGACGCGTGGCACCGACATGGCTGCGCTCGGCGAGGTGCTGCACCATATGATGACCGGTCGGCCCTGGACAAGCGCAGCCAGAAAACTGGACGACCAGCACAACGAGGCCCGGGACAAGGACGTCGCAACGGATGCTAACGCAGGACTCGAGGGCCAGACAGAAGCAGAGGACGGCGACAAATACACGCATCAGCTGGAGCTGTTTCGAAGGCGCCTGCTCCAGTTCGCAGACCTGCAGAACTGCCCGGCCGAAGCTGGCACAGCAGCCATGCTGCTCGAACAGGCCCGTCTCGGCTTCGAGGCTTGGCGCAGCAGCACGCTCGATGGCCGGCAGCACGTCTAGGCGGAGGACCTGGGCGTTTTTGAGATATGACGTAGGCCGATGCGCTTTGGTGTCGCAATTTCCCTCTCTTATACGGAGTAATATAAAGTATCCGCAATAGGGATCCCTTCTAATATTTACGTGGCCGCTTGTATCTTCAGCACTCGTGCGCCTTTTTACAGCACAACGCGACGCTATCCTGCTAGTGCTGCTCGCTTGCGGGGTAGATCGGCACTACTATTACAGCGCCTGGTGGAACTGTCACACAGGCCCGGCCGATAAGCAGCACGCTTTATTAGGCCACTCGAGCCTCTCGCTTTTCCACTTTGGTCTGGCCATCTCTCGTAGCTACATATTTCGCGCTCTCATCGACCTCATCTGCGCCTCAGAGCCACCCTGTCGCAACACCTGCGCGCCGCGATCCGCTCCCACGGCGGTCGAGGAACGGTCGGCGCGTTCTCGGTCGATTCCACGTGCTGTCGACGCTGTCCTTTCCTTACTGTCTCTTTCTCTCTTTCTCTCTTTCTCTCTTTCCCTCTTTCTTCCTCCTTCTCTTCCTCTTCTCTTTCTGCCTTCTCCTCTTCTCCTCCATCCTCCATTCCCTCACAATGCCGTACCCCCCAACCCCTCCGCTGCTTCTCACCCGCCGGCTTTCCTCCTTTCTGCACTCCAGCCTTGCGACCATCCAGGAGCAGCAGCAGCAACATCACCAGCCAGCACTGCAGACGGCCCTGCTGATCACCCCCTCGGGAAAGCTGCTTGCATACGAGTCACCCGTCGCTGTGCGCACTTTGCGCACCCAGTCTTCCGTGGCCGCATCGCTCTGGGCCATCCATGCCACATCGTCACCCTCTGTGGCCGTCGCCCTGGGACAAGAGCCCCCTTCCAACTCCTCCACAGCTGCTGCCGATCCAGCCGACCTTTCCACAGCCTCCAACTCGGCCTCGGCTGCCGAGAACGTCCTCACCGACACGGACGATGACGGCCAGCGACAGTACGACAAAAGCAACATACCTGTCAGCATCGCCGCGAGTTTCAACGGAGGCGCCGTCTTTGTCGTTCGCCGTTTGCGCTGCGGCCTCTTGTTTGCCTGCGCCACTCCTCCGCCGGCCACCTCCTCTCGTCCTGCCACTGCCACCGCATTGGGGCCTCTCCCTTCTGCTTCCACCGCGGTTTCGGCCAACCCTGCTGATGCCCACTCTCTCCTGCCGCCACGCTTAGCATCCGCCGGAAAATCTCTGTCGGCCGCCTCGTCGTCTCATCCCTCGGCTTCTGCTCCTCGAAAATCCCGGTCGACAGCAGCTTTTCCGACCGCTGCACCACCCGACGTCGTTGTGGACAGCTCTGCCACAGCGCCGGCCGGCACCGATGACGGACGGCCTGGCACGGCCACCGATGCAGCCTCCTTCACAACCACGGGAACCACCACCACAGTCAGCGGTGCTGGCGGCCTCTCGGGTGGCGCCAGCTCTGTGGCAGCAACAGTGGCCATCGTGCGACGGCAGGTCGAGGAGCTGGCCCGATTGTTGGATGAGAAGCTTGGTGCGCTTTCCGTGCCGGAAGAGAATATTGGCGTCAACGGATTTCGATGAGCCTGCAGAGGAACACTGTGACGAGCTATTGCTGGAGCATACCCGGAGAGAAGAGATCCGTCATCGTTGTACGAGACCGCTACGGCTACAGGAGACCTGTGAGGGACGAGCCAGATGCCAAATGTCTTACTGTATAGAATATATGCCAGCCCACCTGATGTTGTTGTCCCCGAGCGAGATGTCGTAGATTGCCTGCCCCGAATGCCTCCTTCGCCCGATGTCCCTGCTCATTCGATGCTCAGACGCGTGATGCTATCGTTGGCATCCGCCATGGTCTGGTATCCTACGCGGCCCTTGCTGCCACCGGCTCGATTGACACCCGCAGTGCCGTCTGCCAAGATCGCGCCTCCGCTGCCACCACTGATACCACTGATTGGCAGCGGCGGGAAGAACTTGGCGTCCAAGCTTCCGCTGTTGCTTCCCGGTCGCGACGACGGACCGCCCCACGGCATTGTGTCCCGCTGCAGCGGGCTCTGCGTGATCGGACTGTTGTGCACGCTCATGCCCGGGCTGACGGCACGGCGCTTGAAACTGACCGGATCCAGGTCGTCGTCACGACGTCGCTTGCTATTGATGCGGCGCGTGATCTCCGCAGCACTTGGCAGGACCGGCTGGTGCTGCTGATGTCCCCTTAAGGCCCGGCTGTGGCGTGTCACCTCTGGAGGAGCTGGCCGTCAGGGCGAAGACTGCGCCGCTCGGAAAGACCATGTTGCTGCTCGAGCCTGAGCCGGTCCCCAGAGGCGAGTCCATCGAAACATCGTCAGGTGACAGGCACGAGGGCTGGCGCGGCGGCGTTGTGCGTGCAGAGGCGCCGTGAAGACCAAGGTTTGCCCACATCGACGGGCTCCGGGCACGACGTCTGTCGGTCGGCAACTTGGCACCCACCGAGAGCCCCAGACCGGCCGAGGCTGCATCCATGGCCATAACGTCGTCCGCAAGGTCGTCCAGGTTTTCTGGCATGTTCGGACTCGAGTTGGGCGTTGTCGCCACAGACCGAAGGGGCGGCGGAGGCCGCGGCCGGAGCAGCTCGGGCTCCATGTCGCTCTCGAGCACCTGGCGAACAACCTCGGCCTCGCGTCGGAAGTCCGACTCCACCGGCGTGCTCTCTTCAGCGAGCGCGGCCCGGATCCGTGCGAAGCCCTTGGTTTTCGGCTGCGACTGTCAGCTACACCATCTGCCGTCAAGGGGAGACACCGGGAGCGTCGGCGTACCAAAAGGTTTCCACGCCGCGTCACCACACGACGGACTACTCCCCGCTGGCCATCACGGCCGGGCGTCAAGACGGGCCCTTCCCCAGCCTCGGTGTGTGCTTTCGGGCTATCGTCGCTCTCGCTTCCCGAGATATGCAGCTGGTTGGCGGCCCAGCTGATACTCTCCCGACGGGCGTGTGACTGCTGTGCCGCCACGGTCCCGCCATCTCGTCCCAGTATGTAGCCAGGCGGAGACCTGGACAACGTGCTCATGCCCGCGGGCGATGCAGCCGGCGGCGGGGTGAAGATGGAGCTGAATCCTAAGCCAAGGGGCCCGCGCACCTTTCGTCTGGGCTGCTTCCGTGGTCGCTGGCGGTTCTGAAAGGACAGCAGGCTGTTCATGGCGGGCGAGCCTGGCATCCAGGACTGGGTGGAAGGCGCCGTCGGCGTCATCGATGGCGTGGTCACCCTGCCGACCTGCGGCGTCGTGACAAACGGCTCATCCAAGTCCTCGTCCATCAGGTCGTTGTCGTCAGAGCTGGACGACGAGTCGGAGCAAGCGTAATTGACGCTACCCAGGGACCCCGACGGCTGCGCCTTCTCCTGGCTGCGACCCATCATCGACCACAGCGATGTGGATGACTCGGTGGCACCTCCGTAATCGCCAGGCTTCCTGCCAGGAATGTTCATGGCCGCGTGGCTGCCGGAAACGAGAGGTGACGAGTCGGGTGACGACTGCTCTGCGAGAGTCGAGTGGTGCAGGCTGGTGGCCGCCCGTGAAAAATCGAGGCCGCGAGATCGGCGTGGCAGGATGTTTGTAGGGGACGCATAGATCTGAGAGGGATCGAGTTTCGGAGAGAGCGGCGTCGGCTTTGCCATGTACGTAGGCTGGTTGAGGAAGAACTGCTGCTGCTGCTGCAAGATATGTGCACTGCTACTAGAAGCAGGCGTAGACGGATGTTGTGGCTGCTGGGCTGATGGTGGCTGGCTGGCTGGCAGCTGCAGGGAAGCACCCCGATATTGCAACGAGGACGGACGTCTGGGGGTGACCGGTACGGTATCCACCGTCGAGCTGCCAATAAAACTATCATCCCTGCATGTCCGTCGGGTGTTGGGATCGAGGAACAACGGCGGCGGAGACAGCCTGCGGCAGCTGGACGTGCTGCATCCTCCGTCCGATAAAGAGCGCGTCTTGGTCGAGGGCGAGGGAGCCAGCCTGGCAGTCAATTCCTGGGTGGCAGCGGCTGCAGACTGAGCTAGAGGAAGCCCGGTTTGGATGGCATCGTCAGTCACAGCTCCATCGTCATAGTCCATCGTACAGGTTGTCGGCAAATCGAGCATTAGCGTGGCAAAGAGGAGAGACGCGATCGACGACTGTATCCCAATGCGGCTAGCCAGCGTTCACCAGCAGCACATCGGCTCAGTTCTGCGGATGCTCATAAAGGCGGCGAGGCAGGGACTCAGCGGGCGCAGGACACGACGGGCCATCGACCGTGAAGGAGATGGTGTGAATAGGCCGCTGCTAACGACGTGTTTGGCGTTTTGAAGGCTATTATTGGCAATACTGGAATAGTTGCTCGGAGCTGTTGGCCGGGCGGTGAGCTGGCCCGTAGCGGGGTTCGTATCTTAGCACAGCGGCTAATTGGTTGGTCAGCAGCATCACAGGCAACATGAAGAAAGCATCCGCCTCCAGTTTCGGGTGAGTGTCCAGCAGCTATGCGGCATGTTGGCGGGTAAGAACAGGAAATTTATTGTATTCATTTTCTACCTTCGAAGCAGTCTTCCCACCCTGCACTCCATATGATTTAAGCGCCTAGCCGACTGGTCCACTTATATTATGCCGGCAGTTTGGCGGTCTTTAGGCGGTGAGTGCCACGGCTGGCTCAGTCATACCAGATGGCATTCATGCCAAACCCGGGCTCGGGGATGCGCACGCGTGCCACCCTTGACAGAAACTCCTCGTGCCACCGGTATATCTCGACCCAGCCCTCCTGGTCGTCGGTGAGGGCGAGCCACTCGGCGGACCAGTCGCACGGACTGACAGCGTTGGAATGGCCGCCGCTCGTGGGAGTGGGGTTAAGGCAGACCTGCGTCTCGATGCTGCCACAGCTGTGCAGCCGGAAGGCGGAAATGTACCCCGTGAGTTCGAAGCTATTCGCACGCGCCGTGGCAAAGAGATAGCGGCCGCTGTGGTCGAGCGCGCAGACGTCGCTGCGGTACAGGCCTTTCCCGGTCACTCGGTCGCGCGTCTCGATGCCAGGCGGAATCAGCGGGTAGGCGTGATGGGTGTAGATAGGCAGGTGGCTGGCCGGATCAATGACGTACTCGCACAGACGGTTTCCCGCCTCCATCAGTGCGTATAGATACTGGCCCGACGGGTGCATGGCAACCCAGCGCGGGTGGTCGCCAGCCGACGGCGCATCGACAGATCCCACCAGCTCCACTTGGCCGCCGTATGCTTCCGACGCCGTCTGCTTCCGGTGCACCCAGATCTTGTTGCCAGATAGGTCGGCCGAGTACAGGTACGTCTCGGTCGGGTCAAAGACCATGCCGTGGATCCCAGAATTTGGCTGGTAGGCATAGTTTTGCACGTTTTCGTGCAGCTCTCCGGAGGGGCCGACGCTGAACACGTTTCCGTAGCCTGCATGCTTGTAGAAAGGGTTGCAATACACCGCAAACGGCGGCTTCCGGGCCGGCAGCAGGAAAATGGCCCTTGTGTTCGTGCTGCTGGATTGTGCCTCCGCTGTCGGGTCGTCAGTCTAGAAATAAACGGTGGAAAATCATCTCGGGGACATTAGGCGTTTCTCACGGTCACCACCAATGGGGTGTGATGCCTGGTGTACGATTTCAGTCGGGCTATTGACTGCAAAGCTCGTCCACTTCTTCATGGCCGATCCGTAGAGGTTTTTCTTGGCGTGCTGGGCAGGGTACGTGAGCATTTCGTCTCTCACCGATCCCAGGCCATGTGTTTCTTACGTCAAAAGCCATCCATGAGATCGGCTCGTCGTGCGGGATCTCGGTCCTCCTGATGAGCCGAAGCTCAAGAGTCTCATCATCGAACTCGACTGTGAAAATGGCACCTGGGGGCGTCCAGGTCCCGACCATTAAGTGGTGGAGAGGCATCTTAACCGTGTGCTGCCAGAACGTGGAAATGCGTTTTGGAGAGAAGCCTGTTGTTACTGCAGCACTTCAAGCCTCACGAGAAGGCGCGATGCTTGCGAAACATTGAACCCCGCCTGCCTAGCAGGCGAAGTTGTCGCCGGTAGACGGCGGCAAATCGGGTCGGGAAAGTTGTAGCAGCGGTAGATTAGTTGATCCTACACGGGTCTTCTTTTAGCCGCGCCGAGGACCACATCAACTCGCCATTTCTCATGACACATACACTGACTATTCCACTCCCCTGATTGCCTAATTATAAGCGCAAGCTACAAAAAGTTATACATCGTCGTCAACCGTTCATCTTTTCTCCAAGACGAGATTCCGAGCTCAAAGCTAGGACCTCGACGACTCTTTACTTGTTGGCTTTTCTCTTTTTACGGCGAGTCTTCTTCTTCGCCGCAGAACTGCTGGTGTCTTTCTTGGACACCTCCGCCAATGGGCTCTTGCTTGCTGGTCTAGAAGATGCGCCTGGCTCGGATTCCTCTTCGCCATGGCTGACCCCCTTGTTCGCATCCAACACCACGGCATCTGCCACTGTCGGACTGTGCAAGCTGATGTCACGGTGGTGTTGTTGCCCGCTATGTCTTCTGACACCATCGTCTTCTTCTGCCGAGCTGTTCGTTTCCAAAACCACTTTTCGAATGCCCCTAGTTTCGATGATATTCTCCGTAATACTGCCACTGCGCACAATCGGCCGGCAAGAAATAACGGTGCTGTGATCAGACACCGAAATTAGAACGCCGGTGGCGCTGCCACTTCCACTTCCGTTTTCGTGTCCGGCATTCTCCGAGCCAGACTGTCCTGCACTTTCGGTCGCAGCAGTATCGCTAACGTCTATTTCGCCACCGTCGCTGCTTGAGGCACGCTGCAGCTCCGCCCCCACCGCGGGCTTCCCCTGGCTGCTGTCTGTATCGACAGTGGCGGTCAAGGAAGGCTCCTTGTCCTCGGATGCAGCTTCCTGTCCGCTCACAACACCCCGAGTGCCATAGCTTTGTAAAGAAGTGCGCGCCTCGTCGCTGTCGCTTGTGTGGTGCTTTGGGCCGAGAAGATGAGTCGTCTCGTCGTAGTCTTCGTCGTCATGCTCTTCATGTTCCTGGCCGCCCTCAAGCAAGTTTACATTCAACCTAACGCCCGGAGTAGAAGCAATCCGGGGTGCGGCAATCGCCGTCTTAATCTTGACCGTCGTCGACCGGGTGTTCTTTGGGTTGTTGGCCCGGTTGGAAGGTCCGAGGTGGCGCAGATGCTGCCACACCTCGTCAATGTTGGTGCGAACAGGGACTGTGGACTGTGTCATGCGGCCATCGCCCGTTGAGCAGCGCCGCAGCATAAACATGGTCGCCTTGGGGCTGGTTGAGAGAACTTGCGCGTCTACGGCAGGGGAGGCGCGTTGTTCCGGCGTCTGTTGAAGCTGGTTAGAATTACCACCGGCGCCAATAACCACTGTCGCTTCGTTTGCCGAAGCGGAGCCGCCCAGCTCCCCACCCAAAGGCAGGTGGCGATTGGGACGGGCGCGCGGAGCAGGCTGCAGGCGGCGGATAGCCTTGTGAACGTCAATGTAAACGTCGGACTCGTCAATGATTTCCCTATCCGACTTGTCAGCATTTGGGGCCATACAGGCAAGATACACCAGGGCCGACATACTCTCCAATCAATTCCTCGATAACATCCTCCAGAGTGACAACTCCCAGGGCTCCATGGTCCTCGCCGGGATATTGCGATACGAGCACCATGTGCGACTTGCCCTCCTGGAAGAAATTGACAATGTCTAGACAGCTCGTCTCCGGGCGCGTCTCTGGAAGCGTTGCAAGCGGAAACTCGCTGACAACTTTGCTGTCTTCAGGGTCGTAGGTAATCAAAATCTTGACAAGGAGCATGCCGACGAAGTTGCTTGGGTTGCCAGGCTCGTGGATAGGAATGCGGGAGTAGCCAGCAGAAAGGATCAGGTCCATCGTGCTTTCGTCCAAGACGGTATCTTCAGACATGGTAAAGACATCCTCCATTGGGGTCATGACGCTGGAAACGGGCTTCTCCTTCAGATCCAACACTGCACTGATAATGGTCACCTCATCCTGGTTCAATCTCTGCGAAACATCGCCGAGAGACCGGTGCAGCGTCACCAGCGTCTTCAACCCGCTCTTTTTGTAAACGGTTCCATGGTCCTCGCCGAGAGCACGGTCCAGCACCTTAGCCGTGGGCCATGCAATCGGTGCCATTAGCCACATTAGGGCGAGCACAGGCTTGGACATGACACCGCCGATCTGTAGCCCATAACGGACACAGATTGACTGAGGCAAGACCTCACCGAATACCACTGTTGATGTTTTGTTAGCCTTGCTACCCCGTCAGGGCGAGATACGACACCGAAACAACATACCGATCAGCAGTGTACTTCCCACGACTGCAGCCACACCACCTCCGAGACAGCGGTCGAGCACGACAGGGAGCGTCTCGTTGACAATGACATTGGACAGAAGCAACGTCACTAGGACCCAGTGTTTGCCGCGCTGTAAAAGGTCGTAGACTCGTCTCGCGTTTTTCTGTTGGGGCTCGGTCTCATCGCGTGAAAGTACCTGCAGGTAGATGCTGTCTTGTCCCATCAATCTGCAAAGCCACCGGCTATTAGTATTATTTCGAGAACACCGGTCCACTACAGTCCCAATGGGGAGTAATGACCCCAACTTACGCAATAGTCAGGCCAGCAAAGGCACCACCCAGCAGGACGAGGACAGCCGAGGCGAGGTAGAGCACCCAGAGCTCCGATTCGGGTTCGACATCACCCCGGTCGTCTGTTTCAAGAGAGTTCGGGACACCTCTACGCAAGTATGGCAGCGGGCTCGCAGAGACAGAGGCGACAGGGAGACTGGCAAAGAGAATTCTTGCAAGGCCTAGCACAATAGTGCGAGCGGAGCCGAAGCCATTGATAGTCTGGCCGGTCCCTGAATGCGCGTGTGGAAGCAGCTGGCGATTGTTCGTTGACCGAGCCATGGATATGGGTGCTTATGAGCTTATCGAATGCCGAAGGCGAGCAAAAAATGGGTTGGAGAAGGTCTCCTGAAAAGGGGGATTAGCGATGAGGCTGTTCCGTACGGCGGGAGTCGATTGTCAGCTCTGGTAAAAGATGCAGGCTGACCTTTTCACCGTCCACAGAAAAGAAGGACGGTAAAAATGATGCGAGATGCTGGCAACGCGACGTCAGAGCTCTGCCATTTCTTGGCGCGCCGTTAATATGAGAAAGGAATATTATCCAAGTGAAGAAAGTTGAGATCAATAGTTGGCCCCGTTGTGTAGCATTTCCGAGAGTCATTAGTCAGGCAGGTGGGGTCCTACAAGCTGTAACGCTAAGAGCTATTACAGCGGGACCAATTCGGCTAACCTCCGACGTATCTGATCGCACTATTCATGTCAACAGGTGTACGAGCTACGTATGCGCAAGAGAGATCATGCATTGTGCCAGTGTGTGACTGCATACGTAATACGAGCATATAGTGGCAAAATTGCATGGGAGGAGCCCTCGTACACTTTCCAGCTCAAAGGTGGCATTCCCCCACCTAAAGGTTCTGCTCCTTTCGTCTGCATGACTATTGCATGTAGCAAGCCTCGTATCATACCGCATCCAGTCCTCTCTCAAAGTCCACCGAATATTCGATCCTTTTCCGCATTTAGCAATGTTGAGCGTTGGCTGATGTCGTGCACCGCCCAGACGCCGAGCTCGGTCACATATTTGTCGATCAACTCAGGCGGAACCCACTCAAAGAAGATGTTTTGCACCTGTACCTCGACAGCACACAAGCCGGACGGAGAAGCTGCGGCGTTTTCCAGAACGCCTGCTGCATCCTGCACGCGCTTGCTGTTCGACCTGTCATGCCACGCTCGTGTCAGTTGTGTGGGCTCGTTGTTTTCTATCACATGCTGATGCGGATCGCCGGGAGGAGCTATTTTTTCGGTCTCCCCCAGCACAATCACTTTTGAAGTGGATCCGGGCTGCTTGGCGCTCAGGACAGCTGGAAGTGAGCCCGTCTTGTTACTGACAGCACCCGAAGAGGCGATGCGGTCTGCCCCCAGCAAGACAATATTGACGCCGTGGGCTGCCAGTGCCGCACTGGCGTCCGTATAGACGGTTATATTAGCTTCAGCTCCTCGCTGGTTAGTCTCGGACCTGATGTGGCGGACGAGCGTAGCTGCAAGCGATACCCCTTCAAACAGAGGGCGGGATTCAAGCACGCGGATTTCAATGGACGCAAAGTGAGACCGTGACAGCAAACAGCGCAACGACTGCGTGATCGTCGAACTCTCTGAAAGGGTCAGGATCGACAGTGTAGAACCAGCCGGGAAGTTCTGTTTAAGGTATTGTCCCAACGCATCGGCCACCGGCTGAGCCGACAAGGCAGAGGTTCTAAGCTCGAGACGCCGATCAAGCTCGCCCACGGCTGCATTTCGCAGGCTACTCAATTTCAAGTCCACGGTGTCAGACTGTGTGCGGAAGTTCTGCAGCATGTCCTCTATGCCCCCCAGCGCGCCCAAGAGCGTGCTCAGAATGGCCGCGCCCATACTCTCACGGCCATTCTTCCAGATGTTCCACGCCGCCATACGAACCAGCGCCCACCAGCGATCTACCGAGGAAGATGACATTGGTTGCAGCGGCTGCAGCTCGGACATGTCCAGTGCTTGGACAACGTCCTTCAGCGTGCTCAGGGCAGTGGTAGCCAACTCGCGGGCTCCGCTTTGATAGTCGCTCCCAAGCCGGTGCAGTCCATTCGTCAAGATAGCACCAGCGCTACCTGGATAGCCACCGAGGTCCTTTTCAAACCAGGCACGGCGGAGGCTTTCGGCCAGATGGGGCACGCCGCCGAATTTGGCCGAGTCCTCGACATCCGTAGGGTCAAACCACCCCCAATCCTCATGCTCCCAGTCGATCTGGATCGCAGAGTCCGGTGCCTTCAGCTGATAGGCAAACGGGTAGATTGTCCATTCTCGACCAACAGACGGGTCACTGAAGGTATAGCTCTTTCCCTGACGGATCAGCTCTAGAGTTTTCGGCGTCAGGGTGGTCTCCTCAAGCAGCTCGCGCCAGGCAGCAGCCAGCGGCGAAGCGTCGTCAGTTTCAATGCCACCTGAAATTGGCGCAAGATGGTGCCTAGCACCCAGAAGCCAAATCAGCATTTGTCTTCCATTGGGCAACGATGCGCCGTCCTTACTTGTACGTGTTGACTTTGTCGCTCCTCTTGAAAAGGGCCACCATGGGTTTGGCCTCATCTCCACTCCCTGTGGGATACTTGATGATGAAAGACGAGACCACAGACCGCTTCTTCAGTGGGCTGGCCCCTTCCGCCATACTTGTCTTTCCTCGTGTAGGTGGGCTGCGTAGAGTTGTAAATGGGGTATTGTGCCAGGGAACCTGGTACTTGTGGCTAGTCGCACTTGCAGATATCTGCCGAAATAGTCGGCGTGGAGATGTAATGATGCAGGGAGTTTGCATCACGATTGCCAACACCGGTGATAAAGGGGGTCGGACCACTCAAGAGAAGCATCTGATTCCCACGAGCAAGACACAAAGCCACGTGATTGGGCCGACAGCAACTGAAGTCCGGACTGTAAGGCGACCCAACCACGCTCAACGGCAAGATCCCAGCGACGGCGGGCAGCTTCCATCAGCAGGAAGGCAAGATCATGCCACTGCGTATCAATATCGAACAGCTACCGCCAGTGACGACAGGAGTGGCTGTTCACCAGTACGTGATCGTATTAGGCGACATGGTGGACGACAGCAGCATTGTGCACAAGTTGTTACTGCCCGGAGCGTCCTGCTCCTTCAGTTCCAGAAGGGTAGGCAGGTATAGTATCAGTGGCATCCACAACGAGGCGTGCAATGGCTACGCCGGTCCCATAGACGATGCCGGCAGGTGTGTATTGTTGGGCACGTCGCTAGCCCTCGCAATGGCACATACTTTAGAGCGAAGAGTCGTCGTAGCCCTTCACCGTCGATTAGTCAGCGCGGCTTCGACCATCCCTATGTGCTGATCGCAGAGAGCTTGACCAACTACTGTACGCATTGACGAACCGGGACCATGTTTTGCTCCTCAATTTCCTGCTTCTTATCGCCCTCTGTCACCATTCGTCGTCAGGATATTCGCAGACCTCGCAAACCGGTCGAAAACCAGACCATAACCCAGAAAGCCGCCCAACCAAATCAACCAGAAAAGCCGCCGTTCGTGAGCTGTCTACGCCTCACGTACCCGTCCCAGTCTTTGCACCCGCCCGCCTCGAGGCCTGGTGGTTGGTGCTCCAGCCAAGCTGTGCTCCCGACAACTCCTCTGACTCCTGTGGCTCGATGTCACCTGCTCGCGCGCGCTCCAGAAGCAGTCGCACAACACAGCCCTCGATGTGGTTGTACAGCTTCGCAGCCACGGAGAACTGCCGAGAACAGATGTTGCAGTGGCCCCCATGCACCGCCCCATACTCTTTTAGGCGGAGCTTCAGATACGTCTCGGTGGTGTTCTGCGTCTTCCGGAACTTGGCAGCGTGGTGAACAACTGCCAGATGGCGTTTGAGTGGTTCTACCCGCAAAAAGGGCCGGCCAAATGACTTTGCAAGTTCGTCTGGACAGAAACCACAGTACAGCTGTCCATCGTAGTGTGTGATGACGTGCCGGACAAGATCGTGCTTCCGCGCAAAGCCCTTCTTATGGTATGGGCATGTCTGGAAGGGGCATTTCTTGTCTGGCAGAAGCTCGTTGATGGACGTATCCTGATCTGCCATTTCGTCGTTCAGCAGCGGCAGGCAGTGCTGCTCCCCATCGCTCTCCGTGTCGAGCTTGCCAAGCAGCCCGACCGGCCTTTCCCCGTCTACGCTGATGCCTCGGTAGTGGACGAACTGAACTTGGCAGTCCTTCTTGTGGCCAGGTCGGGCCATTGCCGTACTGTCCTCCATCGAAGCTAGTGTGGGGATGGGAGATCCTAGGGAAGGCTTTGCTGACGATGGGCCGGTGGCCGAAGAAGCTGCCGGCATTATAAAGCCAGGCTCGTTGCTGCTGCCGTAGCCAAAACTGGACTGTTCTTGCATCACTGGGGTTTCTTATGGCGCGGACCAGAACCACGGCTGTTAGTACCTGGCGGCCTGGCATGGGGGAGAAGGGAGATGGGGGCGGACTCGCACCGGTGCTCGAGGCACCCTTGCAGAGCTCGTGGAAACAACTCACGGATGATGAAGGCGGGTGAAGAAGCCTCAGCCGCCATGCTGTGACCCATCCTCGCCCCCTCGCCCCTTGCGATAGTGCCTAGACACAGAGGCAATGCTCGGGGCTGCCTGTCGTACCAGAGTGTAGCGTTGCGCGTCTCTTCGTCGAATCGGCTGCTGACATCCCAGAAGCCATCGGCGACGGCAACAGCATACACAACCTGGACACGAGAGTAGCGGCCAATATGGACAACATAACCGTAGACGTGCGCCGTCCCAAGCTCGAAAATTTCGGCACCACACTCGGTCTCTGCGATCGGATCGTCCAGGAGAATGGCATACCGCCGTTGTGGGAAGGTATAGCCGGCCCGCCGGTAATATATGGCGCCGGGGAGAACGATCCCCCGTATGTCTCCCGACGAGGTTCTTGCCACGATGGGTTGTGGCTCGTCCGAGGCCATTGCTGTCTGCTGTGCCGGCATGATGCCCACATCCGCGGTGCCGCTGAACAAGGTCTGGCTGACCAGAGCAGTGGCCGCAGAACCCGCGTCGAGCTGCAGCGAGTTTCCTGTACCGGGATTCTGGGTGCTGTGAACATAGTTGTCGTAACACATGGCGCCTTTCCTCATCGGGACAGCTGTCGGGGCTCCCGGTGCAGCGGGCAGCACGCCTGGGCCAATGGAACCGACGGCTTCTGCTGGCTGGTCAAAATACGCGGGCTGGATCAGGTTGCGTCCAGACATCATGGCGTCGTCTGTGTGGTGGCTTCCCGGTCCATGCACGAGATCCCGGGCCTGGAAGAAAGCGGCGAGAGAGTTCCCTTCGCACGAAGCCGGCGGCGAATGGCTCTAGATCAGCGTCAGGGGCGGTGTTGCTGGTCTGTTCTGGTAGGCTTGGTCACATCTGGGGACGGCGAGCTGGATCGGCGAACGAGAGGACACCCCGGGATATATAGATCAGATCTGCAGAGGGGAGTGCCCAGACGCAGCTTTGCCATGACATGGGAGAGCATAAAATATCTCAGTCCACGTATGCCATTCATCGAAGTTGGCCCTGTCGAGTCCGACAAAATGGATGCTAGGGGAATTCGAAAAGGGCTGTATGGCATGAGACAGTACGCGAAGAGGACGGCCAAGCCGGCTGGGGGCACAAGGCTTGCGGGTGGCCGTGGATGGGGAAAGACACCGAACTCTATGCATGTGGTGTGCCTGGTTTTCGGCGTAAAAAGGGTCTCCATCGAAGCCGGCAGCACTGCGAGAGGGGGGTAGCGAAAATAAGAGCCACGCTTTAAGAATGACAATAAAATGCCAACCATGTCCCTGATGTGACGACCCCCTTAACCTGAAGAGCGCATCTCGGGGATGCCGCTTAAGACCTTTAATTCAGCAGCTGGCATGGTGGGTGTCTTAACTAGCGGTTCCAATGGTGTGAAAGACGAACAAGTTTTCTGTGCACGAGAAACGGCCAGGGCTCGATACGCAAGTGCATGCAAGCGCCAAGACAACGCCAGGAAGACACTCTGGGAGCCAATGGCAGCACCAGCCACCGGCCACCGGCTGTCTTCCGGCAGAAGCTGCAGCCTCGAGAACAGAGACGCTGCTGGAGGGCGACTTCCCGCCAGAATACCCCAAAAACACATAACTGGTGGACATGGCCAAGCTATGCCAGACTAATCCAGTAGGGATCGTCTGTGGAGGGCATGTCCAGCTGAACTCCCCCTGCTCGCAGCGCTACGAGCAATGGGGTCGCGCGCTTCTGGTGGGCCTGCGGCACTACTATGCATCTTATATAGTACCTTACCATTCTTCCCGCCTATTAGGGCCGGAATAGGCTCTGCCAATGCACGTACGGGGCCGGCTGTAACAGGAAATAGAAAGGCACGAGACGAGGAGACAAGAGACAGCAACGGGCAGCTGGGCTGAGATACTATGTAGCTCTCTGTCGTATCTACCCTTGTGTCTCACGAAAAAGAGCGGCCAGGCCTGTCTTCCCAACGAGCGTCTAGTTTTGGGAAAGGCCCGCGCCGGCAAGTCCTTGGAGTCGTCCAAGTCTGCTAGTGCAGAATATGGCGTAATCCGTCTGAGCTCAGATGCCCGCGATAGCAGCAGACCGGAAATCTAGTCAGGCACAGGCTGTCGACACGGGTCCTGTCTGGTCGAACAGACGTCGGGGTAGACATAAGGCTGGAGGGGGACCCTAGTCCCCGTCCTGTTAAGCTGCCTGGCTAAGCATGCGGTGTGCTGCCGCCATGCAATGCACGAGCTGCTCTGGTGCGCAATAATTACAATGTATACGGAGTACGACCCTCAGCTTTCCACAACCACGTGATAGCCGTCCATCAGGCCGAGACTGCTCCTCGTATCTCACATACATAGTAATACGACGTGGAGTCCTCGTACGTACGTCGTACATAGTAGTAGTCTCACGAAGCTCCACATGGGAAGCGACAATACTTCAGCCTCGCGACTATCCAAAGTTACGGCCAAAGTTCCGAGCTGATTCTCGGGGATATGCGATTACCAACGGGAGCTAGACTTGAAATGAAGACTTGTTATGATAGGCTAGTCAGGGCCCGCGGCCGTTTGCTGTTTTGCCATGTATCCCCCACTCAATCGACAGCCCAAAACGGCAATGCCGAGGCCTGCAGCAGCGGCAGCAAATCTTATTTGCGAAGCGTTTACTCGTACATGGTATTCCCACATCGTCGGCGCCATGTTTTTACCACGAAACGACATTAGGTTGGCGTATGGCCATGCCTCTTGCAAGGCGTTGCGAACAGAGGCCTGCACGACCCAAGGGGGCGACACCAGGCGGCCGGAACTGCGAGCACCGTCCGTGTGCTGGCTGTTTGCGTGCCGCGCTGGCTGCTGTTCGATGCTGCGCGGCCGCGATAAGCGAGTTGGCGGAAGACGAGTAATAAACGGAGTACTCGCATTACGCGATCAGAAGGGTTCATCGATGCAAGCCACGTGATTCGCGGGAAGCGTGACAGGTGGGGCCGTGGATACCAGCGCAAGCCAATCATCACGGGCCAGCTCAACCCGGAGAGATGACGATGGCCTTGGGCTTCACCTCCTATCTGCTGTCTACAGCGCTGTCTGCTGTCTCCTGTCTCGGTGGATAGGGTTCGCGTGCGTGTCCATCTTCGAGGGTAATGTGACAATGTGTGCCTGGCTGCTGTCACCCGGCTCTTCTGCAATGTTCTCGTTGCCACCCTCCCCCCTTTTAATCTTCCCTCTCTTCTCTCTCGGCTTCACCGCTCAATGTACTCCCTGTCTCTGCAGCAGCCCCACCAGCTCTTGTACAGAGATCTCACCAACACCGCTTACCGCCAGCCTCCAGGGAAGACATATCTAGCACCGTCTCGCACAACCCGCCAGCTCCCACCGGGAGCGACCCTGCAGTGGCTTCCAGAATGCCGTTCGACCAAACGATTACCATCATCAACAATTCCGGCAAGGTGATCAGCACGGTACGTTTGCTGTTTCCCCACGCGTCGGCCCATGCGTCTTCCCCACGTTCTTACCTGCCGCTCCCGCTCTCACAGCGTCTCTGACTCATTGACAGAGCAAGCATCTTGTCGGCATCTTCAAAGAGGCCAAAGCTGCTTACCGGGAGAAGAAGGGTGCACTCAGGCAGGAGAAGACTGGCGGCTTTGGCCACGCCCAGGCTTCTCGCGGCCCGCCTGGCAATACCGGCAAGGGCCCCTTCGTTGAAGAGTATGATGAGGGGAGCGGCTTGGACGACCGCGAGTATGGCTTCCGCGGCCTTGGAAACGCCCGCCAGCCGCTCTTTCTCCAGGGCGGTGGCCGTCTGTCGCAAGACAGTGGACGACATTCCGGCGCCACACCGCAGAGGCCGCACGCTCACCAGCCTCGCCGCAGCAGTAGTGTCGGTGGCAGCAGCCACCACTCCAAGTCACGTCACAGTCGACATCGTCCCAGCCAGGATAGTCCCCGGCCGCCGTATCCGCAACTGACCGAGGGGAACCTTCGTTCCCATTCCGAGGTCTCGTCTACGGCGCCATCGTCTTTGCCGCCCCGCCGTCTTCTGGCCGCTGCCGGCCAGCCGGACTTCCAGCCACGGCCCCTCGTTCGAGCGCAAACAACCCCGGCCGCTCCCGAAAGCATCGTCCCTCAGACGGCGGTCGTGGTTGCCCGGCCGAGATCCAATACGGCACTTCGGGATTCTGGGGCAGATCAGCTCGATATGCATTTGGCGTACGGTGATTTGCCCCCCGACCTGGACACGTACCCCGATCCAGACGCTGGGGCGGCCAAAAGCGAAGACGAAGAACAGAAGAAGGCCCAGGCCAAGACGCTCATCGATTACATCGAAGCCCTTCTGGACGAAGCCGAGTGCATTCACCACACTGCCGCCTCTATCATTGCTCGCCTGCAGAACAGCCCGGAAGCAGCGGCGGCTGTTGCTCTGACCCTGGCCGAGCTTTCAGCGCTGCTCGCCAAACTGAGTCCGACCTTTTTGGGCATCATCAAGGGCGGAAGCCCGGCGGTGTTTGCCCTCTTGGCCAGCCCACAGTTCCTCATCGGCACCAGCATTGCCGTTGGAATCACTGTTGTGGCATTTGGCGGCTGGAAGATCGTCAAGCGCATGACCGACGGCAAGCAGGCCTTCGAGGCAGCCAGCTCTTCGCCGGAACAGCAGCGGCCGTCCAGGCTGCCAGCTGGGCCGTCTCTTGCTGGTGTGCAAATGCACAGCCTTCCTCCGGCTGTCGACAGGACAGCTCCGACCGTGATATCTGACGGCTTTGACGAGGCCGTCGTGCTGGAGGAGGAGCTCAGCTCGATTGAAAGCTGGCGCCGCGGGATTGTACCCCCAAGCGGCCTCGAAGACAGCGCCGTCGATGCCGAGCTCATCAGCCCGCAGGCGATGCGCTCGCGCAATGGCGACGACGATACGCACACCGTGCGAAGCTCCAGGACTCACCACAGCAGCCGGTCGCGAACCGACACCAGCTCCCAACGGAGCAGCCATAGCCACCATCGCAGCAAGCGCCATCAAGACCAAGGCCACGGCAGCGCAGGCACCCAAGAGGCAGGCAAAAGCAGCAGAGGATCGGTGGTCGGAGCGGCTTCTGTTGTCTCTAGTCATCACTCACGGCGTTCTGAGAGCCGCGCAGTCGAGCGGTCCAAGTCTGGCAGCATTGTCTCTGCGTCTTCCGCATCGCCGTCATCGCCGTCGTCTGATCAGGGCACTTCCCGCAGCAAGGAAAAGAAGGTGAGCAATAGTGGTAACATGCTGAAACAGCTGTTCAAGAAAAAGAGGGAGAAGGACAACAGAAACGGAGGGGACGGTCACCGGTCAGTTCTGGGTAGATAGCCAAGACGCGTGTGTCATGGGTTGCATTATTAGCATGTTTTTCTGGACAGCATTCGGAAACACCAGGGTGTGTAATTAGCTAGCAGTTGTTCGCAGATTGAAGAAACATCGTTGCAGCATTCCCCCAGACGTTGTAACGGCCTCATACCCGTCCTATCCGCTAATCCTCTTCGTCCTCCTCACCCTCCGAGTCAAGAATGACAGCCGGCGGCGCCTGACGGACCTCTTCGTAGAGACTGTCGGGCATGACAATTTGGGTTGAGTCAGCCGAAAGCGACGCTTGAAACAGACAATGCTGGGGTGCCGTCTTTCGCGATGACATGGCGACATCCTGCTGATGCATATTGCTGTTCAGCCCTGTCCCACTGTCACCGTCTGCTGATACAGGTGTGCCATGGGATATGCAAGAGTCCGGCGGCGCTTGAGAGACTACTGTCCCACCCCATGGAATGCCCGTTCTGCCCGCTGTAGCAGCCCAGCCTTCGCTGTTTGTACCGTGCACCTCTCCCTGCGTGAAAGGCTTGCTAACCGCCCCGCTTGAGCTTCGCGTCAGTCGAGCTCCACCACAATTGTATCTCTCATCCGGATTTTCATGCGCCGTCCGAGGAATTGGTGGTCGTTGCCTGTGAAGCATCTGTCCGTCGGGCAATCCACAGAGTAACTGTGTTTCAATCTCCTGTGAGATAGATAGCGCCTCTTCGGCGGTCTCGTCTGGACTCAGCCCGTCGCCTACAGTCCGGCCTTGTACGGAGACAAGAAGTCGGCACCGAAGGTTGGCAAGGAGTGCACCGACAACAGCAGGTGGCACGTATGTGTATCGTTGTGGAGGTCCATCAACCCATCCGCTTTTCTTCATCATTTCGAGGGGAACGGGGTTGTTGAGTTGATAGACCTCTGTAAGCCTGTATGCAAAATTGGCCGCCACCCGACCACTATTGAATTCAGCATTTCCTTCCCCGCTGCTGCTGTCGATTTCGCCAGGCTGCCGGAAACCGCCTCTGACCACTGCCATGTACTGAAGTTCACAAATAGGCTGGCCAACGTACAGCCAAAATCGGCAGACTGTTTGAGGTATCTTGTAGTTTCGAAACTCATGATCCCGAGTTCCGTCGACTATTTTCTGTGCCTGTTCTGGCTGAACCGATATGATAATATCCGACCGGTCTGTCTGCGGACCTAGACTGTTTATTGCCTCCAAAGAAACCCGCTGACTCTCCCAGCCCTGACTGTGATGTGTCTCGGAGCCTAACGTCTGACCTGATGGTCTTTTGATAGCATCTGACCTTCTTGTGCCTACATGCGGTGCAGACGAAAGTGGTGGCCTTCGCGACTTGGCACTTTGCTGGTCTTTCCGTAGGCCGCCCGAAAGATGCCTGTTTCCTTGCCTTTTTCTTCGCGGTGTGGGTGTATCTGGTTCCAGATCTGACAGTGCCAATATACTGGCAGCGTCACTTTGAGATACGTCTGCTGGCCTGACGGCGACTGGTGAAAGTGGTATGCCATTTGGAAACAGTGGGCTCATACCACAAAGCTCTACCTCTTCATCTGTATCGGGTATCTCGTCTGTAGGCGGCGTTTCTTCTTGTTTTGTCTGTTGGCTCACATGCGGGCGGGCATCTTCACCCGGGGAGTTGGACAACCGGACAGGTGTTTGGCGAGATGAGCGCTTTGGTTTTCCCAGAAATAGTTGCAATTGAAGCCGCGTTTGCTGATTCGCTGAGCTTGCGCTCCTATTGCTGCCTTTGGTGAACAGAAGACCGGGCGGCTCTGTCGCAAAATGTGGATCAGAGACGGCCGTCGTGGATTCGCAGTTACGTTTTTTTGTGACCGCTGGCCTATTTGTCCGATCGAGCCAGCCTCCTCGAGTAACAGCCAAATCGCTACGGCTAGCATCGACCGGTACTTCTGATTCGTGCTGTAGAGGAGAGGATCGTAGGTTTCCAAGAGGGCTGTGGTGGCGATCCAGAAATAAGACTGGTGTGAAAGGGCTTGGCTGCGATGAGGGAATCTCAGACCGTACAGATGGAGGTGTCATGCTGCTTGATATTGCCCTTGCGCCATGTACTCGGCACTTCTTTGGAGTCTGTGGTATGAGCAGTAGCTGAGGACTCGTAGGCCCTTCTGGCTTTCGGGTCGTACCGATATGTTTGATTTCTGGCGACCTGACTTCGATTTCGTCATCGGAGTCTTGTATGACGGTTGCTCTGGAACTTTTGTATATGCCACCATCGTATGTCGCACTTCTTGCTCCTTCGGATGCAAAATGCATTCTACTTTCCACCCGTGGAGAAGAGCCCAGCTGAACCATTTCGGACTTTCGGGAAGCTACCGGGTGCTTGCTGCTGCTATGATGGGTGTCGTCCTTCCCAGTACTTCCTGGGCAATTTTCAGTACCCTCGGTCCGTTCTATCGCATCTTGGCCATCATGGTCGTCTTGGTCTGAGCGGTTGTACCAGGCTGCATCCCCCGGGCTGGGTGTCGCTGTCACCACATAGCCAACTTGAGTCAGCGTTTGCTGTTTAAGCGATCGCGCAGAGCCACGGTGACTGTATGTCTTGACAACTTTCCTTCGCCCTGGAAATCGAAGCTGTGGCACTCGACTTGATTTATACACACGAGACCGCACTGCGGACTGCACCAGTTCTGAAAGATGACCTTGAGTCTGAACAGTTGGTGGCATGGCTCGTTGCTTGATTAAAAAGGAATATAATGCCTTCCAACCCGAGATACAGATGTCCCAACTGCTGTTAGACAATGTAAGATCAGTGTACAGAGTACGAGGCAGGCTACTCATGTGGGGCTACGATCTTTGACGCGTCGCGTATCTAGACACGCTGATTACTAAACATCTAGCTCTTGGACAAATTAGATGGGTTTTGTCATGGGTCGTCAGTTCGTGTCAAGGCTTGCCTATCAATTTAATTACAGACAATAATCGCTGGGTTTCCTCCTCTTCTTTTCCCTCTCCACCGCCCTCCCGCTTTTCCAGAGAGGTGATCATATGGCGGTCATTCTTGCCCGGCCCAACCTTCGCAATCATCTCTTGGAGATCTCTTGGCACCTCAGGAAGAAAACAGCTCCTCAGTCATCACGACAGATGAAAAGCGCCCTGTCCTTCCTTGATGGCGGTGAACAGCCGCTTCCTAAGAACATCGACGGTGGTATAATCAGGCAATTTGAGGTAATTGACACACGTCATAACGCTAGGAAGGTAGTCATCTGAAACAAATGGAGGTTCGCTCGGTTTGCATACTACCGTAAACATCGGTGTCAAGCTGCGGAAACCTGTAACGAAAGTTACTGTTAGCAAAACGCGATAGTCCGGATTCCACGTAAGAGCAAGAGTGAAATTACCCCCAATAGGCAGTTTTGGACTGCCCGTAGTGAACTGGAGAAAGTCACGCCGCTCTGCCAGAGTGAGCTCGCTCATGACCTGCAGAAGATTTTTGACGCTGCTGCTATCCATGTTGAAGCCGTGGTCGGCTTTAACAGAGTCCACAAGAGCTAGTGTGCGGTTAAGTACTAGGTCAGCAGCGCCCTATGTTGCTATCACTGCGGATGACTTACTTTCGAGAGACCAATCTTCCTCGATCCGTCCAAAAAGGGATGACAGCTCATCCGGTGTGAAGGCACTCAATGTAGAGTAAGGGAACACTTGGGAAAACCCGTTGCGAAATGCATCGACTTGGCGGCGTACACCGCTTCCCAAAGTCAGTGCCACGACACGTTCTATATACACATCGACGTTCTCAATCGTGACGTTCATATGGGCGCCCCCGGTGACAAGCTCAATCTCCGGGTAGCCTGGGAGGGTGAAGTCCAAGGATAGATCATCGATGTTGGTGCCGTCGACGGTAATGGCCTGGATATCGACCACCTTCTGGGAGACAGAACGATGCGGGTCCTCTTCGACCTCTCTCTTTGCAATCGCAAACTTTTTGATGAGCTGGAGGGAACGAGCCAGCGTCGGGTCGACCACTTTGATAGCCCCTAACGATGGGCGTACGCCCGTCGATTCGTCACCAATTCGGAAGAAGATCGGATTGAAATTGATGTCGATAATGCGAGAGTCGAGCATAGACCGAGCCACAAACTTTCCCAGTGCTCGAAATAGGCTCAGGATGCGCTCGTCATTTGGGCCAGTCCCACCTTCGTTGCTTAGTGGTCGCGGAAACAGCCCGTTCGGGCTAGTGACAAATTCAGAATCGCCGAAATCGTTGTCACGCCACAGTTTGAGTTTCTTCTTCGAAAATTCCCTCGAGACAGTCGAATAGAATTCCAAGGTGGGCCCCAGCCCTGTACCAACTTCCTCGAAATATTCAACCTCCAACATGCTTTGCGATGCACCGTAAAGCTCCATAACCTTCACGGCCGACTCGAGGATTTTGGAGCGAGATATTCGCACTTTCTGACGCTGCAAGCGGCCAAGATAAGGGCGGTCATCACGACGGTCTCGGCGAGACTCATCTTGAACTTGCGAGTTTTGCCATCGTGCCATCGAACGTGCGTATCCGAACGAGGTGGATTGCAGAAATAGGTGGCGGGTTTCAAATGGAAATAGAAAGGGATAAAGCCCGGCCAAATCCTCGCTCCAATTCGGCAAACAGCTACTGGCAACAATGAGGGGCTCTTCCAATTGACGATTCAGCTTAGCTGTCAGCTTCGTGTTGACAAACTGCGACAGCGGTTCGACGTTGAGTTTCAAAGCTTCTTTGTTTGTCACCAGTACATCGTCGATGTTTGCATTCAGATCGTGGAGAATTCGGAGAAGTCGCAAGATCGACGACGCGATCGGGTTTTTGTCCAGTGGGCCCCGGGCCGCACTGGCATCTGTCGTTTCGTGATCAACAGAGCAATTGATGGGTTCGGCCATTTGACTTGATGTCAAGACCTCGGCCTGCTTGGATCCCGGAACACGGCGATAATGCACCAAATGAATTGTGGACCAGATTGAGCGCCCGAGATGCTCATCGTGTCTAGCTGCCGAGAGCAAGACGGCACGATATACTGTGCTGTCCATTGATACCACTTTCCCATTTAGTGTGAACTCCATGTGCCAGGTTTGGGGGTTCGTTTGCAATGATGTCGCATATGAGATAGCACGAGGGGGGGCAGATATGGGTCTGGCCACCGGTGAGCTCTGCAGTGCCGTTGTTAATGCACTCACCCGGGTCCTCCCAGAAACGCTTGGCGAGCTCCTTGAAGGCGTTAAGATCCGAGATCCGTCCGCTCCCTGTGCTGTGATCTTTCCCCCAGAAGCAAATTCTAGATTGACGGCAGATGGATCTTCTGTAGTTGCAGTTGCAGTGACGTTCGATCCCCCATCAATTTCTCCAACAACGGCACCTAGGACGTCCTCACCCAAAAGATTGTCTGCACTCGAATCTGAAACATGTTTCTCGCCTGCACAATCGAGAGCATCTGCTGGTGGGTCCGCCTCACCGGGTGAACTTGATAATGCCAATTCGGTAGAGAAGGCTGGAAGGTGGCGGGAAGATTGGTGCGTAGCAGGTTTGTCTCTTGAGCCCGACCCGTGACCTGGCACAATTTGTGTCTCCTCCGTCGCCATGGTGGGTGCTCGCATGGTTGCTGATGCTCTCTGCTTGCTAGCCGTGCGACCTGGATGTATGTCTTCTAGTTCGGCTGGTGGCACCTGTCGGGAATGCGAAAGCTGGCGGGACGCGGTGCTTGCCGGAGCTTCGGATGGGGCAGAGGGACTGTGTCGCAACATCAATGATCCCCCTGGAAGTAACCGAGCGCTACGCTCAGAAAGACGTGCAGCAGCAGAAGTGCTAAGCCCCCCACTCGAAGAACCAGCCATGGCAGCCAGTGCCCTCGAGAAGCCATCACTTTTGATATTTCGCGAGCGGTCAGAAAGGTTGATTCTAGGCCTCAGATAGTCTTCTAAGGCCTGAAATGTCGCTATAGCATGGATAGATACCATGATACTTCGAAATGGCCCAGGTATATCAGAGCCGTCGTCTGCAACTAACCGAAGCCTGATTTGTTTGGCGAGCATCGAAGCAGCGCTGCTGTGGTTCCCGTCAAAGGTGTTATGATGAACAGTAACGACCTCAAAATTCTCGGATCGGCTGAGTAGGTCTTGCAACTTGTGTACCAAAATACTGAAAGGTGTAGTTGGGGAGTCTGAAGTTGCTGTCTTAGGTCGCGATTTTACGGCGTAACCCATAAAAACTTCTAGAAAGGCAGATCTTGCAGCATTGGCAAGTCCTTCTTGGGGGTTGCTAAATATGAGTTCAAGGACACGAACAAGACCAGACTCAAGGAGCTCGGCGCTGGTGACACTTTCGAACACGTCCGAGTCAAAAAAACCTGCTAGCCTCTCAAACAGAACGATACCGTCTTCCAAGGGCCTGCTGGCAGAGCTTCGTTCAAGATAGAAACTCGATATCTCCTGAGCCAAACCAAACAGACCGGAGAGAATTTCAGTTGCTTTCTGTCGCATTTCTCTGCCACTCTTCTCGGTCTCGTGCGTGTCCAGAATTCTTTTCGCGAAATGAGCTATACGGGCCCGAGATGGTACATTGGCCACCAAATGTCTCGGTGGGGAATCGGTGGAAGTTGTTGAGCCATCGGAGCTAGCGGGGGAGCCAGGTGCCTCATCATGGTGATCCTCCATATCATTGTCATTGTTCTCGCCGTCCTCACCTTCTTCCGCCTCGTCGTCGTCAGAAGAAAGCTGGGAACTGCCTGCATCATCGCCGTCGCCATCATTCTCTTCCACCTCCCCATCAATGTTGGTGTCTCCTTCTCTGTTTCCCGTATGACATCTGCTCTTGCTGCTGGTATCGCGATCGCCGCTTTCAAGTTCGCTGGCAGAGTCCACATGGTCTTCTACTGAAGACCTCAAGATGGCATCTACACAAAGAGGCTCCTCTCCTAGAGACTCGTTTTCAGAATCAGCCTGTGTATCCGGCTCTGGCTCTAGAGGTGGCTCTGGCTCGACCATACTAGCAATCTTCTCAATCTCGTTGATGACACCCTCTCGATAAAGCTGATATCTGTAGACATTGTCGAGTCGCGCCAGAAGCAGTTCAGTTGCTTGCAGTGCCGACTTTACCAGAATAGAGTGATCCTGCTGAGACAGGATAGATGCTAGGAATGACGCGTATGGGACCGCTTTGAGAGCCTCTTGGATAATGTCTTGATCGAAATTCGACAGCATCTTCAGTTGGGCTGACAGGACCTTTGACCGAACGTCCAGGTTTACGGTGCTTGAATAAGCGTCTGTCAACGTTGGGAAAAGTATCAAGGCAAACCGCCGAACCTCGAGTTTGCAGTCCTTGAGTAGGTCAATCCGCTTCTCGTTCAAAATTGATCGTTTTCGAGAGTTTGAGTAATCGATAGCGGCCGCGCTACCCCTGCAATCTGCAGAGCCAGACAATTCCGTGACATCATTTGATGGTCCAGTATAGAGGTTGGTAGCTTCTCTTGGCAACAGATTGCAAATAACGTTCAGCGTCTCGATTATTTGCTCCCTGGGTCGGTGAATCAAAGCCTGCATAATCAAAACACTGTCCAGTTTGGATGTGATGTCCTCAGTGCCGGGCGGCGGAGAAACGCCTGTCAAAATTTGGTACAGGGTTTCAACAACATTCATCTTAAAGAGCTCCGCTGCTAGATGCGGGCTATCATGTGCCGCAATTGCGAGCACGCGTAGAAACTGTGTGTGTAGGTTGGGTGCCATCACATAGTTTGTCGAGCCAGGTAGGAGAAGCCGAAGGATAGCCTTTAACATATCCACCCCGACAAGCTCTTCGAGTTTGGACGGTTGGTGCTTGAAACTTTCCACGATGCGAGACACACAGAGCGCTGCCTGCTCCACAACCCGCTGATCACTGCTATTCAAGACGTTCAAGAGTATGGGCATAACGTCGCGAACGACTGGGAACGAGTCCTCTGGTATGTTGCGGCAGCAATTTGCAGCAGTTGTAACAGCGGTTCGTTGCGTGCTGGTGGCGAAAAACTCGAGGTATGATAAACATGCCGTCAGGCCGCCCTCGCGCACGATACTGGCAGGATACTCAAAAGATATTTTTTCAAGTGTGCTGAGAGCCTGCTCGGCAAGATCAATGAACGAGATCTCCAGCAGCTTTTGACAAAGAATAGACACGGCACCACCGTAAACCACGTTGGCTACACTTGCTGGCAGAGCCTCCATGAGATTTGCTAGGCATCGGCATGCAAGCAGCATTACCTCTGGATTCTCTTCTCCCGTAATCTCGTTTGGTTGCATGAGACTCACAAGCTCCCTCACATACGCATCCGGTGAGAAGCTGCCGGATAGGTTGTCCTCGTTCGATACGAGAAGAATTTCCGATAGGTCTTGGAGTGCTATCAGCTGCACGGAGGGGTCGTCCTTTTGACGAAGGCTGTTCAGAATCTCTCGAAGACGACCGCCGATGCCAGACATAGAGAGCATGCCTCCAAGCATGCTCAAGGCGGCCGGCAGGCCAGAACCACGCGGAGGCATAGAGAACCCACCACCAAACGAGTCTGAAAGACTGTCCTGTGTATATCGATGGAGGCCGTCCTCTTCATTATCTTCGCTGTCATCTTGTTCGTGTTCGGAATCAGGTGGGGGTGAATAAATGCGATCCACTCCAACCTCGTCCGATTCCGTCATAACTGTGTCTTGTTCTGCGAGAGTATGAGAAGATTGTTTGGAATTCTCTGGAAAATCTGGTGCTATTAATTCGGTTGCTGGTGTAACTAGAATAGCGGTTAGAAAGTTGCCTCGATATATCCTTTCAGCACAGCAACACGGCACACTGTTATGGTTTCGTCCGATCCCTTTCACCTAACAGCAGCCTGTTGATATCGACTCCTGACCCAATTATTACGTACCGTCTGCTGCCTTCTTCCCACGACTAGATCTTCGCGGCGCTGGAGCAGCCTCTTCAAAGGTGTCCGAAGGGCCGGCAGCCGAGCTAGATGTTTTGTTAGCCACCTCCTCCACGTATGAAAAAAAGAAAGAAAAACCAGGTTCGACTGTACCCCGGACTTGACATATTGCCAGGGTTGTTCGCTTTGCGACTGCGTGTATGGGCAGCGGGGGTGAGAGAAACGGCTGCCGGGGAAGCAGAAGGTGTGAGCCCGGCTATCTTAGGCCGCTTTGAGTGCCGAGATGCGGAGACCGATTGGGCGGGTATATTTTGTACTTGTTTGTTGCTATCGTCTTCTTCGCGTGCCTTTCGCTTTCGAGGTGACCTCCGATTGACGTGATTAGCAACCGCTCCTGGCGTAGCTTGCTCTGCAACTTTCTCAGTCGCAAGAGGAGGAGGCCGAGAGGCTGTCAGGCTGGCAGCTTGGCGCGCAGAAGCACGCGTTACTCTAGGGGACATGAGTATACTGCCGGATATACAACCAGATAAAAAGGTACTCGAAGGGTTAAGCAGCAGCGACCAAGAGAACATCAGTTTGAGGAGGTTTTGCGGGGCTGGCTGGCTGGCTGGCCGATAAAGTGTAGTAAAGAGGAATGACCAAAGTGGAATAAAAAAGGAAACAGAAAAAGTTTCTTAACCACTTGTTTAGAGATGTTCAGGTTTCAGGTAGTGAATAGACTCAATTGTTTGGTTGCCACCGTCGACCTTTTTTCACGTGATGATATAGAGTTCTGGGGAATGCTTATGAAGATAAAGGGTGTGAGATGATCAGAAACGAAATGAGGATACGACAGCCAGACACAGTATAGGCAAGCCCGATGAAGAAACGGGGCTCTGGTGTTGGACAGGCAGTAAGCCAGGCAGCTAGAAAGAAATCTCAAGAAGCGATATGAAGCTGTGCGGTGTAAAAGACGTACCGGGAAGATAGGGACACTGCTGGAACAGGTACTGGTTTCTTCTTCGCTAATGAGGGGGGTGCTAGTGTCGTTAAGGGAGGTTGTCTATCAGCTTGGGGGTGCCTAACACCAGTGAAGTGCGGGCCTTGAGCAGAAGTAACTGAAGCGTCGGCAGGTTTAGGTGGAGGCCCGGAAAGATCGCTATCGAGAACCGATCTAGGGCGCGGCTTTGCAGAGGGAGTTCGTTCTGCCATGGATTACGCCATGGGTCAGGCGAAGGCAAAAGAAATCAGGCAGCGCGGTGCGGTAAAGACGTTCGCCGCTGTGTCATCGACATTGGCGGCTTGCAGCGCAGGTTCGGTTGCTGCGTAAAGAGAAGAATGGATCAAGCAAGACAGGTGGTCAAAAGACTTTAGACTCGGAGAAGGAAAAATATGTGAATATGGGATATCGTGGCCGGGAGAGATGAGCGGAGGGAAAGCAGGCCAATTTGACTGCAAAGTTGCGTCAGGCAGAAGTAGTGGGCTGTGGGTTATGACAGTAGGAGACAATTGACAACACGGAGTACTCTGTATTACAAGTATCTAACGGAGTACTCGTAAGATATCTTATGTAATGGATGCAAGAATATCCGATTATGCATGTAAGCTGTATTTCTAGTTCGTGAATTTGGTAGGCTGGTGGGAGATCACCTGATATTTACGTAAAGAGAGAATGCCTGTCAAACATGTGCTGGCAACGTTCTCTATCCCAATAGCTTTCAACTGCGGTCAACTTCGTATGCCGTTCAGTACAAACCTCTCCCTCAAGTTATGTGTATATCAAAGCCAGTTCCTCGTTGCGCCATGAGTGATACAAGTAACTTATGCTCTTCCGCCTTGTAAGAGCATAGGACAATCGGGTTTCGTCGGCTTAAAATGATGTCAGCCGCGGCCCGAAGCCGGACTCCCTTCCATAAAACGCCAGTGCTTTGCAACTCCGATGAATAGCTTCTCGTCAGGCAAACACGCATCTGTCACAACAGAGGGTAATGAAACCACTGATGCCCGTCGCGAACCCAATGCGGTTATCTCATTTTCTGTTTTCTTCGTTGGGACGATCGGTCAAGTCATGCCGACGCCAAATGCCACCAGCATGCCTTGCTCTACAGCGGAATGCCAGCAGCCTGTCGCCGAAACCCGATTCTGACTACGTAGCGTTCCCGGGGGCCATCAAAAGCGTGTTCACGAACAAGCTGAATTTTGAAGTTCCCTGCGAATACTCGGCCATGCCAACTTATCGTGTCATCGACCAACACGGCGTTGCTGTTAATCCTGCATTCAATCCTGATCTTAGCGACGAGGGAGTTATCAAGCTGTATAAAGATATGCTAACTATCTCCATAATGGATATCATCATGTTTGATGCGCAACGACAAGGCCGCATCAGCTTTTATATGGTTTCTTCCGGTGAGGAAGCTGCCTGTGTGGGTACAGCATCAGCCCTGACCGCCGATGATGTGATCTTCTGCCAGTACCGCGAACAGGGGGTATTTCAACAACGGGGCTTTACATTGAGGGAGTTCATGAGCCAGTTGTTTGCAAACAAATACGATATGGGGGGGGGCAGAAATATGCCAGTCCACTACGGCAGCAGGAGACTTAATATTGTGAGGCTCTCCATGGAAAATCAATACTTCGGAATTCTTGCCTTGCTGACCTCTTGTTAGCACACCATATCCTCCCCCCTTGGAACTCAAATTCCCCATGCAGCTGGTGCTGCTTACGCAATAAAAATCCAGCGCATGCAAAACCCCGCCGCACCTCCTAAAATTGCAGCTGTCTATTTTGGCGAAGGTGCTGCAAGCGAAGGCGACTTTCATGCGGCACTAAATATAGCCGCCACCCGCTCGTGTCCGGTTGTGTTCATATGCCGCAACAACGGGTATTCAATCTCTACTCCGGCCCTTGAGCAGTATCGTGGGGATGGCATCGCTAGCCGTGGTTTGGGGTACGGTATGGATACCGTCAGAGTTGACGGTAATGACCTGTGGGCTGTCCGAACCGCAATGAAAAGGGCCAGAGAATTAGCCCTCCAGGATGGTGGGAAGCCTGTCTTGCTGGAATGTCTTACGTATCGCATTGGTCATCACAGTACATCAGATGATTCATTCGCATACCGAGCAAAAGTGGAGGTGGAGGATTGGAAACGACGAGATAACCCGGTATCGCGTTTGCGCAAATGGCTGGAGGCAAGGGGGTGTTGGAACGACGCCAGAGAAAAGGAGACCCGTGCAGACATACGAAAACTTATTCTCAAGGCCTTCGGCGATGCCGAGAAGGAACAAAAGCCCCCTATCCGAAATCTGTTCGAAGGTGTGTACGAGAAACTAACGCCAGACCTTCGAGCACAAATGAAACAGCTGAGGGAACATCTGGACAAATATCCAGAGGAGTACGATGTTAGTGAATTTGACGGTGGGAAGGATAGCTTGTCTTAATAGCACATTTACTGGAAGTAATGCATGTCATTTTCATGGCAGGCTGCCGATATTACCGCTACGGTGATTTACTTCCCAAATATCACGACCGGTACCTAGGGCACCTTGTATAGCCTCTTCCAGTAATAATATACATCACCGCACCTCTTACATCCACGCCCAAAGAATGGGAGACACGGAGTCCACGTGGTACCGTGCACTTTTTTATCCTTTAGGTTCTTCGTAGACGTCTGTCTGCAATGTGCCAGTAGAGGAGAAGAGGCCTAAGCATATGCTACACTATCATGTTGTCAGAGGTACATTAAATTAGGAGAGCAGTCTAAGTATGACTATAACCTATTTCTACAGGCCCCATAAAGCGCCGTGTCTTTCTTCGGATCGATTACTAGGCTCCACATTCCTTCCTCTTTATCTCTTTATCCCGCGCGCCCACGGTATCTTGGCAACGCCTACGTAGCACGCCAGTAAGCCTTCATGCTGACTTAACATGAGGTTAAGCGACAGTAAGGTAACGAATAAGCGGCCTCTACTAAGTACAGCACTTGTTATTGGCCTACATAAGAAATGTGGTCTAGAAGTCCGAGGCACCAGTTGCGGTAGACAGATTAGCCGGAAAGCCGGAGAATGACGTCAGAGCCCCTCCCGCCATTCCCATCACAAGTTAGTGCCGGGAGGGCCTCCCCTAGTACAAGTGACGTGAAGAGCCAAGGCGAAACTGGCGCTACACCAATATATGGAATCGATCGTGACTACTCATTCGTGGGGGGTACTCCGTATTATATCATCTTACCCAATTGTGGTAACGCCACACCTGCACCGCCACGAACATCGTTCTGCAAAAGGAAATTTGCTTTTGGCTTCACTTCTTCACCCCCCCCCCCGGGGAAAAAAAGAGATCGGAAATCCAGTTACAACATATCTTAAAGAACACTAGAATGGCTATTCGGCGGATTCAACTGCCACGGATAATTGCGTATAGCCGAGGCTCGCTGTGGCAGCCATCTTGCTCTGGCGGCCGTCCAAGCACAACGTCAAAATGCTTATTTTCAACGACGAGCCACTTGAATGTTGGCGGTAGCAGTTCCGGAGCTCCTGAGCCGATTTTTCCAGAGAGAAAGACGCACTTTGGGTTCGAGACAGTGACAGAAGCTGAGAAGACGAAGCGAGTTGCCGAAGTGTTCACCAGCGTCGCTGATTCGTACGATCGTATGAATGATCTGATGTCATTTGGCTGGCATCGTGTATGGAAGTGAGTATGCAACCCGTAACCGGCTGTAAGGTGCCCCTTTCTCTTTTGCAACCTAACAAATACACCAGGGATCATTTCGTCAGCTCACTTAACCCTGGCTTCACAGTGGACCATGTATCAGGCCAAGCTGCGACACCCCAACGTATTCTTGACGTCGCTGGCGGCACCGGAGATATCGCCTTCCGCATGTTAAGGCATGCGCATGCTATCAACAAAAATCCGAACACGCACGTAACAATATCAGATATCAATGCCGCCATGTTGTCTGTCGGCCAAGAGCGTGCCCAGTATCATCTTCCTCCCAGCCAACAAGCAGCGCTCACCTTTTTGGAGGCCGATGCTACTAGCTTTTGTGCACCAGACGGCAGTCATACTGTGGCGTCATCTAGCACAGACCTGTACACTGTGGCATTTGGGATCCGAAACTTCTCCGATATCCGCGCAGCACTGCGTGAGGCATACCGAGTCCTGCGACCAGGCGGTGTTTTTGCTTGTCTTGAGTTCAGCAAGATAGCTTCCACGGACAGCAACCCAGCAGCAGCCTTGTTTGACGCTGCTTACAAGCGCTGGTCTTTCAGTGCAATCCCCATGATCGGCCAGCTTGTCGCTGGTGACCGGGACTCGTACCAGTATCTAGTGGAGAGTATTGAGAGGTTTCCAACCCAAAACGAGTTCCGGGATATGATTGTGGATGCTGGCTTCGCCGTTGCTGGGTGTGGCTATGAAAACCTAACAGGTGGTATCGCAGCCATACACAAGGGTATGAAGCCTATGAATAACTAAAAGTTCGGCGATAGGCTGTCGTGTATAACAGAATGATGCCTTGCCGAGGTACCTGGTGGGCGCGGTCACCGTCCCTATGAAGATCACAGCATTGTGTAGGAAAGGAATTAACTGAACTGTTATGTAATTGGGTCGTTCAATGCTCAAGGCCTGGACAGACTTTTGGGCCAGCACCTTTGTTGAGTTGCCATCAAAAGGATGCTGCTATCTAAAGATTCGGAATATTTCATACAACAAGACAGGGACTGCACAAGAAAGCAAGACAACATGCAGTAAACGTGTGACTTGAATTGTGCCTCTTTAATATAAGAATGCGAATACTCCGGAATATGGTCGCATAGCGTTGCATGGATCTCATCGGGAGAACGATCCAACCAGTCATTATACATATACTTTTTCGTATTCCGTACTGGCCTGCATAATTTCGCTTTTCTCCCTCTCACCTGCCCCTCACTCGGAAGGGTCATCGGGTAGCATTACACTGACACCATCAAGCAGCCACAGGGAGCGGACCTAAATGAGTCCAAGTAAAGCTGCATATTTTTGACCGAAAGCTCGTGCCAACCATAAAGTGCAGATTGTTCACGACTCTGCTGGAGTAGAAGACGTGGGCGCCGGGGATGCGCTGCTTCCATCTGCTTTGCTAACGCCAGCGCCTCTTGGACCTCCTCGGCCACGGGGTCCTCGACCCTCACCTCCACGACCGGCCCCTCGGCTGCCCCTTGCATTCCCCCCGCCGCCGCGCCGGCCAGCACCTTCGCTGTCACTGGCTGTTCCAGTCCCACCCCCAGCACTTCGATACCCGCTCTGCCCTGCAGCATTCACGTTGCCACCGCCTCGGTTACTGCTCCCCCAAGTGCCTGCTCCACCCCGATCTCCTCGTCCGAATGGCTTACTTGATTCCCTGGGAACAAAATTTCTTACCAAAGGTCTGGAACGGTCCTCGGTGGCACGGTGCTTTGCTTCTTCGGGCAGTCGCGCCATTGCACCATCACGGTCTTCGACGGTCCTGAAATGAACCACCTTATTCGTTTGTCCATATTTCTCGATTTTGACAATCCTGGCCACGTCTTCATCAGCGAAGAGCTCCCGGGTCTGATCGTCAGGCTGGGCATTCATAATGAACAAGCCGATGACATCCTGAGCCGAGCCCCTCGGGGCAGGAGATGGAATTGATTCTGGTCCGTTCACCGTGCCATTCGTTGAGACGGAAGGCTTATCTAAGTCCTTACGGCTCGGCAGCGATGGGGGTTGAGGCGTAGCAGACTTCGCGGGACCGGAGCCAGGGTTGGAGGCTGTCAGCTTTCCTGGTTCAGCTTTGCCTGACGTAGACTGCTGCTGTTGTTGTATGACCGACTGGCTCTGTGGCAAGATGGCCTGCGTCTGGGATTGTTGCTGCGGCTGCGTAGGAGGGAGGGTGGCAACGACTGGCTGAGGCGAGGCAGTGGAAGCTGCAGCTGGAGCTGGAACTTGCTGTGGTGCGTTGCCCTGCTGCTTCATGCCGCGATGTGAGAAATTGAAGCCTTGGGCCCTCATCTCCGTACCGATACGACCGTCCTGGATTTCCAAAACTAGAAAGCCAAATGCTGCATCGGCAAGGTTAAAGTTCCACATGTTCTTGAATGCACTCTCGTCCACTTGGCCTAAAGCAGGAGGGCCTCCTGCAGAGCCAAAAGGATTCCCACCAGCTGCTGTTGTTGGCATTTTTTCCACTATGCTAATAGCGTTTTTGAGCAAATTTTGCTGTGCTTCGTTTTGCTGAATGGCTGGTTCGACTTCTCCCTTGACAGTCTCCCATACGTCATTGAAAGATGCCTTGCTGGCAGCCAGCTTACCACGATAGTGATCAAGGGTGGGATTGACGCTAAACTCATTATACGAGCTGCCGTACCGAAAGTGCAGGCCAGCCGAGATAGAGAAATCTGCTTTGAGAGTGACCGAAAGCTGGTTCAATATGCCTTCACGGGCTGGCGAAGCATGCGTAATGAAAACGCGAGTTTCCGTAGGATCGTAAACTCGATTCGCAGTATCCACCAGTTCGCCCATCTGAAGCAGTGTCGTCCACATGGTGCCCTGGCCACCAGCAATAGTGGTACGGCCTTCACCGTTATCAAATAGCTTGTGCATAACGACAGCACCACCCAAGCCTAGAAGTCGAAGCTTCACGCCACCGACTTCTAGCAGCATGGACTGGGCTTCGTCAATGATATGGAGGTTGGGAACTTTGTACTCGCGAGACCGGAACTTCTCCAGGACACGGACATCCTCGCATGCACCCCATACCGTATAGACTGGTACGTTCAATCTGAGCTCACCGTTCAGCAGAAGGGATAGCTCAGAAAGCGGTAGCTCGCTCGGCGAAAACCGGGACTTGACAGAAGCACCATTGCCGGGTTGTGAGATTGATTTCTTAACGGCTTCGGAAATCAAGGGAGAATATTGAGCCACATGTTTCAGGGTCCTGGTCACAGAAGCGCATTCGGTCAGTAAAGACCAAGCAATAAAAGATGATCAGTGCCACGGGGCTAGAAATAGTAAGTACTTTTCAGCAATGCGCTCCAAAGATGTATCGTCATAAAATCCAAAATCACCCGTATGAATGATATAGTCAGCACGCGCTTGCTTTGCGAGATCGTTTAGCGACCGAAGGTTTCCTATCAATTCTAGTCAGTTCTAAACGCATACTCGAGAAACCGCACGCTGTTCCGCTGATGATTGTATGCCGAGATATAAAAAAAAATGACAAACTAATCGGGGGGGTGTTTTCGGTTTATGCCATTGTATTACCTCGAACATCTGCAATACACAAAACCCGGATAGGGCCCGTTTGGACGATTCGACCTTGGTTGGGTAAGAGGGGTCTGGCTTCGGTCGACAGGGCGGGAGATGGGGCACCGGCAGCTCCATTAGGCAAATACCCAGCACCACCTTGGCCAATGTACGAATGACGAGGTTGCTATGATCGCGGGTCGTCTATCAGCGTTGTTTTCTTGCAGCCTTGATCATGCTTTGATGGAGGTTGACAGATCACACAGCAGCCAAAATACTTGGCAGTAGTGAGAAAACCAGTTTTGGCACCAGTAGAGCCGGGGAAAAAAAATTGTGCTAGGAAGGGAGATAAGCTGGGTGCTCACCGATGCCATGATTCTGGTGCTGTTTCTGAAGCCGAGAAGGCGAGGGAAATGCACCGTAGAGCTGTCTAGGAGGGAGGAGGGGGGGTTGATGGTTTTGCTCGATTCGGCGTGGGTAGCAGGGTGTAAAATGTATGAGCTATGGTGAGTAGAGGGGAAAAACAAATCCCCAAGAATGTTGCACTGTTCAACGTTCGAAGCTTTTCGAAGCTTGAAAGCAGGTCGTAGCGAAAGAAAACGAAGCGACGAGCCAGAGCGGGATGGGTCGGGGGTATCAAAGAGGTGAGGCGGAGGGCGTTTTGTTGTCAGGCGCAAACATTCGCTCTAAGTAAACGGTGGTGTGACGGGAACCTCAGTGCCTAATTTTGCCGGTCGCAAACTGCAGGGGCAAGTTGTAAGGGAAGGCAAGAACGAAGAAGAGGGTGGGAAAGAAACGGAAGCACTTTTTTAATTTCATTTCTCAACCTTTACTGCGCGGGTTAGAAAGGGGAGGCGCGACCAAAACTATACGCGCTTAACCGTATGTGTACTAGCTTCCTTTCGCCGTTTTAAGGAATATGCAACAACAATACAGCCGGCATCTGTTATTTGAAGACGTCTTACAAGTAGTGCAAAGCACTAACGACTCTATCAAGTATCCCGTGTATAAAGACAATAAACTTGGTTATATATGCAGTAAATATCTAGAGCACGGCGGATACTTCATTTCAATACATCTCTTTGTCTTTTAAAAGCGGTCTCAACTGATATGCAATGTTTCTTACTATTGTAAACTGCTGGCAAACGGCATACAAGACACAGACGACCCCTAGAATGGACCGAAGAAAATACCGACTGAACTGCACTAAGAGCATTAGTATTGATTGTGATCTGACAACTCCGTACTCCCCGCCCATGCATGCAGCTATGAACATATAACCGTACAGATGACATGATATATAATAGCACGTAAGAAAGTCTGCGAGAAATCCAAGTAAGAATGGGAACCGAGGGCCGTGTCTCTTCAACATACAATGTGTAAACCATGGCCGATACTTGCCAAAATAGAAATAGAGCCGCCTGAGGAGCAATGGAAGACAGTTGCCGTTGTGCATCTACCAGGTCGCTTTACCTGCCAGCGACACTCACCCAGCATTCACCACATGCCACCATCATCATGTTGGCTATCATCAGAGTGGCCGTAGTCATAATAGCCACGTGCTCCACTATTTTGACCCTCATTCTCGTAGCCTTCGCTTCGCTCGAGCTGCTTCGACGCTTCGCCCACGACAAAAGAATCATGATTCTGGTGGTCACCCTGGGCATGATCAAACTTTTGAGCATTGTCAACATAATCAACACGTTCGCCCTCTTGGTGATGACTCAAGTCTCCATATTGAATTGCTTCCTATAAAGACGAGAAGTAAAATATCAGCTTACAGGATGCTCGCTAACTGTGTGCACCAAGAGTGCTAAAGAAGGGGACTACTAACCCCGTGATATTCAAGGTTGTATTCTTCGGTGCCGGATTGGGACTGGTGCTGCTGGATTTGCATCTGCTGCTCCATGTATTTTTGTTGTTGCTCCTCTTGTTCCCGGCGTTTTCGCTCCTCTTCCTGACGTTTCTGCTGAGGAGAAACTGGAACATTTAGCTGCGGGTGCATGGCTTGAACCTTTGCCAAGTACGAATACATAAAATTCGATAGCAGTACCTGGCTCCGCAGGTCACGTCGCGGGTTGGCAAGTTTTATGTGTGCCATTCGGTAGATGGCACGCTCCTCCACAATCGGAAATCGCGTGAAGGGGTAGTCCACGTCCGGACGAAGTAGAATCACCGGAGGCTCGGGTGACGCCGCTCTCTGCTTGCTCTTGCTGCTCCCGCCTTCCCTATTCTCCTTTCGGCGAGATCCACCAAATATCGAGCCGAAGGAAAAGCCATCCTTCTCCTTCCTTGCTTCACTGGATTTCCGGCTGCTCTCTTTCTTCTTTTCGTCGCGCGATTTGTTGTCTCCGTTATCCCGATCTAGGACTACGCTCTCTCGTCCTTTGTGGTTGCCGTTGTCGATAGAACTTTGCAGCACGTCGAGGCGAGCGTTGTCGTGAGACTTGTCTGTCTGTATACGCTCTCCGATACTTTTCGCCCGTGCCTTCTTAAGCAGATCGTCTTTTTCCTTCTTCTTTTTGTCTCTGTCGTCATTCTTGAACCATTTCCAGCCCGTGGATTTGCTGCCTTCGCTTTCCTCCCTGTCCTTGGCCCTTTTGTCCGGTTTCCGTTCGTCTACCGGCGTAGTTGGACTGGACGCCAAGTTATCGGTCCGAGTAGAAGCAGCTGCTGGAGCTGGTGTTGAGCGCTGGACACTTTCCTGTGGTGTTGGAGTAAGCTTGGAGGCTGCTATAGGTGAGGCTATTGTCAGATCGGCCGTTGCAGCTGCTGCTGGGGGAGGTTGATGCGAGTTAGCGCGCCCGCCAGATGGTCGCCGGCTTGATCGAGGTGGAGGCTGGTGTTGCTGTTCGTCGGCGCCTGTTTGCTGGTTCTGTATAGCCGTCGAGGGTTGTGATAAAGGTGGAATGTTAATGGCTTGCGACGATGATCGCTGTGGGGATTGCTGCGATGATTCGGCCGAACTTGATCCATGAGGACGGTTGGGGGGAGAGGTATGAGACACTGACTCGGCCGCAGATATAGAAGGGCCAAGGGTGTTTGGAGAAGTTGAGTCTGCTGTAGTTTCGTCAAGCAGGGCGGACAGCGGTATATCCGTGGAAGTCGATTCAGACGGTGAAAAGTCTACTTCTGGAACAGTTGCTACCACATGCTCCTGTGTAAATGAGAGTTTCCTTCTCGTAAAGAGCGATGGGCGAGAAGACCCCTCTGTATGGATAGGTTCTGACAGGACACGCTGTAACACACCGGGGATGGGTATCTCGGTTGACCCCGATGCTATTCCGTCCGCCTCTTTATCGTCATCTTTTTCCGTTTGCCGCACAGCTCCTCGCTTGGAGAGCGGTTGCCGATTACCAGACCTAAGACTACCACCTTTCCGATAAGTGGTCCGAGTTGACCTTCGCAAACCCATAGATGGAACGGGTAAGATTGGTTTGTCATCATCGAGGCCGCTTCTTTCGAGGCTGGCTTCAGTTTGACGTTGTGTGTCCATCGCTAGCTTTTGGACCACTTTCGTCGGATCTTTGACCAGTTCATTCAAACTTAACTCTGGTGTGCCAAAAGAAACACTGGCCGACGAGCCTCTACTTCTCGAAGCTGGGTTTGTAGGGTCGTCGTCGTCTTGTCCACCTCTGCCGGTACCTGGTTTTGCAACGTCACTGTCCACTTGTCTTGACAGCATCGATCTCTTCCTCATCAGCCCGGTATTGTTCATTTGTGTGGCGTCGATAGATAATGACGACTCTCCCGATCGCCGCCTCATGGACTGCACCCGATTCTCGAGAAAGTTTTTAAATTGGTCGGGAGCGAGCTCCGGGTGCACTTTAGCGGGAACCCAAAGCAACCTGGAGATGTCGCCTTCATCGTCCTCCCCAGTAGGTGCGATGGATGGCATTGCCATTAGAGACAGGCCTTGGAAAGGCATGAGGTCTGGATCAGCAGTATTACCAACATCTATCGACATGCGACGGAGAGCCTGTAAATTGCTGAGTTCCTGTGCGATGTCGTCCGGGTTATCGATATTTGTGATAGGAAACTGGGAGGTGCTGTGAGTGTCTGCTTGAACATCACGAAGAGACAAAGTCGGGGACAAGGGGGATAGGGGTTGCAGGGGTGTCAGGGAAGCTTCGTAGGATAAAGCGCTTTTCTGGCTAGGTGCTCGAGCTGGCGGTGTTTGGGCTAGCTTTCCTGAGGAGCCGCTGTTCGGGGCCGCTGTGGACTTCGTCGACAGTAATGTGTCTTCAGATATGCGTTGTTGATTTCGTTCATAAGGCTGGTGGGGTGTCTGTACTTGAGGCTGCAACCGGGTATACTGGGCCTTCTGGATCTGTTCTCCGCCGTACGGAGACGCCATGAAGCTGAGTGGGCGACTGTTTCGCCGAGGTTCGTGAAGTGAGTCATCGTCGCTGTCGTCGTAAAGTGTTCCAATCGCTTCGGTGACATGGTGACTGGGGTCTGATATTGATAACTGGTTGCTGTGGCCTCGCCGGCTTGCAAAGCTCTCGCCGTTGTCGAGGGGCCGAGACGAGGTCTAGTAGGAGGCTCGCTGAAATTAGCAACTGTGTTGCTAGAAACGGAGCTAGGTGCCAGACACGACAAAAGACCAACACTGATTCTATGTAATGAGGAGTTTGGCAAACGCACCATCATCGAGGGCAACAGGACGAGGCCACATACGAGACCGGGCCTAGTGTTTTCGTGGAGGCAGAAGTGCAAACTGTATCGGACTGTTCGTCGTATGGTAGTATACGCGACTCGTTCGCAGGGGTATCATGGGTGGAAATCACGGTGCTTGGTGCTCGGGTTGCTTGATGTCTCTTGAGGTTTTCCGGATGAATATGGAAAGAGTAGGTGCAGGTACAGAAGGATCAGATGGTCGATCAACAACAGTCAAGTTGAACCGTGCCGTGGGGTTGTTGCTGTTTAAGTATGGTTGAGTTGCCCGCGGTAGGAGACATCAACAACTTTCTTCAAGGTCGTATTTCGCGGTTTGTGTCAAACAAACAAGGCCCGAGGTCGGTCGCTATCGACCGTTGGTGGATTAGTGTGCAGTGCGTCTCCTTGCTTAACCACCCTCTTTACTTATTCTTGTTCTTTCCGTAGAAGTTCGAAAGAAAAAGCAATTAAAAGAAGAGAAAAGGAGTGAAATGGAGCCTCAGCCATATACAGTAAAGCGTTTAGGGTGGCCATAAGACAAGCTTGTGAAATAAGATACTTCGTGCTCCGTATATATATGGGTACGGAGTACTCTCGTCTCCTATCCTCCTATCCTTCGTTAAGGGAATATGTCACGTGGCGATTCTTACTACCGCTAGACGCGGACGAGACATAATAGCGCCGGTGTAACATTCGTAAAACCTCAACTACAACGTACGAAGATCCCTACCGAAGGCAATACCCCCCCCTCCCCCACACCGCTTTAGCCTACGCTATACCCAAATCAGAAAAATGCACATTCTTGTTACTAGCCTTTACTATACGGAGTACTCCGTACGGAGTAGCTACTTCTTTCTTCCCTCCTAGTATTCGTTACCACCTTATCTGTATATGTACAGCGCTAGCCTGCTTATACCTAGTATTCTATTATGTATTACGCATCTTACTACGCATAAAGAGATGTCTATACTATGCACACTATACCTGCAAGTTTAGCAACTTAAGAAGAGAGGACAATACTTTAAAGGCTAGGTAATAGGCTCTTGGCGTACGCAATTATCTTGCAGCTTACGTAAGTTAGTTTAACGTAAGCATTATATAACGTATAGTTGTCAAGCATTAGAATCCGCCACACTGTACAGCTTCCGCCCTACTTAGCCGGTATAAGGGTATTCTACCCACTTGCCTACGCACCGGTTCGGCGACCTACCGCTTACTAAGCGTCAGACTTAACGAACTATCTTAACACGTAAACAAGGCAAAGCATAGCCACTTTGCTATGCTACACCTACTTAGGGTTGCGCTATCGCGCACCTTTTATTTATTTATAAATTAGATAGTAAGCTTTTACTTACTAGTCTTTTATAGTTTATTAAGTTAAAGTTTTAATATAATAGTATAAATACGTTTAAGCTTTTATAACTATATATTATATATAAACCTTTATAGCTAGATAAGCTTATAATTAGTTAAAAGGTATAAAAGTAAGGCTTAATACTAGTATTAATTTAAACTTTTAAAAAGTTATAATATATTTATTTATTTTTTAGTTAATACTTTTTACTTATATTAAACTTTATTTAGCTTTTTACTTTTTATAGTATATTATATTATATAACTACTATATATAGCTATCTTAAACCTTTATAAGTTTTTAAGCTTAGCTTAAAAAGAATAAGAAAAGCTAAACTAAAAGCTTTTATATAAAAGTATTTTATATATATATCTTTATATACTAGTTTAATAACTAGTTACTTACTAAGTATTAAACTTAATAAACTATCTTAATATATTATATAAAACTAATATAGCTACTTAACTATACTATACTTTACTAAGGTTTATACTATATTTTTTAGTTATATATAAATTAACTAGTAAGCCTTTACTTACTAGTCTTTTATAGTTTATTAAATTAAAGTCTTAATATAATAATGTAAGTAAACTTAAGCTAAGCTAATAATAAACTTATAGTTAACTAGCTTATATTTATCTTCTTACTTTTTATTAAGCTAGATAATATAAGCTAATAGTAGCTACTAGTTTTTAATAGTTATTAAAGCTATATTACTAATAATTTTATAATTAAGTATATAAATAATAAGCTAAACCTTATTATTTATATACTTATACTTCTTATATTACTTAGCCTCTTAATATAAGTCTATTTAAGCTTTTATAACTATATATTATATATAAACTATTAAAAGTAAAGAATATACTAATACTACCTTTTTATAAAGGATTATATATAATATATAGTTATAAAGGCTTAAACATACTTATATTATTATATTAAGACTTTAACTTAACAAACTATAAAAGACTAGTAAGCAAAAGCCTACTATCTAATTTATACGTAAATAAGAGGTGCGCGATAGCGCAACCCTAAGCGGGTATAGCATAGCTAAGTAGCCATGCTTTGCCCTGTTTACATGTTAAGACAGTTTTATAAGTCCGACGCTTAGTAAGCGGTGGGTCGCCGAACCGGTGCGTAGGGCAAGTGCGTAGAATACTCTTAAACTTTTACGCTAATATATAGCAGCTATACTTTATGCGTAGCGTTTTTAAGCACCTTAACCTTATTTATTAAATTATATATAAGACTACTATATATACTACTTAATAATACCTTACTAGCTAAAAAGTAGCTATAAAGTAATAAATATACTTATATTATATAAACGCTAAAGGTACTAATTAATATTATAGCTATAAAGGCTATAAGGCTACTACTTAGTAATTACTACTATAATAATAAGCTACTATAATATAGTATTAAAAAGCTAGAAATTAGTGCTATTATTACTAAGATAAAAGAGTAGTTAATAATAATAAAGAATGCTTATAATACTTAAAAGATATAAAGATTATTTAAGTAAGTAGTTAGCTAATTACTAAACTAGTAGCTAATTAGTAAAAGTATTATAACTACTTTTATGCTAGTAAGCTTTTAGTTATACGCTTTATTTAAATATACTTTATTACATTTATTTATTAAAAATACTTAAACCTTGAATTTTAACTATACTATATTTATAAAGAAAGCTAAACACTTTAGTAAAGTAATAAGTTATTAATAATGTACTAGTAAAAATAGAATTACTTATAATAAAAAATTAGCAATACCTTTAATTAAGTAAGCAAGATTGCTTAAAGGTATAGTGTAAAGGCTTAATAACTACTTAGTAAAGTAGTACTAGAATAAAACCATTAGTAAGTCTTTTAGTATAATAAAGATTACTAATACTTATAAAGAGTATTAGTTTTAAGGCTAAAAGTAAAAAAAGTATAAGAGTTAGTATACAATATATAGTTACAAAGGCTTAAACGTGTTTGTACTAATATATTAAGACTTAAACTTAACAAACTATAATAGACTAGTAAGCGACAGCCTGCTAGCTAATTTATACACAACTAAAAGATATATAGTATAGCGCAACCTTAATAAAGCGTAGCATAGCTAAGTAACTATACTAGTCTTATATAACTATAAGGGTTAGTGTGTAATGTATAGTTATAAAGGCTCAAACGTGTTTGTATTTATTATATTAAGACTTTAACTTAACAAACTATAGTAGACTAGAAGGCGACGGCCTGCTAGCTTATTTATACATAACTAGAAGATGCGGTATAGCGTAACCGTAGTAGGGCGTAGCATAGCTAAGTAGCTATATTAGTCTTATATAACGTGTTAAGATAGTTTGTTAAGTCTAACGCTTAGTAAGCGACGGGTTGCTAAACCGGTGTGTAAGGACGCGTATACAGAATACCTTTATACTATCTCTTCTTTCTTTAAGTAACGCCTTTATTAGCTTAAAGGTGTATATATAGTAGCTACTAACTTATTAAAAAACCTCTTTATATAAAGTTAGGAAAAAAAGTTAAGTGCCTTAGGTTATTAGCGGTCGCTAAGTAGTTGTAGACTTCTTGCTTATATAACTATATTTAAGTAACGTAAAAGCGTATATATACTACTTAGTTTATAGTAGTAGTAAACGCTAGATCTCATTAATGTAAAGGTTATCTTATATATTAAAGCTTTTTAAAAGGCATATATATAGCTTAGATTTTAGTTAAGGAACGCTTAGGTTACTACTAATAAGTGTTATAAAAAAGCTAGCCTTAAATACTAAGTATATAAAGGTATAGTATATACTAACTAAAACTACTAGTATAAGGCTTAAAACTTTTAAGTACTAGTAAGGTAAGATGAAGGTATTAGTAGTTATTTATTACTTATTAATTATAAAACTATTACTAACTAGATAGTAAAGGTAGTTTACTATTAAAACGTTTATTTATTTAATTTTAAACGTTTGATAATATAGCCTTTTTATTACCTTAAGGTATAAAAGAGTAGGTATATTTTATAATTTTAAGATAAATTTATTTATACTTATAAGACTACTTTTACCTTTTTAGCCTTTTTTCTTTAATCTTACTAGTATAGTAGGTTAATATAATATTCTATAACTTTATATAGTAGCTAATAATTGCTTATAAATAATATCTAACTAAAGCTACTTTTAAGTCTTAATAAACCTTTTTATAAATATAAACCTTATAAAATACTCTTTTTAAGCATATATACTATCTTTTAAAAGTATAAGTCTTTACCAGCATAGTAGTTACTAAGCAATAGCTAACCTTATAGTAAGCTTTATACTTAAACTATATTCTTAAAGCTTACTTAAATATTTACTATAAATTCTTATATATAGCCTTACTAAAAAGCTTAGCACGCTATATTAGCTATATAGCTAATAATATATTATACTTACTAGTAAGTATATTAACTTATATATGCTAGTAGCTAATTGCTAACTAATAGCTTCTTAATAAAATTAAAAGCTTAGCTTAATATATTTAAGAGTTTTTAGCTAGAATAAATAAGTTACTACTTTAGTAGATAATAGCTAATAATATTATTATAGCGCCAAGCAATTATATAGTAATTACTTAAAGGTTAATAGCTTTAATAGCAATAGCTA